GTTCATGGCTTTGGTTCATGGCTTTGGTTCATGGCTTTGTTTCATGGTTCATGGCTCGCTCGATGCCAACGCCGATACTAATCCGAGGTGTGATCAGCTCGCCAGCCTAAAGGGACAGGAACAAGAAGGTTCTGAGAGATGGTCGTCCTGTTCCCTACTATACCATACACTTGCCAGACTGGACTGGCTTCGACTTCGGCTTCGCTGGGGGTACTGGGAACCGTACAGAGAGAGCTGGAAACTGTACCGAGAGAGCTGGGAACCGTACCGAGAGTACTGGGCGGTACAGAGAGAGCTGGGAATTATACAGAGAGAGTACTGGGCGGTACAACTGCCATTGATTGACATTCATTACCAGTATACAGTACCAGTATACAGTACCAGTATACTGCGATGCCATCAGATTACCTAAAGACCAGTGTGTCCGGACTGCTGCGATTAGCATTCCATTTCAGCTGGATGTCTATATATTCAAACCACAGTTTTCCGAGGACAGGACAGGACGGCGGACGTGATCCTGTGTGTGTGTGTGTGTCTGTCTTCTGTCAACCTTGTGTCAGTTAACCCTATGCTAACCCTGTGCCTGTCTGTGTCTGTCGTCTGTCAACCCTATGCCAACCCTGCGTCAGGCGAAGCCGGTTCAGTCCAGTCCAGTCTGGTCCAGTGCGTTTTCAGTCTCCATTCTCCAGTCTCCAGTCTCCAGTCCACCGATATCGATACTGATATCGATACCGATACTCTCGCTCCTCAACTCGACTTACTGGATCCTGGTACTTAGTAGCTCTTTAGCACGACTTACTAGATGCTAGATGAGTGGTGAATGATTAGGGTTAGGGTTAGGGTTAGGGTTAGGGCTGGCAGATTCTCAAGTAAGAATCTGTCTTTCTTCCCTTCTGCGGTACGGCCGAGGATAGAATATAATACGTACTTATAGATGGAATATAATATATATACGCGGAATATTATACCTATAGATGGAAGATTATACCTATAGACGGATATTATATATACGGACCTAGATGGATATGGGCCCATGCCATCATCATGGGCATAGAGTACAGATAGAGTGCATGTACGTGTACCTTCAAGACATGAGGGGCTTATCAAGGGTAGAACTTGGCCTGTGCTATTATCATCATGGGTACAGAGTATAGACAGTGCATGTACCTGCGATACATAAAGGGCTTCCTAAGGGGAGAACTTGGCCCATGCAGACTAGACAGACAGCGAGACAGGAGAAATCGATCAAGGTATATATAACTTGTGAAATGACAAAATTGGATCACATCGCATCGCATTGCTAGCACAGCATACATTATATATACGATACGTACGATACGAACGTCGATACCAGAAAGAACCAGCATCACAACTTGATACTCTTGACCACGTTGGTCTTGATCCCCGTGGCCTCGCCGCCGTAGCCACCTCTCCCCTCGCCGCCCTTGTAGACGGGCCGGATGGAGGCCAACTTCTTCAACTTTTCGTCGTACTTCTTCCTCTTCTTGACCCGCGGGTTGCGCACGTCCTTCTTCCGCTTCGGCGTCAGTCCCTTGTTCTTTTCAATCGCGTACGTGATCCTGCGTTTGCCGTCCGGCCCAACCTGTTCTTCTTCATACACTTCCGCCCCCAGCCGCGCCGCTTCGGCGTACGCTTCCGCCCGCGCCCGCTTGTCGGCGCTCTTCTGCTTGTGCTTGGACACCAGCGTGTCGTAGTATTGGCTGGCTTCGTCATTCAACTTGACGTGTCGGGCGTCGGCATCACCATATGCTTCGTCAGACCCGGCTCCGTCGTCGGCGTCGGCGTCGGCGTCCAGGGCTTCTTGACCCCGGGCGTCGGTTTTGCCTCGCAGTTCCGCTTCGCGCGTAAGTCGCTCCTGCCTGTCCCGCAGACGTTCTTTATGCGGCACGTCGTCGTCGCCACCGGCATGTCGTGAGGCCGCACCTCGCTTGTTGGCCTTTTGGGCAATCTGCGACGTGTAGAACCTCAGACTCTTCTTTCGTTGCGCCTTTTCTGCCAATTCTTCCTGCGTCAGCGGAGCTTCATCGCCAAAGTCCGACTCGTCCTCCACAGGCTGTTGCAGCGACGTCGCAAGCAGGGTTTGGATCTCGTTCTGCCTCTTCTCTCTCTTTGTCTTCTTCTTTTGCGGTTGGATGGTGACAAGTTCCGGCGACGACGGCGTCGGTGATGGTGATGGAGACGGAGATGGAGACGGTTTCCGCTTGGCTTTGTCTTTCTTCGCTTTCTTCTCCTTCTGTTTCTTCGCCCCCGGAGTCGGCTTGACCTCTATCGAGGCCGGCTTCTCTTCGGGCACCGGTTGTACTTCAATCGCACGCAGCGTCTCCGCCTTCAGCCAAAGTTCTCGACACCGGACAAGCTTGTCCATGACCGGATGCTCGCGCAGCTCCCCAGGTGCCAAGGCCAGACCAGATTTGGTGGATGTGAGAAGCGCCAAGTACATGGCGACGGAACCTAGATATGCAGACAGCGCGCGGAATTTGGTCAGGGACACCGCTCGCCGGTTGTCATCTGCATGGTCTGTACTTGATAGTTTGGCCTCCTTCTTCAATTCGCCATATGTGTCTTGTAACCGTAAGAAATCTTTGGTCAATGGTTCGAATTCGGGATATCGAGATCGGAGAGTCTGCAGGCGTTCCTCGACGGTGGCGTCTTCAGGCACTTGGACATCAGGGAGCTTTTCAACCGCCGGACGGTTCACTGGTGCTTGTCTGCTGTCATCGACCCATGCGTTCTCGTCGAAGCCAAAGTCTGCCTCTGTCATGCTCTGCAATTGTTTCTGCTGCAACCTCCGTGCCTCTGCTTCTTCCTCGAGCGCATCCGCCTCTGTCTCGATAGCGTCTGCATTGTAGTAGTCCGCCTTGGATGTGCCCCAGTTGATGTTGTCGTCCTCATCTTCCTCTTCTCCATCTCGACCGGGTTTGCGGCGATGGAGACCGAGGTCGTCATCTTCAAAATCGCTCTCTGCCCTTTCGTCGTCCTCGGTCTCGGGCTCCGACTCTAGATCCTGGTAGACCTCTTCATCTGACGGTTGTAGATCCTTTTCTTGTTCTTCTATCCTCCGACGCCGCTTCGCCGCAGGTCCTTCGTCCAGCAGGATTTTGTCTCGGCCGGCGAAAAACTCGTCTTCCGAGTCGTTAAAGGTCTCTGTAGGGTCGAAGGTATAGTTGGTTTCGGACGTGCCCTCCACGGCGCCGCCCTTGGCTTTTCCAGCCTTTCTCTTTTTAGCCATGGCTGAGAAATTCGGCTGGATGTCTTGATCTTTCCAGCTACAGGAAACGGTTGACCATGGCGGGCCTGCGTTTGCGAATCTCGAAACTTTTTTCTGGGCCGGGCCTTGGGCTTGGCGTGCATGACGCAGAACTTGTCTAAATTCCGGGGTCCAATAATTAATGCTCGGGGTTAGATGGACCGGAGTTGAGCTTGGGATCTTCGCGGCTGAGAAGGCTTAGGGGCCTAAGGAAGCCCTAAGGCTCTTTCCGCGTCATCTTTTAGCGCGTTCAGGGCCTAAAGAGCCTACTACTCTAATTACTGTAAGCTGCCCTTCTAGAGGTACTGTACTAACATGATAAAACGTAACTATCCGTCGGACACAGAGCTTTGGTGTCCCCTTCTGTTCCAGGCTCGAAGTTGAGAATGTTCATATCGACAGCTACAGCTACAGCACTCGCCTCTATTGCCATCGCCATCCTGAGCTTGGTCGTGTTCACAATGTTCTTCAAGCAAGACTACTTCCCCATCGATGGGCGGACGGCGATCGTCACAGGCGGATCACAAGGGTTGGGTCTGTCGGTGGCTCAAGAGCTCGCATCTAAAGGGGCCAACGTGGTGATTGTGGCTCAAGACAAAGCGAAACTCGAAAGAGCCACCCAAGCCATCCAAGCACGCGCAGCGAGGCCCCAGCAGCAAAAGTTCCTCCACCTCTCCTTTGACCTGCGATCTCCTGATTCTGCCCCCGAAATCCTCAGCCAAGTGACAAGATGGAATTCCGGCAGCCCGCCGGACCTGATCTTCTGCTGTGCCGGGAACTGTCAGCCAGCGTTCTTTGCGGACGCAAGCATAGAGACGCTACGGGGCCAGATGGACACGATATACTGGTCGGCAGCGTACATGGCGCACGCAGCGTTGAATCTGTGGAAGATACCGACGAAGACATCCTCTCCGTCCGCTGCCCCGGCTCCTCCAACTCGTCATCTCATCTTCACTTCCAGCACCCTAGCGTTTTTCCCCGTCGCGGGCTACTCGCCCTATTCCCCGGCAAAGGCGGCCATGAGGGCCATGGTCGACAGTCTTAATGAAGAGGTGGCAGTTTACAACGGTGCCAGGCAATCCAACACAGGGCCTGCACCGGACGCAGATATTGCGGTGCACATTCTGTTTCCTATGGGCATCGTCTCGCCGGGCCTGGAGAACGAGAACAAGATGAAGCCGGAACTGACGCTGATGCTGGAGAAGGATGACAAGCCACAGCAGCCGGATGAGGTTGCCAGGATCCTTCTCGACCGACTCAAGGCCGGAGATTACATGATCACTACCATGTTCTTGGGCCATTTGATGCGTGGATGCGGCATGGGCGCCAGCGTACGCAAGAACATCATGGATCTCTTCTGGAACTGGTTGGGATCTCTGGTCATTCTCTTCGTCGCTCCGGATTTCGTGGCAAAGTGCAGACGCTGGGGTAGAGAAAGGGGTCTGCATGCCACGGGGCCGGCGAGCTAGTTCGATTCTATTGTCTATGGTCTCGACAGTTGAGTTGCCATCTGCATCAACCTCTTGATCACGAATCCATCTCTCGTACTCCCCTCTCCAGCATGGCATCAAGGGCTGACATCAAGTCTTCTTTTGTCATTTCTTGATCAAGGTCTTGATCCATAAATAACTCCGCCGTCAACTGCGCCAATCGGACATCCTCCGACTCGGCTTGACTCAAAGCAGAACATATCGCGACCAGATCCTCTCCTTTGCGCGATAATCGAGCAAGCTCCGTGGCGCGTTCGACCACTTCTCCAGGAACCCCATTTTGAGCGGCACATTGGACACCATACGATGTATCGCTCCGCCCTGGTCGGAGATTATACAGATGAGTGACCTCGGTGCTGGTACACCCTTGGTGACGACTGCGATGTTCGTCGACTCGGACCTCCATATGCGCAAAAGTAATGTTTTGAGCCTCGTCGAATAAGCCCAAATCGAATATCTCGTGGAAGTGAGTGGCCACGAGAGCCTTGGGAGATTCGGCTTCGAGCGACGACAGGTACTGAAACACTCCAGCAGCAAGTCCGGCACCGTCACACGAGTCCGTGCCTTTCCCAAACTCATCAATCACCACCAAACTCCGCCTTGTACATGAATTGAGAGCCATGGCAATCTGCTGCATGTCGATCATGAATGCGGACTCAATCTTTGACACGGATTCTCGGGTAGTAATGCGAGTATAGATCTTGTCGGTGATGCCAATGGTGGCGGAGTCGGCTGGTACATAAGATCCCACTTGAGCCATGTAGACTGCCAGAGCAACTTGTTTCTGGTAGACCGATTTTCCCGAATAGTTGGGCCCGGTCAGAATCAACATGCTCGGACCTTCAATGCCGCCGCCGCCGCCGCCGACCAGAAAGGTGTCATTAGGAACGAATGAGGCCACACTCATCTCCTGTAGCAAATGCCGACCCCCCTTGATTTCGATGATGTTTTCTTCTGTGATCATGGGCCGCGTCAGCTTGAACTGGCGCGCCGTGTGGGCAAACGCCAGGTTGCAATCGAGTTCGCCACACAAGTCGGACACGGCGACCAACAGCTTTTCGTCCTCAAGGACCTTCTGGGCAAGATCGTAGGCGATTTCAATCTCGAAATCGCAAATCACGGCATACAGGTCGCCAAGGTCCTCGTCCAGTTCGTGCATCGCGCCGTTCTTGAAGTAGACCTGCTTGTCGGTGTTGAAGGTGCGCTGCCACCCGAGTTCCCGGCCATCGTACACCGGCTGTCCGGAGGTCAGGTCCAGAGGGACCCCCAGATGAAAGCCCATATGGGGCAGATAAGTGACCTGCAAATCGACGTTGACTCCCGCGGGCAGGGCCCGAGCCATCTCGACGGCCTTAGTGGTCAAGATGTCGTTCATGCCATCATAGACGTTCTTGACTTCGTCCAGTTGGTCGTTGATGCCCGGCTTGATGACGGTCCGCTGCTGGTCGGTCGAGGCATCCAGATCCACCATCTCGTACACCATCCGGCCGAGCCTTTGGAGATGATATCGGTCCAGCACGTCCGCAGCGACGACGCACAGTGGGAGACGATCGGCTCCGAGCACTTCCTGCAACGTATCCGCGATCTCGATCGTATGGTAGCAGAAGTCGAGCAGCGATGCCCAGACTCCACTCTTAAACGCATTGTGCTTCTGCTTGCCGCTGTCGATGCCTTTCTTGAGCAGAGTGACCGTGGCCCTCATATTCTTGACCTTGCTGAGGTTCTTGCTGAGCTTGCGGCATGCTTCTTCATTGTCCGGACGGACGAAGATCGAGACAATGTCGAGGCGAGAGTTGATCGGATCAACTTCCAGCGACGGTCTGAGGAACGCTTGTCGCAAGAGCTGCTTCCCTTGAGGTGTTTTGACGTGCTTCTGAAACAGTCCGTGGATCGAAAGTGGCTCTTTGGCTGCCGAACCTTGCTTGTGGGCCGCGGGATGCGTCTCAGGCTGTATTATTTGCAGCGATATCAGGGCATCCACGTTCACCAGCCTAAAGAACATAAGCCTTGGGCAGCAGCACGCACACAACTTCAACACTGAGCTCCTACATTGTTCCTCTCAGATTAAACATCTCAAGCTTCACCACGCGGAAGACTGAGTTGGCAGCTGGATCACGAGGCTGATACCTCGCAGATCTCTTTCGCTGCAAGTAACCAATGATGGCACCAGCGCAGCCGATGCTGACTTTGTTGTTTAAGTCAAGCCAGGAGGAGATCTGCAACAGCTTGCCACGGCGTTTGGTTAAACCTAACTCTTCGGGTTGAAAGTCTTCATCAAACGTGACGGGTTCGCCTGGGACGAAGAGTTCGGAAGCATGCTCATTTCCATCGAGAGTAGGGAGGTTGATCAGCTTATTCAGCGCACCTTCGTAGCTGAACTCATGGGGAGGCCGGATCTCTGTCTCGTACGGGAGAGGATGGTGGTCGTCATCTTTCCTACAATCAGCACCAGGGCGACTTAAAGCATGATTGTTATACTTACCACTGTCAATGAGAGACACCTGTCGCCGAACTCGTGTGTCAAATGAATCGGAGGCGCCGTCGGATTGAGGCGAAAGAATGACCGTGCTAGGCTGAAGATCAATTTTCACTGTTACCGTGAGCTTGTCTGTAGTCTTGTGGTGGCACAATCCTTCCTACGTCTTTCGATTATGTCCGTTCCTCCACCATCTACCTCTTCCATACACAAGAGCCTTTCTTCTGCAGCAATATATTGTGCACAGCCGACCTTTCCCTTCTCTTTGAGATGGATGGCGACGACGACCTGGTCTAGGAAATCGTCTTCTCCCACATGCTGTCCGCCAGGATCGGTTCTCTCGCTTGAGGTGCGTACCTCAGGGCGGGCATGGGCTAGTCGATGGAGGGAGGCGGAATTTGATGGAGGAATAGACGGCGTTCTCTGGGCTTCTCCGTGTCGACGTGTTCGAGGTAGTTGCTGGTGGGAGTGGCTTCGGCCTGCACCTCGAAATGGGAGCCGTCTACCCCTGTCTGGTTTGTGAATTGAGCGGTGCCCTCGCTTGGAGGAAGACAAAGACAACATTCCTCATACGGTAGACTTCTGTCCGTGGTACCATGGAATTCGATGCAGTAATGAGGATGAAAAGTTCTCCACAACAGAGCCGCGCTTTGTGAACATCTGAGATGGGCTGGAAACCTTTTTGCTCAAGCCGGCACGTGGAAGTCCAACTAAATTCAACCAAACTCAACAAAAGCTTCATTAGGATCGAGGCATTAACGAAGAGGAAGGCTTCAAGAGGGTCATCGAGTCTGCACCGAGAGATCATTAATCTTTTCTCACCACGTCTTTCATAGGGCATTGGCCCTTCTATATTGGCATTTTGCTCATTGACACACTTTCATGAATCAACTCTGTAGTTCGCCATCACGCCATCCCCCAACAACTCGTCCACCTTCAAGCCGCTTAACCCGGCACCACATGCCGACTTCTTTGTCAGTGATGAACTGCCACAAGACCAAAGGCCAGCTCTTATGACAAGGCAACGGGTCGTAGAATTCTCGAGCAACATCGTAGACTTTGGGCAGTCTGGTCCACGGGATGGCAGGAAAATCATGATGTTCATTATGGTACCCCACATTGTAGGTTAGAGCGTTGAGGGGACCGTAGTATGAAAATGTTTCGGGAATTGGCACGTCTTGAGGCATTTTCCCTTCCTTTAGCGTTGATTTGGCGAAAACATAATGCTCTGAGATAAAATGAGCCGCGCATGGATGGAGAGACCCAGCCAAGAAAGAGCTGAGGACGAGATATGCAAGGGCCTTCGGGCCCAAGTAACGCACAACGAGGATGTCGAAGATGACCTGCGCAGCAATGTTGCAGTAATGGATCGATCCGAAGGGAATCTTGTAGATCATCATCGGTCTAATGGCGTAGAAAATGAGCTGGAAGGTGCAGAAAAAGGCTTTGCCAAAAACGGAGTCCAGGAAGATCGCTTCCAATGCGGTGGGAAGATCCGTATCCAGGCCATCGATTCCCAAGGATTTGTGGTGAGTCAAATGGTACTGTCGAAACCCGGCAGAGTATGGAACTCCGATCGGAAGATTGGCGAAGATGGCGAGAAGTCTGTTATAGATTGGGGTGCGGAAGGCAAGGTTGTGACTGATCTCGTGGATGGCCAGAAAGAGATTCTGATTTGCCGTGGCTCCAACAATGTAAGCGGTGAGGAAGAAAGGCCATGACAATATAGGTGAATCTTTGAGGAGGCTGGCACATGCAACCTGGAGGAGGACCACGAAAAGGACCAGATATTTAGTGAGCGGTTCAGGACCACACAATTGCAGCACTTCCTTATGTGCTTTAATGATTGCCTGCCGACGAGTTCGATGCGGTTCTTCCGTGTAGGTCCAGAAGAACTTGTCCTCAAATGTCTTGTGCCTGTGGAATGACTTGTTTCCCTTGCTCTTTTCCAGATCTTCGGTTGCAACAGGTGCGTTCGCCGGTCGAAGCCTGCGGAGGGACTGCGTCTCGGTGGCGGTGGACATGTTGTGCTTCTGTCGAGTGAGAGCTAGCGAGCGTGAAAGGAAATAACAAGGGGGTTGACAACTGCCAGCATTGTCTTCCCAGACCATGGAAAGCGAAAAGAAAAGTTAGCTACACAAGGTACTCAAAGAGTCAGGAGACGCGGTTTGGGGCAGCCGAAGGGCAGCAGGGATCAGTTGCATGTGGAGTTAGGGGCACCTGCAACCACACACATACAAGTAATTATGTAATCTGCAGGTACGTTCCAGGTTAACAGGGTTAGCAAAACCTCAAGCTATACCATTTAATATCTTTCTTAAGTACTAGACATACTCAACGGCCTCCCTAAGTAAACATCTAATTTTAATATGTATAAGTCCTATATCTAGAGATAGGTATTTCTTAGTGAATGGAAAACAGCTGCTATCTTGACACCCACCCTAAGCCTTGGCATTATGACGCCAAACCTCGGGCTGAGGCTGCCTGCGTCCTCCGGAGAGTTGTGAACGTTGTCGCGCATCACCCCTACGGTTCTGGACGAACGGACCAGCCCTGTTATTCTCTCCGAGAGGCTTGAAGCATACACAGGCCACTCTATCACTCTCTTCCCATTCCTGAAACTTGCTCCTAGGAGACCCCCGCTTCAACTCAACTCAACCAACCCGCCCCAAGTCCCGCGGCTACTGCCCCGCCTCTTGTGATTCGAGACCGGCTTACTATCATCAACGATCAAGCACAACCTCTGTCAGCATACACCTGCCTAAAATGGCGACTTCAGATCTCGACCAGTTGGTCATGATGGGATTTGACAAAGAAAAGAGTCAGCTGGCCTTAAAGAAGTCAGGTGGATGTAAGTTTCCTGAGGCCATGAAGGCATCGTTTCTTCTTCGTTTTATGCTGATGTTACGACACAGTGGCGGATGCCATCGACTGGCTAGACACAAATTCGTCAAAGTCACTGGAAGAACTAAAGGCCGAAGAAGAAGCCGCCGTCCAAGCCCAAGCCGCGGCAGCAGCGGAGGAAGCGAGGAGCCTGGTTTGCAATGAGTGTGGCAAGAAGTTCAAAGGCACTGCTCAGGCTGAATTTCATGCTTCCAAGTCGGGTCACACGGACTTCGCAGAGTCGACCGAAGAGATCGTCCCTTTGACCGAGGAAGAGAGAGCGGCTAAACTTGAAGAGCTACGGCAAAAATTGGCGGCCAAACGAGCCGTGCAGGCAGAGCAGGATAAGATTGACCAGAAACGCAACGAGCAGATCAACCGGAAAAAGACCAAAGAGACCGAGGATTTGAAGGAGCAACTGAAGGTCAAAGAGCAAATCAAGGAGGCGGAGAAGAAGAAACGCGAGAAACAGGCTGAGATCGAAGCAAAGAAGCGAATACAGGCCAAAATAGCTGCTGACAAGGAGGAGCGAAGATTGAAGGCCGAAAGAGAGAAGGCGGCAAGGGCAGGCGCAGCAGCACCAGTTGCAGCGCCGCCGCCTCCCACGGCCGCACCGGCTGCCTCCAAACCCGCCTCAGAGTACAAGGAGACGCGGTTACGATTGCAGACGTCGGCTGGCAACATCTTGAAGACATTCCCTGTCGAGACGACCTTGTTTGAAGTAGCGGCAGCAGTCGGAGAGGAGACAGGTCGAGACGTTGAAAGTTTCAGTCAAAACTTTCCCAGGAAGGTGTTCGGTCAGGAGTTCTTCGGAGAGTCGTTGAAGGACTTGAAATTAGTGCCCAGCGCCAGCTTGATTGTGAAGTAGGTTCTCTGCCTTACTTTCCATTCTTTCGATCACGAAAAGTTCTTCATGGCGCAGGCGTTGGGGTGCAAGCTGCGGCGATTGTTCATGGGGCTGGACTGACGATTGATCAAAGGGATTACCCATTGCCGTGGTAGCATTTGAAGATAACGTGGTGATTCCGGAGTGGCAGACAGAAATCTTGCGGTAGAGGTCTTTAGAGTCAAGACAGATCATGATCAAGAAACAACCCTTGCGATAATAATGACCGTGCAGTTTAAACCAATAGCTCAAATATCACTATACCATATATCATAAGGCTGCTCAAGGCTCTCGCTGTAAACAGAACGTTTCGAGCTCCCATCAAGCTAGTAGTATCATAATATCCAAGAAAAGATGAAAGTAGTCACTGAATGGACACTTTCGGAGCAAAGCTGAAGCGTTTTCATAATTCGTAATTCATCATTCATCGATGCATGAAGCCGATGACCGTTTCCCTGCCATTGCGACGTTTCTCTCCTTGCTTCGCATCCCTGTTAACCTCGATCCAGAGATTACAGTAGTTTCAACCGCGAGCAAATCATTGCATGTCCTGATCTGGCATTCGTGTCACCATTAGCCAGAGATCTGTCAATTATCACGAGAGTGTGATCTATCGATATCATCCGGAGAGCTGGCCGTCGGCGCAGTAGGAGGTGGCTCCTGCGGGGTCGTTCGCTCCCTCTGGCGGTCGGCTTGAGGGTTCATGTTCGGCCTCCTGTCACCACCGCCTCCGGAACCCTGCGACTGGAGGTTATTGCTGACCATCGTGTTGCTGAATCTGGATCCAAAGACGGCTGTGACATTGTCACCAAATGTTTCCTTGCCGGTAAAAGTACTGTGTTGCTGTAATGCCTCTCTAGGAATCGGCGTAGGGTTGCCTTCAATTTGGATGTGGTGGCCAAAAGTCACATTGGCCCCATGGCCCCATTCGCGTTGACCGTTATGATGAGTTATCAATATTGCCTGTTGTCGAAACGCCTGCTGCTGCCCGTCTGGATTTGGATCTGGATTTGGATTGGAAGTCATAGAAGGCGGTGGTGAGGAAGGAGGATTAAGTGGAGAATATTCGACGCGGTCCGTCGCTGCAGCAACTCCCTGGATAAAAAAGGGCGCGTGAGCAGGAGTCCTATACAAGGTATGTACGTCTCTTGGCGCAAGTTCAACTTACTGAGCATGTACTTGCATCATCGCTCCCGTATCCCTCGTCGGCCACTTTAAAAGGCATAGGAGGCCTGGGAGTCGTTTCTCCCGTTCTTGGGGTGGATTGCATTTTCTCTTGACTTGCGAGTTGATGGATGGTCTCTCCAGATGCTGCCGTGATGTAGAAGTTGAGCAACCCTCTGTCCTCGTCTAGGGCCTCGAAGGAACGGAGAAACTTTTCCTTTGCTTTTACGACGGAAATAGCGAGCAAAACCCGCCGTGTGATAGTGCCGCTTTTTCCAATGGCATCAAGGTATCTTTGAAGAGCAGATCGAATTGTGATGACCCTTTCCTCCAGTCGGTCGATTTGAGCTTTTACTTTCGGGTCCTGCAAAGACAGATGATCCTGTATAGACTGAAGCACGAAAATAAAGGAATCGAGATAGTCACATTTCTCTCTTAGACGCAGTGGCCCCTCTTTGATTTCGTCTCGCAACTCGAGCAGGAGACCGACGATGTGGTTGATATATGATACAAACTGTCCCGCTGCCGCAATAGCGCTTATGGCATCCATGATGGTGTTTCAAGGGTGAAAATGTTGCGAGTCCGTTCGGACATTCCCATGCCCTAGCTCAAGAGCCCGAATAGCAGAGTATGTGATCAAAGTACACTGAACGTGAATCGTCCTGCATGTGCCTGCGCCCCGAGAAGCTACGTGGCACCATGGCACCATCTAGGACCCCGGCTTCTAAATGCTCTTGGACCGCTACGAGCTTGGTGGACAGATTTGATTTGTGCTACATACGGAGTACACTGCCTTCTCGTCCGACAGGGCAAAGACATGCCCATCGCTGCTTACCAGGTCAGTGGCGAATATGCCAGCCATGATCCACGCGGCCCGGTCTCCATGGCTTAGGGGGCGACTTCTTTGGGCTTCCTGGAACTCGATCTGGCCAGTCATCTGCTACCTATGTCGGAGTGAGATATTGCAGCATGCGGGCGCCCGGCTTGACCGTCGAAGGCTAAGGGACTCACCGGTTAGCCTAAGGTAAGGATGAGGCTCTCCTACATGTACTGTACTTGAAAATGATTAATTGATTGATTGATTCCCTGTCTCGGTGATGTACTCGCCAAAGGCACAGGCACCGCCGAGACCTTCCCTACACTTACTCTGCCAGTGTTGGTTTACCAGGGGGTTCGCCCCTCCTTCCTGAGCGTTCCTTGGGTGTCTCTTGGAGGAGGTTCCTGGTCCTGATTGGGCGTATGTTGAGCCTCAGCTGCCCTTCCTTGTCCTGGTATATGCTCACCGGTCACTCTCGTCAAGGGTGTCGGTCGTCCCGGTCATGCATGTGTTCCATAAATCTGCACTAATGCACGCATGTGTACGGACTTATACTCCGGCCATGTTTCCGCTGCAAAGCAACTACGGAGTAATGATAATTACTCGATTTCTTGGGCACTCAGACATGCAAGAAGGTCATTCAGCGAACCTACTGGCCGCAAGCTCTTTCGATCGCACCACATTTCAATTTGGGCGTGGCGCGGACTTCATTAATGGCCATAGCTATACCCACAATACTTACGTCCTCAACACAACCGAGCGCGAACCTCCGTCTTCACAGGTCCCTACAGCCGCTCCTGGCACTCCTCCTGCTGATATCGCTCCTCCTCCAACAATAAACAGGATTCCACACCAGTCGAGGAGCTGGGTCCAATGGTACAAGACCAGTGATCGAGCCATTAAAGTGGTGATCCCGCTTTCCATCGCAGTTGTTGTCGCCGCAATTGTCGGTGCCGTTGCTTACTCCGTCCTTAAATCTGGACACAACAACAGAAACCCTTCGCCACTGATCGAGACCAGGTAAATAGTGTCACCCCGCGAGCAAAGAAACCGGATCGATTCTAACTATATATATTATCAGCATCTCAGCTTTACCGTCAACGTCACAAACCTCTCCTTCCAACATCATCTTCTCATCCACCTCTACCGCCCCATCCACGCACGCGGGCTATACCTTCACTTCTCCCTCTGTGACCATGGTACCAGGTACACCAACAGTTCAAACAATCTTACCTGGAGATAGCACGACTGTGTTCACATACTGGGGATCTGTGCCGGAAACATGCACACAAGGCTGTCCGGGATGGCCGTGCAACAACGAGAATGATTGCACAGATTGTTTTTCCTGTGCACTCGGTGCAAAAACGTGTGATGGTCCAACTTTGACACCTTTAACGGGTTGTGCCATCCCTTAAGCCTGACACAATATCCCGAGTTAGAATTGGATAGAATGCAATAGGAGTTATCGGCCATCTAATATGCGATTTTTCGGTGAATCATATATGTGACTTAGCTCGTAGACCGGGTTATTCCTCGAATGAGGCATCCAGAACAAGGATCAAAGACCTCTACTGCACCAGAAGATGACCTGTACCGAAATATCTTTTCGAGACCAAAGAATAGAGATGTGCAGAGGAAGGCCCGCCGGATAATATACTACATATGATGCGAACGCGTCTACTACGCGTCTACTCCGTACTACGCGTCAACTACGCGTCAGCTCCTCTAAAAGCTCTGTAGGTCGGGTGAGGGTCGCCGTGCCTCCTACGCCCGCGGTGATGGCCTAAGGTGGGGTCACTTTGGATTCCAGCATCGTACTACAGGGGCCTTGGGAGTCATAGTGACTTATCTTATCGAACCTCACACCATATCGGTCTTGCCTCTCACCCTCCGGCCTCTACTCCATACCTCTTCACCAATTCTGGACTCAAGCGTAGCCCTTAAATGGCTTGATCCTGTAGCAGTACTGTAAGTCCTCCTCGCTTCAAAACAGACGCAAGCCCTGCGCGATGCAAACCCCAACACAGGCTGTTGCTGTTGATCACTGTTCTCATACCTATCGCTCTTCAACTGACACCGACACTCTCGTCCATGGTGTGAAGGTAGATAGTTGGCGATCTCGTCTTCTCGTGTTCTCCCTGGGCCGCTTTAGCCTCGGCACACCAGGCGCAGGCCCACCACTCCAGTCCGTCTACGAATTTGAGTTTAACACTGCGAGGAACATCTGGTAAGAGTCTAGGGGAGGGATCGAGCCTCTACTACGTGCCCGTACCAACATGGCGAAAGGTCTCAGGCTCGATTCTTGGTTGATAGATCGAATCTTGACACCGTGATTAAACAATCACGTACGCGACTCTTGACGTCAGCGTGATGTGTACATTTTGTACTATCTCCATCTGGCATCTAGTAATGTACCGAAATGACCATGGTGCCTACGACAACATTCTTTCTCTCCTACAACTCTGAAAACTTATTATACTCTTGAATTCGATGGAGAGAGAAACATGGTCCCAGACGTTGATGGATCAACCCGTCAAGCTGAACTCAGGGTTCTCTAACGGATGCAGCAAACAGACAATCATAAGCTCAATACCTACAGTACCCGTCACTGTCGAGAGGAAGGCTTTCATACCGGCAAAGGGTGATGAACAGCTTCTCCATCCCGGTTCGCTCCTCGTCTACCGAGCTACGTGCGCATTGACGCTGACCATTGCTTTCAGGCACGGCTCGCGCTAACATCGCAGCCTCGGTTCAACAACCCAACGGTACTTTGGAAGACGACTGGGTAGCGCGTCACAAGCATCAGACTGTTAGTTGACTATCATGTCACGAAGCTACAATAAGTCCAAAACTGATAAAATACTCATCTCAGGTATTACAACAACACTGTGAGTTCTTCGACACCGATCGAGACAGCATCATCTGGCCCCAGGACACATTTGTCGGCTTCTACAAGCTCGGATTTGGCGTCATTCTATCCCTGGTGGCCCTCTTCATCATCCATTTGAATTTCTCGTATGTGACGCAGCCCTCGTGGGTGCCGGACCCTTTGTTCCGTATCTACCTGGCCAACGTCCACAAAACCAAGCATGGCAGCGATAGCGGCACCTACGACAATGAAGGGCGGTTTATACCTCACAAGTTCGAGGAGATTTTCGACAAGTACGCCCATGGGAAGGACAGTCTAAATATCTGGGATATGGCAAGCCTGATCAAGGGTCAGCGGCTGGTCTCGGACCCGATCGGATGGGGGGGCGCCATCTTTGAGTGTATGTTTACTCGAGCAGCTCTCGGCCAATACTGGTCGGCTTTGGGTCCCTCTCGCTGACAGTTACCAGGGTCCATCACGTACATTATGCTATGGCCGGAGGACGGGGAGATGCGAAAAGAAGACATCCGTCGGGTCTATGACGGGAGCCTTTTCTACACGATTGCTGCGAGACGAGCGAAGAATGAGCCCGCCTCCACCGGAGCCGTGCAGCGGTCAAAGAGTTATTGGCTGTCCTGAAGCTACTGTTGCCGTTGATTGTACCCAAATGTTGACTACACAATACCCGCTACTTTGGAGCCATCGACGCCGGTATACGGTAGTGAGGTGTCGGGTAGGGAGGCGGAACGGACCAGTCAGCGACGCGAGAGAATACGAGGGCATTCCGCTTAGGAATCCTGAGAACAGAGAGATACATAAGACTGGTCTTAGACTCCTGCTTCTTGGGGTTCTCAGCCATACTCATAGTATCTAAAGCATAGATAAATACGGAGTAACTACGTACTGTAATCCGGGGATCCGTGGAGAAGATGCGAAGATTAAAAGGGGTTGGCCCAACTACATGAGCATTCACATGCTTCTCCGTATCACAGTCTAGTTCGAACGGGGGAGCATTCGATCTCTGACGAAGACATGCACCCGCTCCCGCTCCAGCCTCCAGCCTCCAGCATCCGCTTTCTACCATTAGGCGCTTCTGTCCAGGAACTCCTCTCTGTCTACCGTCATACTGTTACGGATAGCCTGCTGAACAATCGAATCAGCCACTTCCACTTCTCTACCAATTATACCACCACACGATCCATTACAATCAACCTTGGTCAAATATCGTTTGCTTGCGAGCATATCTTCTCCAGCCCTCTCGCCTCACAACCTGCGCAATCCATCTCCTGGTCTGCACCATGTCCGTCGAACTCCAGCCAGCCGAATTGGGCTTCAGACGTCAGTGAATTCTGCCAGAATGGACACGAGACAGGAGGAAAACTTACAATCAACAGGCCCGTTCAACCATGAAGTCACCGAGGTCCTCAAAGTTGTCAACGTCAACGATGCGCCTGTTGCCTTCAAAGTATGCCACCGTCTCCGGATCATCGTGTGCAGCCGCTAACTGTCTTGAACACAGGTCAAAACCACCGCCCCAAAGCAGTGAGTAGCATGGCTATTCTATGACCTCGGAAGCTAGACCGTCTAACCCCATACTAGATACTGCGTGCGACCAAACTCGGGCATCATCCCACCCCACGAGAGCGTCGAAGTACAAGGTATGAGAGAAGGTGGCACTTGAAAGTACATTCGCTCACAACCACAGTTCTCCTCCAAGCTATGAAAGAAGAGCCTCCTCTAGATGCTAAATGCCGCGACAAATTCCTCGTTCAATCCGTTCTAACATCCCTCGACCAAGATCCGAACGTCACAACACTCTGGCAGACGGTGGAGAAAACATCAAAGAGCAGCATACAGGAGAGAAAGATTCGGGTCAACTTCCTCCCTTCATTCGATGCGACACCAAATGGCGACTCTTCCCACGAGGAACAACCTCCCGCATACTCCTCGCCGTCCCCGAAATTTGGATCTCCCGCCGCGGAATCTTCAAGCCGCGCATCGACTGCGCAAACTGCGAAGAGCGCAGTTGCAAATGCCGCAGAAGCCACCGGCTTGACCACCGCGGCTGCTGCCGTTTCGAATACCGTGCCGCTTACAAGTGCGGAATTGAAAGAGCAACTGGCGGCAGCCAGGGCCCAGATCAAGCAGTTGAGCAGCCAACTACAGGATCCAAAGCTGCGACAGAGGAAGTTGCAGGAAGCGAACGAGAAAGTCCAGACTGTAGTTCAGCAAAGCCATGAAACTGGTGTACCACTACAGATCGTGGCAGGGTTGTGTTTACTCAGCTTTCTCATCGCCTATCTGTTCTTCTGAACAGGTACAGTCGAGAGGATTTGAAGGAAATGAGCCATCAAGTTTGGATATTTCGACATATATTGAATGACCCGGCTATCGGATAACCGTTGCGGCGATCCCTCTGCTATCGAGTCTGGCATGATGTGAGAGACTGGTGAGGATGGCCACTGGCTTCATTCTGTCACTTCCTTCGACAGTTCTACGCGAGGGTGCAGAGTTGTGTGCTGTCTGGGCGTATATGCGAAAGAAAGAGTGTCCGTCCAAGCTGGACGGGAGGCAGCTTATGAGGTGGCTTACAGGTGTCAATGGACTAGCTGGACGTTGGCTGGTTTTGTTTTTTGTATGTTCGGTCTTTCTGTGTAAGCGTAGAACGAAGCAGAGCAGATGTGATGTTCAAGTCAGAAAACGATCTTGGCTTATGGTGATTTGTGTACCCCACGCTGATTGCCCTGGGCGATGCTTTTTCTCTCGTTTTTCCATATCATAAAGTATCGTGGAAGTTGTGATTCCGGTTTACGTAGTGCGTCTTGGTAATGTGATTCTGAACCGGAATATACACTCTATCGTTACAAGGCTTTAGGGCAAACAGCTTTGCTTGGTGCTGACTTGGAAAGTTGGGGTGAGAACTTTGGCTACTTTTGGTCATGGGATTATATTCTCTAAATTACAAAATATATTTGACGTAGATTGGGATTCCGTGGAAGAACGGGGAAAGTCAGTCAATAGTAGTGCCACCATCTACAGGAAGGCCAATTCATTAGCTTCACCAGAATACTTGAGGCCACTGCCCTGATATAGAGTGCCCGATTAAATCAATGATCGTCGATACTCCCACATACAATCGTTGTTGTTCATTCATCGGTCGGCGAGGCTGAATTTGGTTGGACTTTGGCAGGCAGGTTTTCCGACAGGCCTCCAACTCCGAGTCCAAAATTAACTTCAATGCCGCAGGCCACGAACCTCGACTTCAAGCTCAACCTGGCCTGACCTCCTCTGCCAAACGCGCAGAGACCTCCACCGAACCAGTCCTCACTTATCACCCTCTCCCGGCAACGCCGAAGGACCAAGCTACTCTGCCGACTCCTCAGCCGCCACGAGTCTCTTGCAAATCATCAGCATCTTTCTACCCTCTTAGATCCAGAGTCCCCGAATCAACAGCACAATGTCGACCGAGATGGAAGTCGACCCTATCCCGCCGGCCGCTGCCCCTTCTACAGGAGAGGATGGGGACGCAAAGAATGGCGCAGGTACAGGTACATCCTCACCGACCGAGACGAAGAAACAACAAGCCAGTGCGGGGACCGAAGCGCGCACAATTCAGGGCGCCGTCGCGGTCCGCAGTATCGAGGGCTGGATTGTCGTCGCGACCAACATCCACGAAGAGGCTACTGAGGAGGACATTACAGACTTGTTCGGCGAGTATGGCGACATTAAGAATCTGCATCTCAACCTGGACCGGAGAACGGGTTATGTAAAGGTATGACACACACCCACACACACATTGCGATCGGAAAGAAGAGCAGAAAGAGTAGACATGGCGGATTATGCCAGACCGTGTCTTCTCTTCATATGCTCATGCCATTGCGCCATCCTCTTGGTTCTTTCGGTTTCTTGCTAGCTGGTGCATTTCATATTTTGGATTGTATTCCTGCCATGCCTGCTCCTCTTCGCATTGAAGTCTGATTTATTGCTCCTTTATCGCACTGTCTTCTATACAAGTTACGGGCGGACAACTGATATCCTCGTGTGTGCGCTGCAGGGCTATGTCCTTATCGAGTACCCGACCCAAGTCGAAGCCGCAGCGGCGATCAAGGCTCTGAACGGCGCCAAACTTCTGGAACAGACAATCTCTGTCGACTATGCTTTCGTGCGGCCGCCGCCCAAAGATAAAGGGCGTGGAGGCAAGCCAAGTGAACGCCGCGGCGGCCGAGGTGGTGGAGGCAGAAGTCGCAGCCGGAGTAAATCCAAGAGCAGGAGCAAGAGCCGGAGCCGAAGCCGCAGCCAAGACAGGGAGAGACGTCGTGCAGCGGATGAGGATAAGATGGAACGGGATTGAGCACTCTACAGAGAGCGAAGAGATTGAAAAGTGCTGCATCATGATCCTGGAAATGGGACGACGACACAGAGAATCGGCGAGTCGGTGCGACGCCACGCATTGCCAGGGATTCCCCCCTCTGCGTGTGCCGGGTCGGACATAATACACACAGACGTCGCCACGATATGATGGACAGGAAAGCAAAGGTTCTCGACTCTCAAAAAGCACGATAAGCGCGGCCTTTTGTCTTTCTCGACCCGGAAAAGGAGGACGCAACAACTTGCAAGTCGAGCACAAGAGACGGGCCGGACTGGGACGGATGGGAGAGGGGAAGAGGGAGAATCCAGTCATCTCCCCTCGATAACTCCGAGGCTGAGGTTGAGGCTGAGGCCGATGCTGACGAGCTAACCATCCACATTCTGATATTGTATACCCAAGGAAGGAATGCATATGCCGATCCAAATATATATGTGGTCGGCACCATCGCAGGTCTATTGAACAGGTTTGTTTGGTCCCACACTGCCCCTGCCTCACATACACCGTGTCACATCTGCTGTATCTGTACATGTAGATGTACATATACCTACCTACCTAGACATACAAGTTCTCTGGGTTGGATTTGGGCTAATATGCGTGTGTTAGATTTAGATACAGATACAGATACAGATGCAGCTTCTTTTTCTCTCCTTTCACTCTCACTTTCACCCTCATTCTCACCCTCACCCTCATTCTCTCACCTCACACACTCTCTCATATTCTCTCGCCTCACACACACTCTCTCATATTCTCTCACCTCTCACACACTCTCTCATATTCCCATCTCACCTCACCTCACATACATACTCTCTCATATTCTTTGCTGTGACAAGCACATTCGTTCAATAAATCATCCATTCATTCATTCATCCAGCCATCCTCCCTACGACAACACCCCTCATTGCCTCTTAGATCGCTGGTCCCCCCGACCACAGCACATCGGCAACGGCAACGGAAATGGCAGCTTTGCGCCCTACAGTGCAGTGCAGTGCAGTGTGCGAGGTGGCCGTCCAAACATTCCTCTTCCTCGTGCTGGGGATTGGGGCTGGGGTTGGACACCACGTCGTACACCGTACACCGACGCCTTGGCCTTGGCCTTGTTACCTGCCGTTCGATGGCTATGCGCCCGCCCGGTCTACCAGGCAAGGATGGTGTCGTTGCGCTTTCAGAGCCCGTCCATCTCAAAATATTAGAAAAGGCTGTGTTCTCGGACTGGTGACGACCTCGTCTAATGCTACAGCTCTATCATACATCCAGAGTCCCCCTAGTGTCAACTGATGCTTTTTCTGTCCGGCACCCTCCTAGCAGTCAAGGTCTGGAGGAATGAATACTCTTACAAGAGCACTCCTGAAGTCCTAGTCCTGCACCACTCGCCATCAAAGGAGACTCCTCCCAAAACCGAACCAGCTCTCCCACTCCATGCTCCAAGACTAGCAGCAACGCTAACCTTCACTCCCGACCTCTCTCCACACTCCATCAACAGATCTCCTTCCCTACGCTTCACGAAACCTCTCTAGGAGGCGGCTCAATGGTGGCGACGATCACGAGATCGGTGGTATCGTGCATCCTGGCCTGATACGGACAGTTCGGTCTACCACAGGACGTGGAGTTTGACACATTCGGACAATGATGGCTCCCGAAACAGTCATGACGTCGACACTTGGGACCGACCGAGCATGGTAAGTTTCGAGCCTTGTGGCGAAGTGCCAGGTACACGCCATCCGAGATGGGTTCATGGTCGTACGGGCATTGAGGGTTGTTGCAGCTCTGACGCAGATGCTGTTCGTTACACAGTCTGCGGTTCCGCGAGCGCAACTGGAAATGTTCCTCGTCGGCTGGCGCGGGGCGTGGCAGCTTTAGATCAAGGCGTTGGTCGAACTGGTTCAACGCAATTGGAGATCGAATCGGGCGCTCGTTCGGGTTGGGTTCTGCCATTGTTACAACTTGCCGCTCAAAGGCTGCCGGCACAAAGCCATTGACCTTGGGCTTGGGCTTCGACGCGGTCGCAGGTGTTGCAGTTGGGGTCGCGGGTGAGGCTAGTGTCGGCGAGGATCCATGAATCGACTGATGGGATGGAGGTTGCTCTTGCTCAACCATGTCGTCCCATGATCCTTCGAATTGTTTGGGGACTCGCCTGCCGCCGCGGCGTGTAGGAGCTGTATAAGCACCACTTGACGCCCGTTCTTGCCTCCAGCCCAGCTTCTGTGTGCCATTGGTGTTGCTATTGTGATATGATCTTATGGGGTGAGAAGTCCATGTACCTGTCTGGTTGAAAGACTTTTGATTATCCGCAGCTCCATCTTCTTCTGCTCCTTCGTCCCCCCAGGCGCCCTGAATCGGGAGTGGAACATATGTGTGTCCGCTCGGAGTTGTTTCCCAGCTTTGTTCGGCGGTCTTGTTCGAATTTGATGACGAATGAGCAGAAGATTCGAGTTTGACAACCCCGGCCAAGCTGGCTTCTTGGATATCATTTGCAACGCCGTTCCGCTCCTCTCGTGCCGGGGTTGTGTCCACTGACTGTGCAGGATGGGGCTGTGTTGGAGGGGACGGTGAAGGAGGAGGCGGCAGTTTCTGTTCAGTTGGTCCATTGGATACGATGATCGAAGCAGAGGGCCGAATCTGGGGATCGTGAAAGGCTGTGCGGGGAGTGGTATTTGGCACAGACTTGGCCTCTGAAACGTTCGAGACTAGAGCCTGGTGTTCGGGGCCATCATCCCATTGACGAACCGAGACTTCTCCATTGATTTTATGGGCGCTTTCTCCGAAGCCCTCGCTGCTGGGAACGCTACTCAGAGGGGAAAGGTTGACTGTATGAAAGGGAATGGTGACCCCAGAAGGAAAGCCCAGTTCTGGCTGGACCAGGGACGTCTTTGACTTGGTATAGTCATCGTCGCTGTACAACTGAAGAATGTTGTAGTACTCCGACTCGTGCCCGAGGGCGAGGAAAATGTGTCTGCAATGACAGTTCTCAATGAACAACTCGTAGAAGTCTGGGTAGCTTGTCAGCGGTGTTTCTTTTCTGAGGTGCGCTTGAGGTTACACACGCTTCACTTTGGCATCTACAGCCTCGTGGCCGGCACCGCAGTCACTGATTGTTATGCCTGGCTCGATCTTGCAAACATCCTGGATGAAAGTCCAGAGCTGATCTGGATCAGGAAGGAGATTCGCCGCAGAGAGATCCTGAGCGAGTCTTCCGACATCAGAGAAAATGTGCACTACCACTGAAATGTTCTCGGGCAGGTCGTTTTTGTGCTGGCTCCTCGCAAAGTCTCTCACGTCCGCGAGCAGTGTCCCTACAGCCTCGCGTGCGCCCGATGTCCCTGCTCTTATGAGGCCGTGCTTGAAGAAGTGCTGGTTACCGTCGAGGAGGACGAGAACATGCTGGACACTTGTCTAGAGAGCGGGTCAGTAGGAGAGGTGGACAAGGCAGGGAAGTCGACGAACAATGCGCGATTCGATGTCGATTGCACGCTTCTGCCAGCGGCGACGGCTTTCTGTCTGGTCGTCAAGGTCGGATTTGAGGTTCTCGAGCGTCTGTTCCTTCTCGTCGAGGAGCTTGAGGAGTTTCTGTGTTCGGTTAGACGGGCCAGGCCTGGCAAGGGAACGACAAGAGGTGTACCTCGACCAGTTCATGTTCTTCAGCGGCTTTGACCTTGTAGGCCTCGTGTTGTTTCGCCAGCGCCTTGAGCCCGGTGGAGAGCTGTACCTCGCCGTCTGCCATTGCCATTGCTTGCCGTTGATTAGGGAAGATGTAGGAGGGTGGGCATGGTACGAAGGAGAAATGGAAGTTAGACGTCAGGCTTGTGAGGTTTTGTGTTTATTTTGTTTGTACCGTGGAGGGAACGCAGCGCCGATTTGGAGGCGGGACGACAACGCAGGTGTGAATAGAAAGAACTACGCAGTACGCAGTACAGCACGCATACGCCGTATCCTACAAAGACATGACAAACAGGAAACGTGCAATCAATCCATCACAGCGCTGGGGCTCTGAGACCTGATGCACCGGCAGCCACATGGCCAGGTCGATGGGCTGGCTGTGGTCAGGTTAGGAACCACCGGGCTAAGGCTTAAGGACCCTGTTTCCCCGGTCGACGCTGACCAGGGTCCAAGGAGCCTTGTCTCTCTGAATCGCCAGCACACAGACATACAGAACACGCTTGATGGTCTCCGATCAGAGGTCATTATGGCACCAATGGAGTAGATGGAACTTATGTGAATGTTCTATGTGTGTCCCCTGGTCTCTGGGCTTTACATTTTGACTATCCAAGGTGTAGGTGTTGTTGGTGTCTTCCACCGACCATAGCATCCCCTACTCTGCACTCACTATCTCCCACCACAAGAAATAAGAATGTCCCAAGTCCCCCGGAGGCAGAAATTTATTAAAAAGGAAGAACATGTTGTGCAGGCCTCAATAATCGGGCTACCCAACCCTGGGTGTTTTCGCCTGTCGCTGAATGCTGAATGTCAATTGCTGATGCTGAAATTCTAGTCATTAAGTCGTCAAAGTGTCCAGCCCGTCGTCATTTCTCGAACGGGCTTGGATCTGGAAACAGTCCCTCGTACAGCTCAGTCATGGCCTGCTTCACGTCCGCAAGCTCTTGAGGGTCGTTGGTAGAGACATCGTCGTTCAGGCACAGCTGGCCGGCAAGTTCTTTGTTGGCCCGAACAAAGCGGCTGACAAGGGTGCTGTCAACCTGTTCAGCATCCGTCACCATGACAAACAACGCATCGGGGTTGATGACGGCGTAGCGGTATCGCATCACAGCCTTCACCACCAGGTCTCGTTGCCTGTCTTGGGTGCCAGCCCGCGGCAACAAGGGTGCCAGCCCCTTGGGAGTTTTGTTGAGGATCAGTTTCAGCAGACAATCTCCGCATTTGGGTTCTTGTCGGGCCAATCGATCGAAAATAACAGAGGTTGAGAAGACCGGGTTCTTGGTGTGTGCGTCAGTAGAGGAGATGGAAAACCCGGGAGCCAAACACTCGTTGACATCGAATTCGATGCAGTCCGCGTTCTGGATGGCGACAGGCCCATCCAGGGATGTCCACAAGATGTCCGTGTTGACCTTGGGAGGAGCTAGCCCGGCCTTCTGCAGCAATTGAGGCACGTGGTAGTAGTTGCGTTTGCGGAACGTCGTTCTACCCTCGTTCTTCATCCCGGCCTCAAGATCTTGCATGACGGTTTGTCGCTCGTCCCAGGACAGATTTCCGTCCTCGTCCACGTCGCTTCGAAGCATGATGTAACTCCAGAGTAATGCTTCGCGGTGACGCTCGATCAGGTAATGGAAGGTCACATACCACGAGTAGAGCTGAAATCCGGGCTCGCCTCGGAACCGTTTGCAAGCACTTTGGAGCTCGGGCCCGGGGAACGAAGAGATGGCTTCTCGCATGATGTTTCGCGATAACGCATGCCCAAAATGACCTTGGCCCTTGCGCTTTCGAACCCCGAACCGTCGATTGAGAAGCCAGGAGGTATAGATCAGGAAGGGCTTCTCGCCAAACCGATGGGCGTCCACTTCGGTGGGTGGTGCGGTGGCACTGTACGAGTTGGTTTTGAAGCCCATCACCGAACCGAACAGAGGCGAATGGATATCCGCAGCAGAGTGCTCCTTGCCCAGCAGCATGTCGTCGGACAGGGCGTATAACTATACCAGGTTAGCAACGCGGTAAAAGGTAGGATCTGACGCCTAGGCAACGCACATAGTCGGTGTCTGATGGGGTGTTGAACAGCTGGTTCTCAATCGTCAGGGAGTTGAAGGTCGGCAAGCACGCATGCTTTTCCAGGTCGAAGAATTCTTCTTGAGCAAGCACTTGCACCACCTCTTGCGTGGCCGGATCATCGTTCAACCAAGTCGGGACCTGCTTTCCTGCCTCGGTGCCCTCCACCGAGTTCACCACGATTTGGATCTTGTTGCGGAATTTGGATGCGTAACGCTCTAGACTTCGAAGTGAGTATCGAAGCTCGTCCCAGTCGCGATAGCGGTTAACGCCATGAGAACTGATCCATTTGCCCTCGGGGTCGTTGAGCACCGAGTTCAGTTCGTACGGGTATTTCGTTTTCTGGAAAGCCTCTTCCGAGCCATTGACCCCTACTCAAGTTAGCCCACGTGCTTGTGCTCCGCCAACCGGCCCGGCGTCAGGTCCTTACACAAGTACACGAAGTCAATCTTCGGTTCGGCCAGTTTCCCCCATTTCTTCACGTCGTACGATGCGTGTGCGACCCAATCATCCTCCCATCCGTGCAGGACTTCGTCCTTGACAGCGTCCTCGAAAGGAATATGCACGATTTCGGGCAAGCTATCGGCCTTTTCTTCGAGTGAAAGATGGTCCACCGGCTCTGCCTCGATGACTTTCTCTTTGGCGGGTTGATCGGGCGATGAAATCAAGGGCGTCTTTTCCGTCTCGGGATCCAAATTCGCCTGAACCGCTACAGGTCCTTTCTGGAGGCGATCCGCTGGCGCTTCGTCAAACAGCTCCATGGCCACGTCTTCAGAACCATCGCCTGGTATCAGCAGGACTTCGGGTCCTGAAGGGAGGTCGTTCCCTTGCTGGTCCCGATTGACCGGCTGACGGATGACAACCCCGTCCGGGAAACGGTTGTCTCCTGCTCCTGTCTGATCCTTGTTTAGCGCCTGCTCAGGCACCTGTGCCCTCCCATCCTTGATCAGGTTGGTTTGGAAACCTGGGTCGATGACCTTCTCTTGCAGCTTCGACCCCTCCGACTCATCGTGGATTGATCTCCTGTCTGGGGAAGCAGGAAAGGGATCGGGTTCCTGCTGGACAAAGTTTTGACGATGCGGAGACAATGAAGCCGACCTCGAGTGATGCCAAAGGAAAATGCAAAAGATGCCTGCGACGAGGAAGAAGAGGGGTCGCCGTGACCGTTGGGCAGTAATCCGAGGCTTTCGCCAGCTCTGCGAGTTCTTGCGCTCCCAGCGCCTGTTGTCCAAGGGTAGCGTCGACATGCTGGAAATTGAACCGAGATTGAAATCGAAATCGAGATTGCTCTGTCTCATTCCAGCAGCCGACGGCCGGAGTTGCAGAGACCAAATTTGCTGTCACTTATCAGAAGAGAATTGGACGATCACAAAAGAACAGATGTGTCAGTGGTGAACGGTAAGATGGCTCCTGCGTATAGCGAGAGAAAGCTTTGACTCGGAAATAGCAGATTCAGAGCAGAAACAACAAGGCAAGAGATATCAAGGGGAAGGAAATTGAGAAATCTCTTGTCCACGTGCACGAGATTGGCGATGCACGACACCTGCTCGACCAGATGCAAGAAGGAAACCTCCGGCCGGCTCAAGGAGCGGAACAGCAGACGCCAGAAAACTTGCCTGGGCCCGAGACGCGACGCGAACGGAATCCCAGGGGAGGAGGTGAGAGGGGAGGGCGTTAGGCAAAAGCCGCCACTGACAGCTTCAAACGTGCCCAAAAAGGAAATAAGGCATGTGCCAGACGGAACCCACCCGAGGCGCTGCTAGATTTACGTAGTTCGGTACTACTGGGAGACGAGGGGAAGGCAGGGCAGTGAGGGCGGCGATACCGATGGGAATATGGGCGAACTATGGAGGCTGTAGTCATGTTGATCCAGGAGATGTAATCCATACACAGTACTCCGTACACAGAGCAGAGATGTAACAATTCAGCCCTCGGGTCTAAAATTGTGGTCGTTTTTTCACCGGCGAGAGAGATTGATAAGGGCACCGCTAAGGGGATGAAGCAGGAGAAAGCTCCATTCCACCAAGTTGAGGCTTTGTCAGATAGGCGAGATGTGGGATATGGAGACGAGGGATGGACAATCGATACGTTCGACAACGTGAGGTCCGAACAAGACACAATGGGCGTAGCACGAAGTAGTACTAGGGCGATAGATACGAGACAGGGGGTAGATGACGAGCTGATGGGCGATGGGCGATGGACGATGGACGATACGGTGGCTGACCTGAGTCCCGAGTCCTGTGTCGCTTGAGTCCCATGGTCCAGTGTCCACTGTCCACTGTCCAGGGGAATAGGGGAAGGGCTGGAGGAGGCTGCAGAATCAAATGACACGGCTGACCAGGGGCTGCCTGGTCAGCGTGGGGATCAGGCTGTGTAATTTACCGCGATCGGTACTAGGGCGGTACCAAGCCAGGCTAAGCCGCACACGGCCTCGCGCCAAGCAATGCATTTTCAACCTCAGCTTCACCCGCCAGCGGGCAATGTGTGACCCTCGGGGGGAGGAGCTCTCTATCAACAACATCGCCATGTCCGAGCCCCTCGAGAGATTAGCCGACGGGGCTCTTCAGAGGTGGCAGGTGGCTGTCGTGCAAAATTCTGACAATCTCGCTGACAGAATCAAAGTGGTTGGCCCAGGCCCGTGCCAGGCTGGCCCTGACCACAGCTTGCTCTTAGCAGAACCTCGGAGGACCAAACAACGGCGGTCCGCTGGCAACCGTCAACTGTCGACTGAAGCCTGTTGAAAATGGTACACAGGCGGGCAGATCATGTTGTGAGTGGATTGACCATGGTGGCATCTTGGTACGTTCTCGGTTTGGGGGCTGATCTTCTTTGCCCCTGTGAAAGTCCCTTCCCATTCGACGGCGCGGGATTGCCCTATTCCTCGCGAATCGAGAGCAGTGAAAATGCATAATGCTATTCTGCACGAGAACAGAAAAGGCCAAGTCCCAGAAGCGATCCATTTGATAGTGCCCTCCTCAGCTCTGCCTCGATCGGCCTCGGCCGCGAATTGGGCACGAATGGTGCTCACACGACTCTCACAGGCCCTTGTTGTTTTTACCAGCCGCAGAATGGAGCCTTCTCCTGAACAAACACCGCGGTAAGTATCCACTTAGCCTTATGCCGCCATCTGCCTTGATGCCTCAGCCGTCCGTGGTCCTCCCGCCGATGCTTTCTGAGGATGTTCCTCCGGGAGATTAAACTGTGTTGCCAAAGCCGTCAACCTGACCGTCAGTGGCGCTGTCATCTTCACACTTCGGTTTCTTGATGTGACGATGGACTGCAATGTGGCCCGCCATTGCACCTCGCGTTGACCGTCTTCCCAGCCATGATGCCCCTTGGCTGGTCCATGCCCGCTCACGTTGACTGTCGTGCTTCCCGTTGTTTCTGCCCAGTGGTGGCGGCGGATGAGGCTTGCACTGGCATCAGCACTTAGCCCAAGGCCCGTGTCCAGACTCAGGTCAACTGAAGTGCATGGCAGAGTGCCTCCCCCACAGAGAATCCACACCATGGCTCCTATCAACGCGTGCCGAGTTGTGACAACAGGAAATGAGGTTTGATACTGGTACTATATAGGACCCAAAGCTCGCGCCCTTTTCCCAACCTCTCTTACCACCACCTCTTCAGAGCAGCACAGGTCACTCGTCCATTCGTTATAATTCGAGGGAATTTTCCTTCAGCCATTCTTTACACCAGAGTCATTCGTTAACTTTTCACCATGCGTTTTTCATCATCCGCGGTCGCTTCAGCGGCCCTGATGGCCGGCGCAGCCATCGCCGACCCCTTGACCGTCATCACCCCGTGTCCTGGGCAAACCACCTCGAGCATTCCTCCTATCACGGTCACCGAACAATACCAGCCCGTCTCGACTTGTGCCACCGAATCCGCATACTTCCGAGGTGCGTGGGTGACCAAGTACCCACTTGAGACATACACCTATGTCAGCACCACCATCCCTGCCGCCTGGGATGGCAGCGCGGCCACGCCCAGCGTTATCACTGCCATCGATCAGGAGGTGATTGTGTCTCAATTCCAGACCACCATCACCAAGACAGTCACACCCACCGTCTCGGTGACCAAGAACGGCACCATCTTCTTGATCCCCTCGCCCACTCCCATTGCGCTCACCATTGCCAAGGACTTCAGCTGTCCATTTGAGGAGATTGGTCCCCTTGCCATCCCCGGCTACGGTGGCAGTGGTCTGAGTGATGAGGGCAAGGTCCAGGCCGATGGCAGCCGGTCGCAGGTTGTGGACGTCGTTGAATGCCGTGCCGGTCCTGGAGGCTCCAAGTGCGTGGGTTATGAGGAGACTTGGATTTCCAAGCCTGCTCCCGCTGCATCCAAGACGACTGTCGCTCCTGTTTCAACCCAGTTCGTCGCCCCGAGCGCTGGCTGGTTCACGTTTACCTTCACCCTGACTGCCCCCTCGCACGTCATTACCGCTGAAACGGAGACCATCACCGTGGCACCCAGCCCATACTATGCTCATGCCAGCCACTTCTGCAAGAATGCCTGGGAGGTTGTGGACTTCACGACCACCATCACCAAGACCATCTACTGGACTGTGCCATTCAACCATCAACCACCTGCCACTTACAGCCCTGTGCCTTTCCCCAGTGGTCATGCCGGTTGGTCGCATTTCCCCAAGCCAGGTCCCAACGACCCTATCGACAACGGCGTCGGTGGTGATCCGTTCGGCTGGGCTGACTGGGGCAGCGACGATGTTACCAACCCTGGCCTTCCTCTCCCTGGTCAATGGGCTGACTGGGCCACTGAGACTGTCACCCAGACCGTCACTGCCAGTGTCGGCCCTATTGGCGCTTCTACCAGCTCGTCGGCCACCAGTGCCAGCAGCGCCTCCTCCGCCACCAGTGCCTCTTCTGCCAGCAGCGCCTCGTCTGCGAGCAGTGCTTCGTCTGCTAGCAGCGCCTCGTCTGCCAGCACCACCTCGAGCGACAATGGAGTCGGTCCCATTGGCGCTTCTACCAGCACCTCGCTCACTAGCGCCAGCAGCCTTTCATCCACCAGCAGCAGCTTGACCAGTGAGAGCAGTGCCTCCTCCGCCAGCAGTGCTTCGTCTGCCAGCAGCGCAAGCAGTGCATCCACCACCAGCAGTGCAAGCAGCGCCTCCGCCACCAGCAGCAGCTTGACCAGTGCGAGCAGCGCCTCCTCCACCAGCAGCAGCTTGAGCAGCGAGAGCAGTGCCTCCTCCACTAGCAGCACCTTGAGCTCGCTGTCGTCGGCTTCCAGCACTTCGTCTTCTGCCTCCAGCACCACCACCACCGGTGTTCCGGCCACCACGCCCTTCTACATTACCTCCAACACGCCCACCAAGTACCGCAAGCGAGCTCTGGTGTACATTGGCTTCGAGGGTGAAGATGCTGTTCTCGTCAGCGACCGCACTGAGGCGGCTTTGTTCTACCTGGACACTGATGGCTTCTTGCTGTCCGGTGGCCTGTACGTCCTGGCCGACTTCAGCCAGCCATACATTGCCTTCCAGTTGAGCGCCACCAAGCCGACCACCCTTTCTCCCTGGACCATCAACGCCGATGGGTCGCTTGATCTCACGGTCACCAACCAAGGGTTCTGTGTGTCGACGTCCAGCTTCGTCTTCATTCTGTTCTCCCAGTCGCCACCGTTCACCTGCACTCCCATCTTGTTGGTCATTCAATCTCCCAACGGTAAGTTTACCTATTCTCGTGATCCTGACCGGTCGCTAACTCTTCTTCAGTTGTCGTCACCTCCAGCACGACCACTACCGTGGCAGCTACCACCACCACTGAGGCTACCTCCACCACCACGTCTATTGATGTGTCGGGTGATCTGGATGCTGACCTGCCCGCTGCCACTGCTGTCCGCCGTGGTGTACAATACGGTGCGCGCAAGTACTACCACCACCGCCACTAGATGGGGCAGGGTGATTAGGGATCGAAGTAGAGGTGAGACACGCTCTAGGAAGCGATGTGATTTTAGGAGGGTGTGAGGGTTGTGTGTGTGGCTGCGTTCTTACTATTCCTCGCTCTAATGGGCTTCTTTGTTCAATCAGACATGGCTGTCTCGGGCCCGGGGCGATTTCGCAAGAGGCGTCCTGTGCTACAGACATCTGCAAAGGTTGAAATCCATTTTTTGTATAGACTTTGGTTCCGGTACGGTTGCTACTTTTGGTTGGCTCATGTGCACGAAATGACGAAGACGAGACGAGACGAGAACCGCAGTCGCAACGTTGGAGTAACGGTCAAGCAGAGGAATGCACCACCGCTGAGATAGGACAGGTACCACTCATGTCTTATGAGGCAACAATATGTTTTCCCCCAAATACCATCCATAGCTCGGGCAGAGCTCAGCGGACTGACTCGTCTGAGAAATCGGAACCAAGGTCTTTTTTTATTTTGCTTACATTACTTGACCAGCTCTCAGCTCTCCCTTCATACCAGAGGCATCTACACAGTTTCGGGGAGGCGACTTACCACACAACACAACATACGGGCAAGCCAAGTCACTTGCCAGAGAGAGCACTGGCTTGGGGCAACACTCGACCTGACTGGACTTGCCTCGACTCGGCTTCCCACTCCCTCTCCCTCTCCCTCATTTCCCTGGCGCAGGTTGTGGCTGGCAACATCGGGGCCGCTTGGACCATTGACATGCACGCAATTCAACTCTCACAGCACAGACACAGACGCACACGCACACGCAGACGAGGCGAGGCGAGGTCAACAACACCGGACATGCAGCACCGGCGGTGGCGGTCGCCGTTGGGTGCACTGTGCATTCGTTCCTATGGACGAACTACGCATGACCCCTTCTCCCTCTGCTCGGTGTGCCCGGTGGCCTGTGATCTGTGGCTGGCTGAGAGGGTTTTTTGCTTTTTGCGAGCACCTACGCGAGCACACGATGGGGTCTGCTAACCCGTACTATTATGTGTATTCAGCTGAATGTGCATACTGCTGTGGCTGCGTAGCACAATGTCCACCTACAGTTCTGGACTCAGTACAGTGGCAAGAGGCCGCCACAATGGCCAAAGGGGCTGCTGACTGCTGACGACTGACTGATGGCTGTGAGGCCAGACCAGACCAGACGCTGCTGTGCCTTGGAACCTGCGAGTTTAGTTCTGCATAGTAGTACACACGCCATACTGAGTACGGATACCTAGGGCCTAGTATCTAGGTAGTAGGTAATAGGTACCCCTAGGGACTCGACACGGCAGCCACAGATCAGGTACGAATCGTTGGGTCCGTCATTTCAAGTGACGACTGCCATGTATTGACTAGTACGGGAGTCCAGCCCAGTCTGCCTCGTCATTGGCAGCACAGCCAACTTTGGTTAGGACGGAGTGGTCGTACCCACCATGGCGTCCAGGGGGACAGCTGGTCGCGCGACAGTGACAGTGGCCTGGTCCCCTCTCCCTCTCCACGATGTGGCGTCCCCCCAGTCACCACTGCACCAGTACGGATACTCCGTAGTGACTCAGGCACCTAGTCAGGTACCAAACCTTCGTGACCAACTGTGCCCCTCGTGAGCGGCCGGTCCGAGATTTCTTCAATCTGCAATTTCAACGGCTGCGCAGATCGCCATCCCTGCTAGAGCTAAGCCTAAGGCTATTGCTGGCGCCAACTGCCTACTGCCAACTTCCCCCCTGTCCCTGTCCCGGCTACCGCTGGTCGCGATCTCGACGCCTCGGCGGTCTTTTTCGTCTAGCCCTACGGATGGATGATAGGCCGGCCGGCCCAGGGGGGTTTGTCCAGACACCAGCTTCCCCTGGTATAGTGGTAGTACACCAGCTTCCCCTGGTATAGGTAGTGGTAGTGCAGCTTCCCTTGGCAGGTGCCTGGTATAGTTAGTGGTAGTGGTAGTGCGTACGGAGTATACTGTATGCACATTTATGTCATCACATGCGTATGATTTACGTGTATCCCTCACTATGTCTATGTCTATGTCGATGTGCTTGGAGTGTACTGTATGATATGTGGCGAGGCTCGATCGAGCGCCCTGTACACCGTACGGACTACTGGTTTCCCAGACTCTATTGAGAACGGCACCCTCTACAAATGTCCTCCACAGATGATCGCTGAGGTGGTGAAATTGCAGCCCTCAAATCCCACCCAGCCCGCCGCTCCTCGCTCCTCGCTCCTCGGCGCCGACTCGTTCGAACTATTGTTTTTTGACGGTTTCGACATCGCGCCCTGACACTTGTCGCTGCGCCGGAACACCCAGTACCACACCCCCTCTCCTGCCCCCGTCTCCGCTGTGGGTATTGCTGACCTCGACCAACATCGATCTGATCAGGACAGCAGGGAGGGACAGCACTGCGCCTTTTACTCCTGCTCTGTAGTATGTCAGTCACATGCTAGGAGTGGCCCCTCTGTCCTTCCCCCTCACTGCAGACTTGCTCACCTCATCCTTCTAGCATCAGTTCACCTCACCTCATCCTTCTAGCATCAGTTCACCTCACCTCATCCCTCTAGCATCAGTTCCTAGCTCTAGGTCGCCAAGAACGCCTCTGCACCGAGTACGGTGTATATGTAAACATGTGTACAATTTAATTAATTAGGACTAATTCACGGAAATTCTCGGTCCTCAGCACGCAGACACACGACCTGGCGTGGCGGGCTGAGTTTTGCTACTACTGTAAGTGTACACTTCACTAGTACGTACAGTATGCGCGTACGTACTCCGTCCTACATATATGGATTACTACACAGTAGTGGACTCCGTCCTACACATATGGATTGCTACACCGTAGTGGACTCTACTCTACTCTGTAACCGCCGAGTGGGAAGCGAAGGGTAGTGAACTCTACTGTAACCGCCGAGGGAAGCGAAGGTGAACTTTGAAGGTGCCGGCGAGGTGGGGGCCGGGAAGGTGGCCTTAGGCTCGGGATTTTGTTTTGCCCTAACCTACGGAGTACTGTACTTGCACTTGCATCTATCGAAAGCGCGGCTGGACGGGGAGGAGAGGGGAATCAATGCTAAGATTTGAAAAGTCCCAGAGAAAAGCATATTAATATTAGTATTGGGTCAACTTTCAAGAGTGTGGAATCTCGCTGAAGACTATTGTACTGTTCTGTTCTGTACTGTATTCCAGCGTCTACACATCCACATACAGTAAAACTCTAATATGGTGTCAATGTTTACACATCCAGTAAAACTCTAATAACATGGTTGGTGTCAATGTTGTGGTGATTGTACACATCAGACTCGTTGTCGGCAGTCCGAATATCTGGTTTTGGTCTTTGGTCTTTGTTTGCTCGCGTGCCATGTGGGTGGGTGTCAGTGGGTGTCAGCGGCAGGGTATTGTACTACAGTAGTACAATATGCAGGTACAGGACCTCGGCGTCGCACTGCCGGGCGCCGGATGGACGGGCAGGACAGAGTAGGTGTAGGTAGAGGTGCCTGATGGATACAACCACTCCTCTAAGCTGATGGATGACAAGCACTCCTCCAAGGTTGGGTTCGTGCTAATGAAAGACTCGCTCCCCGGGTGGGTATGTCTAGTGTTTACAGAGGACATACCTAGTACTACTTTCTTAAATTGGTGGAGGGGAGGCCTTAAGCCCTTCCTTAGCCATGGGAGATCACTGATCAGTAATGACAATGACATTGACTGCGGTTGGAAACCTTGGCCGGTTTACTCATCAGGAACGAGTACCTACGTCGTTTTGAATCGGTCCTTCTGTCGACGCTCACGATCCCTTCTTTACGTTAGTATTTAGTACGTGACAGCACTCTTTGGAGGGGGAGGGCCAGCGTATGATGCCAGTAATGAATGGTGTTTTGGATGTTGTATCATTGATATTTGCTCTGCTCGAGTCGCTGTTAGCTTGTCTCGTCGACAGGTCGGCCCCGGGGCTGCAAGGGATGTACGATAGAGAGGATTTGACATGTCCTACCGACCCTTCTTTTCCCGCCCAGGCTGACAGAGAGTTGTGACATCAGGGCTGCTGAGCTAAACGGACGTGGTATGTATTGTAAGGTAGGTAGTTTGGCTCAGACTCATGTGCGGCAGGGCAGAGTGAGGCTTAGGCCCCATGAGATGAGCTTGGAGCTTGACTGGGTCAAGGTCCACCAAATGGGTGCTGCTGACTCTTTCTCTGTTTCTCTGCGTCGTGAGGGTCGCCGGCTGAGGGTGCGCGTACACATCTTCAATTCTCCTATTCTCCGGCTCTGGTTGATGACCTCTGGTTGATACCTCTGGGTGAGATATGAGGGCCTGACTCCCCAGTCACTCGACATCTTTGCAAGACACCACCACTGATGGCTGGTCCTGTTCCTAGGGCTCTGGTTCTGGTTCTGGTTCTGGCTCTGGCTGGCCTTGGACCTTGGGAGCTGTCTGTGTCCGACATTCTCGCCAGTCGCGCCCTCGACGTCGACATGCTGCTCGCGGGTGGCAGTGGCAGTGGCATCAGCACCCTGTCCACGGCTGTAGATTTGACGAGGGACGTGACCAAAGCAGCGAGGCAGAGGGACCTTTCACTCTCGCCTACCTGGGGGCTCGCCCTTTGGTCCTGACACAGGATGGATGACTTCCCATCGTTCCCCTGCGATCGTCGGTGTTCTGTACCCCTGAGGAGAAACCTGGGGCAACATCTCTGCTCGACACTGATCCAAGCTGACACTGGGACACTTTGCAAGTTGCCAGTGTTCGGTGCATCCATGTGGGTTCAATGTCAATCGACTGACGAGTGAAAGCAGAACTGGGTCTATCCCAATAATGAGCCATCTGATGGGCAGACACTGGCCAAAACGTTCCTTCTTGCCCATGAAAGTGCCGTCTCCCAGGTTGGCCTCAAGATGCCGTCTCCCAGGGTGGCGAGGTTGTGGCAAGGGTTGGACCGGCTCTTGTCCAAGTCCATAATAACGTCCAGAACTGAACCATCCACATTCCCATGCAACAAGCGAGTCGAGAATGCCACCGACCAACGGTGGTTTTCTCGGGCTGTGTGAACGAACGCGCACAGATGTCGGTATACCTCTCCTTTGGGCCTCTTCATCGATGAGATTGAGTGGCTGCCACTTGGACTTACCTGTTGTTATCTCGGGTGAGTGCTGTTCGGCGCCTGATATTGCGCGACGCAACACAACATTTCTCCCTCCTATCCCTTCTTTGGCTTTAATTTTGATCAGGGCGCCCTCCAACACGGCATCACAACATAACACTTTGCTTGGCGAGACCCGAGCACCTCAACACTTGCCCCTGCCGCGTATTAAATGCGGTGATATATTGCAATTGCAGATTTCTCCTCAACAATCCATAGGATTAGTTGGGGGTTCGAGCCTATCTCCTTCTCCTGCTATCCTTCCTTGCCTGCCCGCTCTCAGAAGGGTTCTGATTACTTGAAGCCCAGCCCCTAAAAAGGCTGTGTAACAGGCTGATTCGAACCCTCTTGAGAGTCCTCAGGAAAGGAGGGACGTAGGATGAGATAGACTCGGCCTCTGGCCCGGCCCCCCTCCCCCTTCCTCCCCTTAAAAAACCAGATACGTTGTTCTGGCTTCACGTCTCTACGAGTTCCCTAGGTCGGGAGGGCTCGTAGGGCCGTGTTTTCGCTGGAATTCCTCTGTTCAAGTCTTGCTTGTTTCCCTCCCTTTTTTGTTCGGTTCAGCACAGAGGGCTTTGGTTGGTTGCCTTTCCTTTCTACCTCTCAAGGCTTCACTATAGAACAAACGGCCCACGCAGTGCACTCACCGTATTGTCCTTCAATTCAAGGGCAATCGGTTCATGGTTGCCCAGCCCAAATCAACTCTCGCCTACCTACACCAGCCCTCTTGTTGCCCACCCAGCACTACATGTAGTTGATAGTTGATGCTTGTTCTGCTGATGTGATGTTGATGTCTGATGTCGATAGTGACACGCCAAGATTTATGCAGCACGTGACTGTCTAATTGGTTGCTGTGCACTGGGCCAGCTCCTACGCTGATTGGATGCGCAGCTGCGCCGGCCGGTTGTGCGGCATTTTCTGCCTGCTCCGCCCGGTTCATTTTCGCTGGGCTGCATTGGCCGGAGCTCTAAACTCCAACTGAGGTTTATCTCCATCCCCCTGTGAAGACAGAAAACAGAAAAGAATTTATCACCGTCTTACTCTCTCTGCACATCCCTCGTCTTGAGCAATACTGGTCCATCCAGTGCACTCTCTCCTCTCCGTTCTAGATTTCTTTGTTGCGTTAGTCATTCGCCATGGCCGCCGCCGCCGCACCCAAGCTCCTCGAGACGCCCGCCGAGCCCAAGCTCTCCGGCCTCGGGCTGTACAGCAGATTCGTAAGCTGCCATTGTCCTCCACGACCGCAGCCTCATTACTGACTGACCTGATCTAGGCCTTCGCTGGCGCTGTCTGCTGCTCCATCACTCACGGCTCTCTGACTCCTGTCGATGTGTAAGTCTCCTCCCGTCTGACCTCCTTTCTCCTCCACCCTCGACGAGCTTGCGACCTGACCATCTACCAGCGTCAAGACGAGAATCCAGCTCGACCCTGTCACCTACAACACCGGCTTGATTGGCGGTTTCAGAAAAGTGATCCAGACTGAGGGTGCCGGTGCTCTTTTGACCGGTGTCGGCCCAACCTTTGCTGGTTATTTCCTGCAAGGCGCATTCAAGTTCGGAGGTTACGAGTTCTTCAAGCAACAGGCCATCGACCTCCTCGGTTACGACACAGCGCGAAACAACCGAACGGCCGTCTACCTTGCCTCCTCTGCCGCTGCCGAGTTCTTCGCCGACATTGCTCTCTGCCCCCTGGAGGCCACCCGTATCCGATTGGTGTCCGACCCTACCTTTGCCTCCGGTCTCATCTCTGGTTTCAGCAAGATCTTTAAGAATGAGGGTTTCGGTGCCTTTTACAGCGGGTTCGGTCCCATCTTGTTCAAGCAGGTTCCTTACACTATGGCCAAGTTCGTCGTGTACGAGAAGGTGGCCGAGGCCATCTATGGCAACTTCGTCGACCAGAAGACCGCCTCCGACGGTACCAAGACCGCAGTCAACCTGGGCTCTGGTCTGATCGCCGGTTTCGCTGCTGCCATTGTTTCTCAACCCGCCGACACCATGCTTTCCAAGATCAACAAGACCAAGGGTCTGCCTGGTGAGAGCACCACTTCCCGTCTGGTCAAGATCGCCAAGGAGCTGGGTTTCCGTGGCAGCTACGCTGGTATCGGTGCTCGTCTGTTCATGGTGGGTACTTTGACCGCCGGTCAATTCGCCATCTATGGTGACATCAAGGTAAGCCTCGCCTAACCCTCCATTACACATATGATGTAAGCTAAACTTGACGTACAGAGAGTCCTGGGCGCAACCGGGGGTGTCGACATTGGAAAATAGATCCGGAACATTCAAAGGTGATCGGTCCGACCGAATTCGTCTCAGGTTACGGTTTCAATGCATATTCAGACTTCGCGGGCGGATCTTTCAGCGTGCACACCGCATTGCGAGACGACACATGGCCATTAGAGACACTGCACATTTCTAGACGGTTCGGGTCTGGCACTACCGGATAGACGGTGCTGGACCTGGACTTGGAGCTGGACAAGCAACTTGGGGGAGCTCTGCAGAATTGCGCGGAAAGGAGATAGAGTTTCGAGAAGGGAATTTTCTTCTTGGAAGACATCCAAAAGGCGACTTTGCAGATAGACTGGGCGCTGTGTACCAACAATTAATGGCATCATTGTGTTTTTGTTGGTCCCATTTGAGATTCTCCTCCCTCCTTTTGATCGTGTGTCGTCTTACCAGTGGAACAATGCTTTTCAGCTTCTGGCCTTGACTTTGCCCTCTGACTCGACTGAGGTGTACGCCACATGCTACATACCATATGCCAGATATCTAGGAAGTATCTATCTAGTTAGATCAACGACAGCGCAGCGCAGCGTACCGAAATCAAAACAAGTCTCCATCTCAATCCTAGGTTCGCTCGCAGGACATTACCGAACGGTTTTCCCGCAGGGCTAGGAGAGAGAGAGAGACGACCCAGGTGTCTCTTGATCTCTTCTCGACACGCCGCAAGGCTGCGCGGCTGCGAGCACATTATGTACCATGCATGTATGACACAAGTACTAGAGTGGTTTCCGGCGAAAGGCAAACAGCGCATCGTCCTTGCCAGCATAGCTCGGCAGCGGAACCTGGCACACCTTTTCCCAGTGTGGCCGATAGGTCGCCATGTACTGGTCGACGGTCATGTCCTTGAACCCCGTGTAACCGTTCCCATTCTGCGTACCGGCCACGCAGACCACGGGGCCGGTGTAGGCGTCGAGCAGCCGGCGCGTCAGATCGGCCCCGACGATCGGGTAGACCAGCAGCAGCACGCGGTCCGGGCAGCCGGCGCGTCGGCGTAGGTACTGCACGCCGTCGGCCACCACCGTGTCGGCGATCCACGTCGTGCGCCATCGGCTCTGTCCGCTGTCCACGGCGACCACGTCCAAGTCGAAGCCGTGGCTGACGGAGAGCCGTCGCAGCATCAGCGTCCAGTATCCGTTGCCGCTGCCCATGTCGAGAACGGCGCCAGAACCAGAGGCAGAGGCAGAACCAGGGCCAGAAGCGTCAGAGCCCGAGCCCGCCGATATCGCAAGCTTCGCCACAATCTGCAGCGCCTCCCATGATGGCACCACACAGCCGAAATGGTGCATGTACACGGGTAGCACGTGGTGCGCGGTCTTGACCAGCGCGGTGTTGGTGTTGGGTCCGCCGTACTCGAGCGCATGGCACGCGTAGGCCCAGAAGTCGAGCGCCGGGTTCGCGTGGCCGAGTTTTGCGTTGGCGGGCGCCGAGTTGGGTGGCGTTTGTGCTTTGGCCTGCGCTTTGAATTTCGGCACGTTGATCGACTTGTCCAAATACCGTTTGCTGAAGAGATACTCTGCCACGGTGGCGCGGATGGACGACTTTTTCGCATTCGCAGCTAGCGATTTGAGACTGTTCGCCGACGACTTGGTCGGATCGAACAGTGAAACGTATGCTTGAATGTCGTTTTGCGGAGGATATCCCACCACCCGGAGCGAGGGATGGCCGGGGATCCTGTCGTCAAGGTTGTCGTCTGCGTTTGCACTTGCATCTTTGATGCCACTGCCACTGCCACTGCCACTGCCACTGCCACTGCCATCGCCACCGCTGGCTCCATCATGATTGATGCCGACAGGCTCCACGTACCACGCGTGCAGCCCGTTCGCTCGCCCAGCACGGATCGCCGCCTCGACCTGGGCCAAATTCACACTGGCCGAGGCATGGTAGGTGAAATTGTCGCCTGGGCTCAGCTCAAATGCCGTGCTGATGGCGGCTCGGAACTCGTTCCGGTTCAGGTGTTCGTGGATCTTGGTCCAGCGCTCCGCCTCCGCTTCGCTGACGTCGTCGAAGAGGTGCGGCGCTGTCCATGTCTTTGAGCCGTCAGTGCCTTCATTCGGCGGCGGTGGCGGCATGAGGCCTTGTATCTGTCTCTTGGAGCGCCCGCGAGTTGTGGTCGACTAGGTGACTAGTTGAGTGAAAGACAGCGCAGCCTTTCTGCAAGTACGCAGAACAAACCACAAACCCATGCGCTAGACGGTGTGTAAAGGTGCGAACCCTGTTTCAGCCAGCAGCTTCTCGGCCCAGCTGTGTCGGATAGAGGCGGCGTTCGCTGCAAAAGGTTGAAATTGAATACTACATGGACACAGGACGTGCCGGCACGATCGACGTTGGATGGACGAGGCTGCGTCTGGAATAATTCAATTGGAGGGGCGCCCGTCTGACTGAAATCTGCGGCCTAGACTGAGCTCCGTTTACTGCAGTTGGCCACTAATTATTTTGTCAGTCAGAGCCGCGAGAGTCCATGTCACGTGAAAGCCCCGTCTCAGTCTCAAGCTGCTTTAAGGGCCTCGATGCGGGGTCTCGCTTCTGCTGGTCTGCCTTCTGCCTGCCTGCGTCCCTGAACGGAGCTTTAAGTGTTTGGAACATTCACACAGCGATGATCGCAAGATCCATCCCGCTCTTCCTCCCGCGGGCTGCTCGCCTGGTTTACCGCCCGGCCGCGTCAGCCACGTCAAGCCTTTGCTTAGTTCCCCTACAACGGATAATGTAGAGATCCAGGAAACCCCCCAGCAAGAGGTACATATACTACAGCTTGATGTGCTCCGTACAATCCCGCCGATGAAACCAACCTCAGTTCGACCCAGATCACCCCACGGTCGGAGGGATGGAGCGGTTCGGCAATGATGATGGAGGATGTGGGGACAAAAGCTGGGGAAGACCACTTCAGCCTCGGATAACGGGGCTCAGCAGGCCTAGGGTCCGGGGAAGCTGCCCTGTTGGGCCCCTTAGCCCATTCCTCCTCTTTTCTGCCTCTCCCAATCTTCCCTTGGGGTCCCCAGTCTCCTGACTCTTCGATAACAAGTCAGAACATCAAGATCGTCCTCTGCTCTACTCAGACGAATGGAACCGACCTGCGATGTCTAATTAGGTCTTGAGCAAGAACAGCGCTCTGCCATGCCCATCATGGAAGCACCCGCCGCGATGTCTCGCAATGGCACTAGCACTGCTACCAACCGATCGCGCCAGAGAGACACCGACGAGACTCGAGCGGAAAGGAAGAGAATCCAGGACCGGCTGGCCCAGCGAGCCACCCGCGAGAGGACCAAGAACCGCATCGCTTATCTCGAGCAGCGCCTGAGCAGTCTCGAGGCCGGCGACAAGCACGGAGAAGTGGCCAACCTGACTCGGCTCATGGACAACCTGCGGAGTGACAATCAGCGTCTCCGCAATGCCTTGGTCAAGATGCGCAGCACCCTCGACCAAGCCCTGCTGACTACCGAGGACCCGTCCAGCAACAACAATGACGATGAGAATAAGGACCGACTAGCCATCAAGGCGTGTGGGTGCAACGTACAGTCCGAATGTGCCTGTGCCTGTGCACAAACACCAACAGCAGTGACCCCCACCACGCCGACTGCGTTCCAAGCCCCGACGACGCCCCCCTTTCCAAGCGTCCACAGTCGCCATGACTCGGTCTCGACCGCCACCACGGATGTGGCGGAGGTGATGGTCGCTGACACCGTCGACACTAAAGCATTCGACTCTGGCGTGGCCCTCGACGTGTCGCAGCCTTCGGACGACGGCGTGGCTGGGCTCACAGGCCTGGAAGACTTCTTCGACTTCAGCCCGACCTCGCTGCTAGAGGCGCTCGAGACGGGCACGGCGCCCTTCAGTGGCTGGACTTGGTCTGCCCAGACCCCGTCGCCGTTCGACTATCACTACCATTTCTCGTCATCAGATACGGCGATCAAGACTGCCCTGGACGTGGAAAAGTGGCACGTGTCCAACGGCGCCTTCATCACCTGTCTCGACGCTGTCAAGAAGCGCGCCTCCTCCACCGCCACCCTGGACCTGCATGTGCCATTCAAAGCCGCCATCTGGGGATGGGAAAGTGTCGGGCCCGAGGTCCAGCATCCCGTATGGAATGCCTTGCGCCAGGTCGACCAGCGCGTCTTCGGCACTTGGACCTCCAAGGCACAACGCATTGCCTTGATGTATGTCTGCCAAACGCTGATCCAGTACCGCGAGAACCCGAGCAAGGAGAACTTGGATAGAGTTCCTGTCTTTTTGCGACCGAGGTAGGTTGTGTCCAATGCGCGATCGTCCTGACCTCCCTTGCGCGAAAACCAACATTCGCCGCGACCTCCATTCACAAACCTCCAAGGTAGATGGAATGAGATGTAACATCGGCTGACGCTGGCGTGTCCGCTGCTCAGGCCGTCACAAGAGAAGATCCAACACCCGGCAGTCATCGACTTTTTGATCTGGTGCGTCATCTCACATCCACATCCACAACCACAACCACATCTACATTCATAACTATACTCCCTGCCCCTGTCCCCGTCTAGATCGAGCTTCAAGATCGGCTGTCTCTAACACCTTAGTAACACTACCAGGCCCGGCCTCCGCGACCGGCTTGTGTTTGAATACGAGAAATATACTGCGACGGGCGCCTTTTCCGCCGCCTATGTCGCCAACTTCCACTTCCACTGGCCGTACTCGGACCGCGACATCTTCGCCTATAACCCGCAGCACAACCGGTACGAAGTGTCGCCCATATTCTTGGAATACGCGTACAACTTCAAGAACTGGACCATGAAGCCCGGCTTCTTCAAGCATTTCCCCGAAATGCAGCATGACATTGCCGCCACCGAGGAGACGCTCGATCTTCCACGAGCCACTTGGACGGTGTGATGTATCGATGACAATGGTGAGAAGTGAGGCAAGATAGACCAGAAGAAATCGAAGCAATGCAAATGCAAATGCAAATGTAAAAGCAAATGCAAAAGAAGAAACATGGCTTCTCTTCCTTCCTTGATACAAGTTGCAACCACCATGATCAACATTGCTCGGCTGCGCGTCAGCTGGATTTCTCGATTTCCCACTATATTCATCGATGAGTCGAAGTGGCTACGCTCGCCACGCTCACCAAGCACTGCACAGTTCCACTGCCAGCCTACGACATCACACGGCAACAACAGCGCTCGAGGAGGGAGAGATGATGCTACCTAAGGCCTGAGGGAGAAATGATGCTACCTAAGGCCTGAGGGTGATGGTGATGGTGATGGTGATGGTGATGGTGTTGGTGATGGTGATGGTGTTGGTGATGGCGATGGCGATGGTGATGGCAAGTCGAGTATTGGTTGGCGCAGTGAGGACTCCAGACCTGCCAACTGCCAAACAAATGCAAACTTGCCAGGCGAAAGTTATGTGTGAAGATCTCAGATCGATGCCCTCACATCACACATAGTCTGCCATCTGGACACACGGAAGTTTGCTACAGCCCTATATCAGAAACACCACCAACAAGTGAGGGATGGCAAAAACACTCCACCAACAAGTGAGCCATCCCTCCTGCCCGGCCCCTGGGGCAGGCGACTTCCCCTACCTAGGATGCAATCGATTGGGCCACAGTCGAAAGTGATGTGCACATGCAAGAATCGAAGAAGGGAGGTGCTAGAAGAGTCGGTAAAGGTACTCGTACAACAGTCAGGTTGAACGTTCACCGGCCAAGACGCTGGGAGCGGGTGCCTTTTTGGTTTAGAAATCCACAATCCACGGCCAGCTCGGTAGAAGGAGCCATGTGCCATCATGCGTGTTTCCTTCACCTGTAGTTACATGTCTCTCTTTCTAGGGTACAATCAATCGTGCAGACTGCACAGTCAGTCTCGTTAGCAAACAGCCATTGCAGTCATCTAAAATACTTGGACTTGGGCTTCGGCCGTCCTCGACAAGACAGTACGTACAGACCCATGATTATTGGCAGTCCTATAAGACCACTTAGTACCAGTACCAATAGGTAGGTAGTAGACCAGTACCAGTCCCAATGCCAGTACTAGTACTAGTCAGTACCTTAAGGTAGGTAGTAGTCACTCATTGTCAGACTCCAAGGCAAATAGAGAAAGCGACTTGATCGTTGTACTGTAATCAGGCCCAGGCCCAGGCCCACAGCCACGGCCACGGGACAAACCAGGGGGCCTAGGATGAAGGCTGAGGTCTATGTAACTTGCATAAAAACATAGCTAAGATCCAATCTCGTGGCTTGCTCGTCAGAGGAATTCTGAATTTGCAAAAACTTTTTCCACCAGCCTCAGTATCAACTTTGATGTGATGATGAGGGTTGTGGGAAGTTAAACCCGATCGGTGTTGTAGGGTTTTTCCGTTCTTGACTGGTCGGTGTTGGTGGTAACCCGGGTTCGCAGGGTTCAAGTATCGAGTGGTTCGTTTGTTGTCGAGTTGTTATCAGTTGATTTATTGGGCCTAATTGTAATTAATTGTTTATTGGGCCTGAAACAGATCGCTTGTCAGTCGCTGATTGGCGTTAACCCGGGTTCGCAGGGTTATTTATGGGTGACAGTGAGAATTGAACTCAAACTCGAGGATCGGTCGCGGTCCGGTCGCCCAGTTAGTGACTCGGCCACTGCACTGGGGGTCTTTGCGTTATTGGGAGAAAAATCCGTGAATGCAATACATAGGCCTTGGATTTTTTGCTGCGGTGAATTCAAATGAGTTGGCGGTGGGAGTATTCTGCCGGCACACTCACCCTCAGCTTTAGAGGCAGCCTAAGTCTTTCTTCCCTCACCCTTACCCTTCGAGGCAGCCATTCTTCCCTCAGTGCTCGAGGCAGCCCAAGCCATTCTTCCCTCACCTTTCGAGGCAGTCGAAGCCCTTCCTTCTTCCCTCAACCTTCGAGGCAGCCTAAGCCATTCTTCCCCCACCCTTCGAGGCAGTCTAAGCCTTTCTTCCCTCACCCTCGAGGCAGCCCAAGCCCTTCTTCTCTTCCGGAACAGAAAGTCGAGCGGTCAGGCACACAACTGTTGCCACGCCATACTACATGCCGCTCCAAGTCAGCAAGCAATAGCTACAGCGACGTCGGGCATTTCTAGACACGGTCCTTTTTGCTCGCCTCAACCTCGTGGGCTTCAGTGAATTTGAAATATCACCCTGCCCCGCGCGTGTTGGGTTGGATTTGGAATCAGCTTGTCTTTTTTTGAAGGAGACGATGGTGGTGCTCTTTGCCTATCTCCAAGCGAATGGCGAACAGCACCATGAGCTAAGGTACTTACTCCTCGGTCCGGTCATCGCAGAGCAGAGCACTATCCCTAGGAATGATCTCTGTCCTCGGTCCGGTCATCGCAGAACACCATCTCTCGGAATGGTCTTTCGGGCGTGGCATGAGCATGAGCATAGCATAGCATAGCAGTCGGTGATGTATTTCGGCGGAATCATGATACGGAATGCTCGGGCCGGAGAAGATTCTACAGTATAGTACTCTGTATCTGTACACCTACGTCGTCCGTTGTCCGTCGTCTCTGTCGACGTACGTTGGTTGATGGACCTAATCTGCTTATATCAGCTGCGGATGTTGCCGCGGATCGGCCCGTCAACGCCGACATCAGCGAGCAAATCTAACTGGCTACTCCGTAGCCGAGGATTCGGGCGGGAAAAAAACAAAAATAAAGTGAGAGAGAGAGAGAGAGAGAGAGAGAGGCATGTATGCGTACTCATGGTACATAGTACATAGTACAGCATTAGATGCCCGCATGCGTCTCGCATCCCACCCCCGAAGGCGTCCCATTCTTCCATCGACATGAGCATCAACATGTTCTGATGGCATAGCACGTCAGGGTTGCCGGCGATATCTACGTCCCTCTCCCTCTCCATCTTCCAGACACGACAAAACACACATAACCCTCCCCAACGCAGCAAACACATACACAACCCCCCCCCGACACGGCAAAACAGAAACACAGCCCTCCCCGACGCGGCAAACACAAACAAAACCCTCCCCGACGCAGCAAACACATCCACAACCCTCCCCGACACGGCAAACACATACACAGCCCTCCCCAACAGCAAAACACATACAACCCCCCTTATGGACGCCCAGGCCCATCTCCTCTCGCTCGGCTGGGCTGGGCCCGGGCACTCGCTCGACTCGCGGCCGTACACACAAAAAGGCCACCGGGGACTCGCGTACGACCCCGCCAAGGTCGGCAACAACGGCAACGGGCTGGTGAAGCCGCTGCTCGTGTCACAACGCAAGGGCCGCTTCGGGATCGGCAAAAAAGCCCACGAACCGCCGGCCGGGACCGAGTGGTGGCTGAAAGGCTTCGAGAGCGCGCTGGGGAACATTGGCAAGAGCGAGAGCGAAAGGACCAGTGGGGCCAGTACGCCGGCCATAAGCCAGAGCCAACACAATATGAGCGGCAAACACGGCTCGCTGTATAGCTACTTCATCAAGGGTCCGGATATGGAGGGGACGATTGAAGACTTGGACGAGATGCAAGGGACGATTGAAAACGAAAACTTGGACGAGATGGAGGTGGAGCGGTCCCTGTCGTCGAAGAAGAAGAAGAAGAAACGAAAGAGCGATGTCCTTGACGACGACGACACCGACACCGCCGCAGTGGTGACCAAGATGAAAAAGAGCAGCAAAAAACAGAAGCGGGACGCCGTGGTTGAATTCGAACAAGTCAGCACCTACATGGCCTTACGCGACAAAGATAAACAGCGCAGGCAACGGCCCGAACGGCCCAGTCCTGTCGAGGAGTTCCGGCATGTCGGCGAGTATCTCGAGGCCAAGGCCAGGTCGGAGAGGAAAGACAAGGAAAAGAAGAACGAGGCTAGGTCGGAGCGGAAAGACAAGGAAAAGAAGAAGCAGAAGCGGAAGCGGACATCAGAAGAAGCACATGAGTCTGGGCCCAGCACGAGCACGACCACGCCGGCAGTTACAGAGGCAGAGGCAGAGGCAGAAGAGGGAGCCGAGACTCCTGAGACCAAGGAAGAAAGGCGAGAACGTCGACGGCTACGTAGAGAACAGAAGGAGGCTCGAAAGCCGACAACTGCGGTTGCGGCCGAGGCTCACCCGTCCGAGCGACTTCCAGAGGCGGAGGTCGAGGCGGCAGATGCGGCTGACAAGGCCGCTCGACGTGCAGAGCGAAAGAAGAGAAAAGCCGAGAAAGCGGCCATCCCAAAGCTGCAATAGCTAGTTGATGTATGACGTGCCTGGGCTGAAGTTTGTTCTATCACTATCGTAATGATCTTGATGACAGTGCCGATGATGTCCGTACGGGATTCTTCGAGTCCCCATAATCTATGAGATATCCATACGGGATTCTTCGAGTCCACATATCTATGAAGGCGTTGCCACGATTGCATAGATAGATATCTGGGTGAAGTGAATCAAAAAGACGTTCCAGACCAGTGTACGATAAAAGACGTTCCAGACCAGTCAGTGTACGATCAAAAGACATTCCAGACCCGTGTACGCATTATACGAATGTGAATATTCCTCTTAGGACGAATGTGACTGTTCTTCTAGGACTTTACATGGTCAACGATCAACTTTCCCGGCTTGCCACTCCTGATCCAAGGCCTGTGAAGCCAAAACTCGTCGCGGATGATATCGACATGGCTCGTGACGACCTTTGCTTTGCGCCTAATTTTCTTCATCTTCTCCGCTTGGGTCTTTGTGACGGGGCTTTGGAGCCCACGACTCTCATCATCCGCTCCCTCGATACCTACTTCATCATCCGCTCCCTCGATGCCTACTTCTTGCTTCGGCCCAGTGGACGGTTCGAGAGCATATTCTCGAAAGATGACGCTTCCCTTGCGGAACATGTCGGGCTCGTCGTTGTAGTTGATGCCGAACTTGGACCAGAGAATTTCGTTTTTGTCACTTGACACGCTTCCCTTGAGATGTTCCTCCGCCGCGGTGGGCGACATGCCGCCTTGTTGGACGAGGGCCCAGAAGGTCGTGTTGTAGAGATTGTTGATGTGACCTGTAGCATGGAGGTCAGTTGGTCTTGCGGTTGAGAATTGGAACATGGAGAAGGGAAGATGCCATCGCACATCAAACCAAGGAGAGAGGGCTCGAAGAACATGGTGCCGCATGTGCGATGCGATGGAAAGAGAAATCATCACGTACAATCGACCTGTCTCCAACTCAGATAATCTCTCAAATTCCCCCAGGAGGGATAACAAACGGCGCGCCCATCGAAGGTCGGCAGCATCGTAAGACTCAGTGCATCGCCACCGCCACCGCCATCGCCATCGCCGACCCCACCGCCACTCGCCTCAAACGTCGACGGCCAGAGCGCAACATACGCGGCCGTGAAGGTACTCACGACGGTGGTGACGAGCTTGGCGCAGCGCCGCTCAAACAGGTTCGTCGTCTTGTGGAACACAAAGCTGTATTCGTCCGAGACACCGTATGCGATGGTGATGTCGGGGATGGACGCTACGACATGGCTGGCCGCGAGGTTCATGAGGTTGAGGGCGCGCACATCGTTGGGTTTGGTGAAGTGGTAATGGGTGGACAGTCTGCAGGGCGCGCACGCATACCGGTCAACGTCAAACTCACAAAATCGCAAGGGAGTCTTCTGCCCAAATAAATGGACTAGACGGGCTTGAACTTTGAACGTACTTGTGAAAGCCTCTCCCGTCGATCCGGACCACAATCCACGTGTTGGGCAGTAAAACCTCGTCGCGCTCGAAGGCGCGGACGTACTCGTACTTGGAATTGGCCATTGGAGAAAATTGCCCGCGATGTTCGGCGACAGCGAGGGAGGCATCCTTCAATCCATCGATCAGTCAGTCATGTCGAGGCCAGAGACGAATCAAGAATATATTCGAATGTCAATCGGTCCTTTCGTTCACGTGTGAACAAATATCAGATGCTGCGCATGAGTCACGGATAATTCTGTGTGCTCGTGCTTATGCTTGTGCGTGGTGGACGAGGCGGAGGCAGAGGCTGCTGTCTCTGTCTGCCCACTCCTCAATGATGTGAGAGTCACAGCCATCTCGCCAAATTACCAGATTATGTATCCGTACTCCGTACCGCCAGAGCTTTAAACAATCTTGTATTTGTCCTTTGCAACCACTGCCAGATCAATATGGAATCCAACTGTTGATCTGTAGACTATCAATATATCTATTATTGCCATTGCCATTGCCATTGCCATCCCATTCCCATTCCCATTCCATGTCATTCTCATGCCTCATCATCGTCTCTCTCTTCCCCAGTCTCGCTGGCTCTTTCGCTACTCTCACTGATTTCGCTGGCCGTCAGATCTTCTCGGCCCCTCTTGCTCTTGCGCATGAAATTCCAATTACTCAACGAGCTCCGGCTTGACTTCTTGTCTTCGGCGCTTGGCGTGGTCGATGTACTCTCCAAACTCTTCCCAAGATGCTCGGTCGAACCCTGCTCTTCCTCATTCTCGCCGTTGGGCGCAGTCGCCTCTTTCCTAGAGAATAAACCTCCTTTGTCCTTCCAACTTCCAAACTTATTGCTGCTGGCTTTACGCGTAATCTTGGATATAAATGTAGGCTTGACCGGCGTGCTTTCAAACGAAAATTGCGCGCTGGTGGCCGACGCTGTGCGGTCTAGCGGCTCGGACTCGAAAGTCGAGACGGTATTGGTGATGGAACTCGTGTCCTTGGACTTGCGTGATTCGGGAGGAGAGGTGGCTTCCAATTCGCCCACTCTTTCCTTCGAGTCTTTCGCTCTCGATTTGTCTTTGGTCTTCTCACTCCTCTTACCAAAGAGCATGGTAAATGACGGGGCCGCTGGGTTTAGCTTCGGGGTGGAAGCTTGTTGTGACGATGCTGGACGGGTACCAATCGGCGCTTGCAACGGACGACTGGGCTTCTTGTCCGGTTCAATCACTTCTTCGTCCGCTGGGAGCGACAGGTTACTGGTAGATCCATAGACAAACGACGGACGGCGCGAGTGGCTTCGCGAAAATGAGTGTAGTGAACCCCAATCCGGAGCAAGAGGACTATTTCGAATCGGAGGTTTGTCAGTGTTCCAAGCCCGAAATTGACTTTCCAATGACGGTCGCGGCAGCTTATCGAACGAATAAGTGGAAGATGGCCGTGGCGAGGATGTCTCTGCTCGAAGACCAGGATCGAACGATCCAGATCTGGCAGCAAAAGGATCGTAACTCGCCGGGGCACCGGCAGATTTCCCGAATCCGAGGAAGGCACGTCGTGTCGAAGACAGCCGGGATGCTTCTTGGTCTCGTTCTTCGGGGTTCCCATTTCCGCGCAAGAGGGTCCCTGGGAAAGCCCAGTTCCCACCATAGCTTAACCGCCTTCTAGGCTGCGTGGTTGGATCGAACTCATCCATGTTTCTCGGAAATGATCGACTCTGGGTAGGTTTGAGAGAGCCGAGCAGCGGTGGCTGGTCAGCAAGAGTCTTCCCGCGTTGGCGGTTGAGGCCAAACATCGATGACATCGACATGTACTTGGGTTTACTGGGTTGCTGGATAGCCTCGTCTTCGTCGGTCGCTTCTTCTGCCCTGTGATCCGATGCTTGCCCAGAATCGGACAACTTTTCGGCTTCGATCGCCGGAGCAGAAGTCTGTAGAGGACTGGAGAACGACTTGCTCGACGAAGAGTGCGCAGAAGGCGTGTCGGTACGACGGGCGTCCTCTTGCAACATGGGTGAACCAATCGTGGGAAAGGGAGTTGTCCCTGCCTCCGACAGCCCCCGTGGCTGGCTTGGATCATCTGTGTCTGGGAGCTCATCTGAGGATTCGTCACCAAGGAGATCGGCTGGTAAGAGTGCGTCGGCTCGAGGACTCATGGGCATGGAGCTGGCTGCTTCAACGTCATCAACATGTGACGACGGGATTTCGAGCGGTATTGCCAACGTCATCCCGTTTTGAGGATTGAAATAGCTCGGAATCACGGTCGTAGGAGAAGCATTTGCCGCAGACGTATACTGGAATCCAGAAGGAAAAGGTTCTGGACCAGCAAATGGACCCCGCGGCGATGAGATGCTGCTGCCATGTGAGTTGGTGTGCCTCGGTCTCCGAACCGGTCGTATCCCACGGCGTAAAGCTTCCATGTCGAGGGTGGTGGTGGGCGCAAGAGCTATCGAGTTGGCCCATCTCGTCTCCAGTTGAGTGATTTGCTCCCGTGTGTAGCTGACCTGTTGGTTCGCCAGTTGCAGATCGCTCCACAGCCTTGCGTAGGTTTGCTGAAGACCATCAAATCTCGCTCGCCATCTCATATCACGTTCACGATCCAGGCGTTCCACTTCTCTTGTTTCATCAGTCTCGTCCTCAACATTGAGCTGCTGGCGCTCTTCTTCCAACGCCTTGATCTGAAGGGCCTTTTCTCTGTTGTCTTCCTCCAGCATCGCGACCTCTTTTTGCTCTTCTTCAATCTTCTTCCTGACCTCCCTCAACTCGCTTTGCGTTCTACGTTCGATTGCGGTCTTTTGTGTCTCGATGCCAGCCATCTCTTCCTTCATAGAGGCAATCTGGTCCTCCCATTTTGCAATTTCGTCCTTTCGTTTCCTACGCTGATTTTCCTTTTGTTGCAGGAGCCGCTCCTTTTTGGTCTTCTCGCTCTGGGCGGTCCGACTAGCGCTTTCCGCTTTGTGCACTTGCTTGCGCAAGTCATTGCTGGCCTCATCTCTCTCTTTCAAGCCCTGCTTCAATTCGTCACGACGCGCTTCGAGTTCCTTCAGAGAACCATCAAACTCTTTGTCTTCTTCCTGAATCTGCGCCTCCACAGCCTCAATGTCCTGTTGGACCTTTTGGAACCGCTGGGACAACTCGGCAAGATCGCCATCCAATTCGTCTTCGGTCCCTTTAGATGACCCATCTTGGGCCTCGATGACATGGTTGGCGGGCGAAGGCCGTCGTCCGGTCGTTCCTCTTCTACCCATCGGTTGTCCTCCACTCAACTCTCGAGTCATCGCTGGTGCGGCCAAAGGTGTAAGGGTCTGAGCACTGCGTATCGGGATCGCCCTGACAGCGGGTCCGGATTCGGAAGAGCCATCCTGTGAAGAAGTCGAAGATGGGCCCGGAAGCCGGACGTGTAGAGGCGCACTCGGCGTCTGAAAGGTACCAGCACTTATACAAAAAACTCGAATATCGTAGATGTGGCCAGGAATGAGGTTCGATATTAGAGCGCCCATCTCATTCTTTCTCGTGGTCCCTACCACCCTCCCATTAACTTCAATATGGTGCTCCTGCACCGAGGTTGAGGGTTCCGCATGTTTCCAGCTTATTTGAATCTCGCGCGACGAGATTTCTTCGAGGGTGACGACCGGGGTAGGTGGAATATCGAGGCCGAGCTTCTCCACAAGGACTTCGTTGGGAGTGGTGATGACTGAGTAGGCACGCCAGAGAAGCCTGAATGGTCAGCCATGTCCAAGAACAGTGGGTGTTGTTTTCCTCCAAAGACGTACCACGAGAATGCCCAGATGACGACCACCAGCAGAGCCAGAGCCATGCGGCCTTTGACGTTAACTTGGGGAGCGAGGAGGTGGTAGGCGTGGGAAGCCCAATCGAATGGCTCCTGGTGCCATCTAGATGAGTCCATCCACAAGAGTGGTATGGCAGGCATACGCTCAACGGAATGGTCAAAAGCACAAGAACTGTGTTCACAGTCAAAGGAAAGACATTAATAAGTTTGTGGTGTTTTGACACATCCAGTGGGCTCCGCAGTCGCCTCGATGACACCGCAGAAACTCTCACCAGATTGATTTTCCCGCTCGAGCCTCCGAGCCTTGGCGGGGTCGACAAAGAAGATGGAGTCACAATTCCAAAGACAAGCAGCACCGATATATACTAATATGATGATATAGCTGTGTAAGATAGGCATGTGGCTTTGAGCATAGAAGGGCTTCAGAGGGCCCAGGTCACACAACAGAAAGCCTACAGACGTGATGCAACTTCGTGAGGAAGTCGCCACCGGCAACCCAGAAGGCTTTGGAAGTTACAGACAGCACTTGGAAACCAATTCCATGTATCCGCATGTGCCCCGGGGTATCTTAGTATGATTCAAATCGACAGTAATGCCACTCCAGAAAGTCCCATTTTCGTTTGCGCGCCTGTTCCTGTTCCTGTTCATGTTCAACCGTCCATCTCCGCATCTCCATCCTTGTCACCTTCCCCTGCTGCGTCGTCCGGACCAAAGACATCCTCCATCGTACCCAAGCCTTCTTCATCCTCGTCGCCTGATCTTTCATCCATCTGCATCAGGTCCTCTGGCTCCGGCCGAGGATCTTCCTCGGAGTCAAGGCTTTCTTCTCCTTCGCTGTCCCATTCATCCTTTAAGCCCCAGCCGACGCCCGTAAGACAGAACTTCTCATGAGGGAGTCTGACGCCTCCTATCAGAGGACCGCTCTTCTCTCCATCCCTGGCCTGGGTATTGAGTGATATCCGGTTCCTCTCGTCGGCCAGGGTCTTGAGAAATTCTTTGGGTAAGCTGCCTTGAAACTGGTGTCCCACCCTCGAGCCTATCGACATGCGTAATGCCGCTAGACTTACGTCGCCTTCCTCATTTTTGTTCTGGTGTTGTTTTGTCCCTCTTCCCTTAGATGAAGTTCCCACGTCTGTTTGGTCGTACGCCTCATTTTGAATATGCAAAGCGTCAGTTAGTACAGAGTTGGTGTATCGATATGCGAAGTCCATGAGCTGTAACGGGACGCGTTGCTGGTAGGCGCTGACGCCATGGGAAGCGAGTAATAGGTGTATCAGACGGTGGTCTCGAGGTCTCTTTGCACTTCCATTATCGGACAAGGAGGTCAAGGGCTGAGAGAGGAGTGCTTCGACTTGTGGTTGAGTAGTGGCTTGGGAGGGTTGAGAGGGTTGTGGAGCTTGCGACGACGGTTCTGCAGGGGGAGTAAGAGGACCAGGAGGGTTTGCTGGCGAACTCATACTGCGCAGGCGGGAGGAGGGAACGGCTTCAGGAGATGAGTGATGTGGGCGGAAGTATTGATAAGGGCGGAAGTATTGATGAGGGCGTTGCTGCTAGATAGACACCATGGCGACAGGCTGGTGGGTGTCGAAGGCAGTAGAAGGCCGGATGTCGAAATGGTCTGTAGTCACACTGACCTCTTTCTAGAGGCAGGAATACAATATACGAGGAGAGTAGGACTGTTGAAAGAAGAACATTTGTTGTCTGCGATGGCCGTAGGCGGGATGAAGACGAGTGACCACTGCAAATACGCGGATACACAGCCAAGCCACTACTATGCATTACTATTGGAGGGAAATCCGGGGAAGAATAGAGGTCTTAAGCATAGAAGTAGAATAATAGAGATCTTTAATCACCGGCCCTTCTCCCTTGCCTGATTTAGCCCAAAATAGTCCGGGTTGTCTCATCCTCCACGGACACCCCATGACTTTCTTCAACTCACGACTACTGGCACATCACTTATTATCGCCTTCATTCCCATGGATTCGCTTACGGCCTCTTCTGTATAACAGACCTTATGCCTCTGTGTTAACTTACTTGTAACATCACCGGCATTGCGTTCCTCCAGCATCGTCAACCGGCTTATTTTTGCAACATTCCCTGCCTGCGTCATCGCCTCAGGCGCCCCCGTTATGCCCCAACCATAGATTCGAGTACTTCGGTTACCTCCCGACCGCATCCTCGCATCTGGACCAGTCTTCCAGGTCCATTGTAGCGATGCAGTACGTCCGGAGCTTGGGGAGTGGTGTCTCCAAGACATGGAATTCCATCAATCCGGCAACTCTGTCGGGAGCCATTGATGTCATTGTTGTTGAGCAAGACGACGGCACTCTGGCTTGTTCACCTTTCCATGTCCGGTTCGGCAAGTTCTCTCTACTTCGACCGTCTGACAAGAAGGTTGATTTCCGGGTCAATGGCGTCAAGCAGAACTACGCCATGAAGCTCGGTGACGGTGGCGAGGCGTTCTTTGTCTTTGAGACCTCAAACGACATTCCGGAAGCCTTGCAGACTTCCCCTCTTGTCTCACCGGCCAACAGTCCACCGGTTGTGGCCACCGACCGACCACCATCTCCTGGGCTTACAGAACCCTCGTACCTCGATATCACGGAGACCGAAAAGGGACGCAACGGCCTGGACGAGACATCGCTACAGCGTCCACCTCTGCTCATTAGACGCGATGGCGCGAATCTCAGTGAAGGAGATGCCTATGGCTCGTTTCCAGGCTCCCGATCCGATCTACGGGGAGGTACCTTATCAGAAGCGACCATCGCCGCCCATAGCCGGGATCGTTCTGCTTCAGAGGAGGTCTTACCTCTCGCTGCACGTGAGCAACTAGAATCAGAGGGCGAAGCATTCCACGGCAATGGAATTCCCATCCCATCCCGGCCCAAATTGAATGAATTGAGCCTTCCCAAATCCTCGGCCAGCCCTCCTGCGCTCAAAGCCAAGGACGCCTATGATCGAGCCATGACGCTGTCTAGGAAACTGTCTTCCTCCAACATTCGGTCGCAAATAACCGAATCAGGGGATCTCATGCTTGACATGACAGGCTATAAATCCAGCGAAGAGGAAGCTCTCCGTGCCGAAGCCGTTGCGCGAAAATTGCTCTCCGAGGAGCTTGAAGGGAACTATGATATCGGATCTCTAATCGGGACTGACGAGAATGGGAATTTGTGGATCTACAGCAGTGAAGAAGCTCGCGAAGCTGCCAGTCGTAAAGCAGTCAATCAAAGCCTAGAGACGGCGAGTGCAGTCTCGCCAGATAGCGCATCCGACCCCGGCTACCACAGCGACAGCGATCGCAGCACATCTCCTACGCTCGCAGCCAAGAGTCATGTGCACGGCCAGCATCAAAGAGCGCAATCGGAAGAACTGCCTCCAGCGCCGCGCATATCTGGGGAGCAGAGTCGAAACTTTGCCAAAACGCTCCGGCTGACAAGTGATCAGCTTAAGGCACTGAATCTCAAACGAGGAGAGAATCAAATGTCCTTCACGGTCAACCGGGCGACGTGTACGGCATACATGTTTTACTGGATGCATGACGTGCCAATTGTGATTTCCGACATCGACGGCACCATCACCAAATCCGACGCGTTGGGTCACTTGCTTAACATGATGGGCCGTGACTGGACGCACACCGGAGTGGCGAAACTGTACTCGGACATTGTGGCCAACGGCTTCAACATCATGTATTTGACGAGTCGCTCGGTCGGGCAAGCAGATACCACTCGGGCATATCTGAACGGCATCAATCAGGATGGTTGGAAACTGCCTCGCGGCCCGGTTATCCTCAGCCCGGACCGGACGATCGCAGCATTGCGGCGGGAGATTTACCTGCGCAAGCCCGAGGTGTTCAAAATGGCATGTTTGCGAGACATCCTGAGCCTTTTCCCGGGCAAGACGAATCCGTTCTATGCCGGCTTCGGCAACCGGTTTACCGATGCATTGAGCTACCGCAGCGTCAACATACCTTCTAGCCGGATCTTCACCATCAACACCAATGCCGAGGTTTCACTGGACTTGTTGACACTGAACAAATACCGGAGCAGCTATGTGACGATGCGCGAGGTCGTTGACCATTTCTTCCCTCCCGTGTCGACGCTGGTGAAAGAAGGCGGCGAAGAGTATACCGATTTTGCGTATTGGCGCGACGCCCCGGGCGATTTGGAGAACTTTGCCCCGACCGATTCCGAAGGGGAGAATGAAGGCGCGGAAGAGCTGGAGCATGAAGACGATGAGGAAGAGGAAGAGGACGAAGCCGAAATCGAATCAGGCAACGACATGGGCGACAGTTTCGTTTCGCACGACAGTCTGGATGAGTCGGCACTGGACGAGTCGATCCGCGAGTCGATTGAGGTGGACGATGTGGCCGAGATCTTGCAGGATTCTAGGATTGTTGACGAAGATGAGGCTGACGACGAGGACGAGGACGACGACACGGAACAGGACGAAAGGCCTGAGTATGATCTGACGGATGATTACCTTGGCGGGGAGGAAACGAGTTGGAAGCGTAAAACTGGGTCACAAACGCCTATACCCACGGGCCGACGGGTGTGAGGCGGTTGAACGTCTAGGTCTAGGTCCAGGTCTAGGTCGAGGTCTAGGTCTAGGTCGAGGTCGAGGTCGAGGTCGAGGTCCAGGTCAGGTTCAGGTCCACTCCACATCCAGAGGCGTAAGACCACGAGAAGAAGCGCATGTGTAGGTGCAGGTGCAGGTGCAGGTGGAGATGGAGATGCAAAGCGTTGGTGTCGACATCGAGCATGACTTACTGTGTTGCATTGCGCCGGCGAACGTTTGGTTATATGCTAATACACTGATACAGTACTTAGCTAGCCAAAAGCGTGCATAAACGAGTTACCTTTGAGGTTTACGGAGAGAGAGAGAGAGAGAGAGAGTGTGTGTGTGTGTGTGCAGGATCTCCATCTCCATCTCTCTCTTCGTGTCTGGTCGTCGTGGCGTAGCGTATGCTATGCTGGCAACCTATGAGCATGCCGACTCATCTCATCTCATCCGTTCGTTCACCTTCACCCCATTCATACATTCTGAATCTTCCTTCATCTTTGAGTCCAACCATCCGTATCTGCATCCGCTCTCTCGGAAATCCATCAAGACGTGCTAATGTAGGATTCGATACCCCTGATTCACGAAACGGAATTCCTTCATCCACTGATCCGCGAAACCATGCACTGATCCGCTGATCGATCCCATCCCGAATCCCCATTCACGGCAGCAACACTCGAAACATCGGTTCGGCGTTCATCCTCCACGTAGCCAGGGCACCGACACCGAAACCGACATAAGGCACAGCAACTCAACGCACCGTAACGCAACACACCGCAACTCAACTCAACGCAGCTCAACACAACGCAGCTCAACTTAACGCAACACACGTAGCAATTAGGCCACTAGGCGAAGGCTTCAGGCTCTCAGCTCCATGCAAACGATTCACTTCCGACCTCTGAAGTCGACAGAGCAGTTTCTCCTCCATCAATGACTCTTGGTCTCCTTGGCCTTACCAACGATCCTATCAAAGCGACTCAGACACCCAACACCCTCGACGAAACAATCCAGCACCCAAGCCCACCAGACAGCAGAGGCCGGCTCGACCCAGTAGCGCGGCAGCTTAGTGGAGGCGAACCACACGACCTCAGCGGCATGGACGACGACGATGAAGCCCAAGACGGCCGGTTGCAGAGTATAGCACAAGTGAGCTAGGGCGGGCGCAGAGCCGTTCAGCGACCAGATGCGCGCGACGACCGACCTAGACTCCGGGCGCAGCTGGTCGCGGAACGGAAAGGTAGCGAAGATCAACAGACACAGCGCGGGCAACAGCCACCCCACCGCGGTGTCTGGCGGCGTGTAGCGGTCGACCACGACGTCGCTGACGCCCAGCGAGTCCAGACATTCCGTGTGCATAGCCACCAGGCGCTCGCGCGCTTCGAGCAGCGACTTCATCGGCGGCGAGAGCGGGACCGTGTGGCGGCCGTGTGCGGAGCTGATGATCATCTGGTCCAGCGTGATGTCGACCAGTTGCGCCCCTTGCGTGCCTGACAGTAGTGGTATCCGCGCGTATTGTGCCAGGTAGAGACGTAGTGAGAGGCCGTGGTCCGAGTTCATGTGGGAGATGATGCGGGCTTTGACTGCGTCGGGGGAGGGGGGGGTGCGGGCGGCGGCAGACATGGTGGTGGTGGTAGTGTTGGTAGTGGTATGTAGTAAGTAGACTTGTGGTGGTGATACGTAGTAAGTAGACTTGTGGTGGTGATACGTAGTAAGTAGATTTGTGGTGGTGGTGGTGTTGGTGGTGTGGTGTTCGTTGAACTCACACAATCCAGATCAACTCCGCCGATGGGTGTGAGTGAGTGAGTGAGTGAGTGAGTGTGTGTGTGTGTGTGTGTGTGTGTGTGTGTGTGTGTGAGAAGAGGCCAGAAATCCAATCAGGATAAATGCAGAACCAGAACCAGAACCAGATTCGGTCGGATTCAGACTCAATTGACTGCTGCTCCTGCTGCTGCTGTGGCTGTGGTGCTGGTATCGACGTTGACGAGGACGTTGTTACAGTAAGCGGCAACAGTGTCCGTGTTAAATTATGTGGGCGGCTCGGTGGCTGGTGGCTTGATGTTTCTTCGGGCTTCGGTGCAGAAGCGGAAGCGGAGAGACGAACTCGGCAGTGTCACCACCACTCACCACCACTACACACTACACCACTATTGATACCACTAACACAGTCGGTACGATTTCATTCCCATACTCGGCCGCGGAACCCGGGCCATGTCGGAGAGACTCAAGGTTATGCATAACACATGTCCTCTATACAGTGTACACTGTCAGTGTCAGTGTCTAGTAGCTAGTAGCTAGTAGCTAGCTATATGTAGATACCTAGCTATGCATGTCCTCCGTATGACTACTTGGTGACTACTTCTACTTGGTGACCACTATGTGAATTAATCCGTCCGTTGATTTCTCCTACCTAGTACTCCATACTAGTAATTACAATAGTCCCGCTATGTACTACGAGTCTACGACTGTATTCCGTACCACGGCACTTACCTATACATGGTATGTACCTGGCACTCATACATGGTATGTACCATGGTATCGATACGAGCTGTCTTCCACCGTCTAATAGAACTATACCAAATTCCCTGTCTATAGTATATACCGATCAATATGAGCTGTCAGTTTAAAAAACCATCCCTTTGGTTTGCTGGACCTTGGCAACATTGATGTTCTTGATCAAGAGAATCCAAATAAACGACAAGGCCATGATCCCCGTGCCCGCGGCCAACATCCTCTCCTGCGCGTAGCCGTATGCCTTCTGGATCGCGACCCGGGTCGGGCTGTCGTAGTCGTAGCTGAGCTGGACCGACAAATCATTGTAGATGCTCTCCAGGTCCGGCTGGGCCGAGTCGGGAAGGTAGCGCGCCAACGCTTGAGGGAAGGTGTTGGTCCAAATGGCAGCCGAGACGGTGTTGCCGACGGCGCCGCCGACGTTGCCGACCACATTGAGCAAGGCGAGCACCGCCGCCACATGTTGATGGTCCGAAGCAGCCAGCACGCCCAGTTGCTCGCAGATGATGAAGACGCTGCCGCCCATGGCAATGAAGATCTGGCACATGACAATGTACCCGATGTTCTTGTGCGGCTGGCGGAAATGGATCATCAGGCCCTGCGCAAGCACGTACAGCGGCACCGCCATGTACAGGAGCCACTTGAAGTGGCCGGTCTTGCGGATCATGAACCCGACCGAGATCAGGAGCACCCCCGACACCACGTCGAACGTGCTGCTGACGTATCCCGCCTCCGAGATCGACAGGTCGTTGACCACCTGCAGAAAGGACGTGAAGTAGCTGGCCCAGCAGTAGTAGGATATCTGGTACGTCAAGTCCAGCAGACACGCGCCAATCACCGTTCGGTTGGTCAGGAGGCTGGCCGCAATAAAAGGCACCCGGGCCAGGTACGCTTCGTGCAGTCCGAACAGAACAAGGACCACGACACCAACCACGATCATGGCGATGATGTAGCCAGATCCCCAGCCGTCAGGGGCCGAGTCGGCGAGTGAGAACGGAAGCAAGAACACGGTCAGTCCGGAAGCGAAGAGAAAGACGCCCAGGGCTACAGCATATGTAAACATCAGGTATCAGCCAGGTGGTGGTTGTTGTTGTCGGCTAAACTCGAACCACAGGGAGGCCGTGTGAAAACATACCGTCGAATTCCACCACCCAATGCAAAGCATTCTGCCACAGTGACCGGCCGCTCCGTTCCCTCCCAAGTAGACCCTGCCTCTGGGCTTTGCGGAGGTTGAGCTTCAAGATGATGAACAATGGCGCCGCCACCACCGGCAGGATGATGGAAAAGCAGCCAAATCCCCACCGCCAGCTGATGCCTTCATAGAAGCCTTCGGATGCTTTGGGGCCCGCAAATGCTGTGATCATATATGGCGAAGACGTAAATGCATATGCCAGACCTCGGTTCTTCAATTTCGACGCGTCGGCCGTGATCACGTCGATGCTGTAAATCATGCCCCCAAAGCCGATGGAATAGAAGACCTGCGCGGCACAAAAGGTGGACAGGGAGTTGCACGATGCCATCAAGATCAACCCGACGTCCGCAAACACCACCATGACCAGGAACCCTTCAGCTCGGCCCCAGAGGTCCAAGATCTTGGCTACAGGGATATAGGTGGCAGCCGTCATGGAATTGGACACGATATAAATGACGGTGAGCAGCGAATGTTGCTCGAAGTCGCTCGTGACGTATGGCGTCAGGTTACTGAGGATGGATGCCTGAAAGGCGTTGACGAAGTACAGTAGGAACATTCTGGTGCACAAAGATCAGAGTCAGATGTACTCGCGAAAAGAAGGTAGATAGATGTAGCACAGACAGGATGAACACGCAGACCAGAGACTGCTTGGACCAGGTCAAGGTGACCGCCTCAACCATTTGCACCCCTCGTTGTGCATCGTCGGCTGGCTGATCCAACGACAATTTGTGTACACTGCCGGAGCCGACCTCTTGACCATCGCCGCCAGCAGTGATGTTGTCGGGGCTGGCTGCCTCGCTCACAGCCAGGCCGGACGAGACATCGGTGGCCGCCCGACGGAAGCCAGGCCGGAAGGTGGGAATTGCGACCATTGGAGTGCCGGTGATGGAACAGGCCGGACAGCAACCGGTCCAGAAAGTGAGTCCTTCCTGAGTGCGCTTTTCAAGGGAACGAAGGTGGAGGGGAAAGCACCAGCAGCTCGCCAGTCCTTACAGTATATAAGACCGTCCATTGAACCTGATCGCGGTGCTCTACCAGAGCCACTAGACTAGTGTGTCTAGGCAATTCAATACAAGCGAACAAGGACACAGGATGAGTACATCCCAAGCATGGAAGCTCCATGCATTGACTGAGACATAATCCGAGGTCGGCCCCAGTAGCCTGACGCGGTAGAGCGGACGAGATTCTTGGAAGATGGCGAGGACCGTCCCCGTCCAGTCCTAGAGCTCGCTTCCCCGGCTGTCGACGAGAGAACGACTCTCCAGAAACAGCACAACGGCGTGGAAGCTTGCGGCGGGATGTGGGATGTGGGATGGATCAGGTGCGACGCGTGATGGTGGTGGTGGTGTCTGCCACTGGTGTCGACGCCGTCAAAGCTTAACAAGATAAGATGCAGAGTTTTCTGCCCCGATGTGATAAGATTAGATAATGGAATGATCAACTGCCCCCTGCCACTCGTAACATTAATACAGATGCCGTGTATCCCAGTCCACCATCTGCCGTGCCTCGCTACGCTGTGGATATTGCCCGAGAAGAAAGAACGGACTTGCTCGGTAAGAAGCAGCTTCACGATCGGACGACACCTCACTCTGTAGTGCGTAAAAGTAGAGTAGCCTACGATGGATGAATGAATGTTGAGACCCCTTCCTCATCCATGAAACGAGAACATCCAATGACTATGTCTATTGTCCGTCACATATCATAGCCACCATCCACTCCCTCGACATTATATATGGCCAACTCGCCGTCTCAAGCATAATACCAGACAGCTAACAATAAGTGCGTGTTATATCCCACCCGCCAACTCTTGTCCCGGCCAGGGCCCAATGCCTGGTGCCAGAAGGCCTCAGCTTTTGCACTCCTTCCACATCCCATAATCCGAATCATATCCAACGAAGTCATTACCCATCAATTCGTAGCTCGTCTCAAAGTATATGTGCCTCAGGTCAAGCTTGTCGCACTCTGTTGCAAATTTCCACATCGTTGTCCTGCCGTACCCAACAGGTTTTATGAGATGGGGCTTCTCAATTTCTGCCTGGCGCCGCTTTGTGGGCATCATGAACGCTTCAGCGCCGATTGCCTCTTGTGCTCGCCGCAGCGAAGCCCCCTTGAATTCTTTCTTTCCGCAATGCATTCTTCATCCGGCGGCAGCGGCTTCGACATTCACCGCATGGGCGAATAGTAACAATTCCGCATTCTGTGGGTTGAGAGAGTGTGCAGCATGGGCCTCTCGCCAATCAAGTAACGCTTCATGCACTGCCTCGTCACTATCGATCAGGATGAAGTCGCCGTCCTCGTCCCGGTAGCGCAACCGAACAGATCCCGAAGCGATCGAATGGTTCGTAAACCGAGCCAGTTTCGCGTCAATTCGATCTGCCAACGACCGAAACTGAATATTGCTCGCAATGATCATCGATACGTAGTTTTCATCAAAGCAAACCTTCGCCTTGAGCTGACTTGGTATGTAGGGATCTCCGTCACTGGAGGGTGATGAGACAGGAGGGGAGAATGCCCGACCATGAGACAGCGACGGTCCATGTGCTGGCCTTCTGGGATCAGTCCCGTAGGACGGATCGTAGGTATAGCCATAGTTGGGCATTCCGGGCCGCGGTCGGGAAGGTAGTCCATACTGTTGGTGTGGCGTCCCTCCCCGAGAGGGCGGCGCATTATTAGGAGAGCTATTGTGGCTTCTCGATGGAGGAGCCATCTGTTTCGCAACATGCGCTGGGATCGGAGGCACGGTCGGCGCGTGCTCGCCCGACACATATTTGCGACTCTGTTGCACCATAGGGTGTACATCCGGGCTGCTTGCAGATCGCATACGAGGCGGTGGCATACCCGGGCCCGGGCCAGGACCGCGACTGCGTCCATTCGCCATGTAAGGATTTCCGTTCGACTGGCCGTTCAAATTTCGAGCTACCGCTGGAGCAGTGTTCCGGTATGACTCCTCGGGACGATGGGCGCTGGTACCGACAGGAGTGGTCCCTCGATTAGGGCCTCCAAATGTGGATTGCGAGCTGGACCGCGCAGACACAGAGGACTGCGGAGGCGTATCCCGATCAACAGGAGAGAAATATGAGCCTCCTTGATAATCCTGGGGAGCTGGCAACCCACGCGTGTTCAATGAAAGGCCTCCCATCTCCGCGGGTGGCGCTCGCATGCGTCCCGTTGACATGTGGGGATTGCTTCCACCGCTTCCTCCAGTGGCCGAACGAGACCGGAGGCTCGTACTGGAAGCATTTCTGCTCATGCTAAATTCAGAGTATCCGGCCACGTCGGTTCCTCCGTAAGTGGTTCCAGACAGTCGGCTGAAGTCGTCCTCCTCATCCTGCGCCAAATGGGGATTTTCCAAGGTCATTCCTTGCAGAGAAAGCAGCTGTGTTTCTGATGTCCCCTTGGCCTTGGCCTCAAGCATGCAAGAAGACCTTTGTGTCTCGACGGTGTCTTGCCACTTCTGCAATGTATCATCATTCTTGAATTTGATGATGAATGTTTCCATCGGTCCTGCCTCGCTCCTCCATTGGATCTGCAACGAGTAGTTGCCAGGGGTACTTTGGGCTGAAACAAACTTGACGTTGTTAAAATAGATACGTCCCTTCAGATTCATCTTGGGTTTCCCACGTTGGCTCAGCGCAGGTCTGTTGGCCAATCTGTTCTTGGGCTTGTTGGCGTTGACATCCTTGCACATGATCAAGATGCGGCTGAAGAGATAGATATGATACTCCTTCTCCTCAGACCGGTGGCTGCCGTCTTTCACGACGTTGAAGGTTCCAAACAGGAAAAGCTCGCCCAGTGTCGAGATTTGTAGCGTCTTCCAATCGTCTATGCGTTCTTGTAGGTCTTGCAAGGCATCATCTCGAGTTTCTTTGTCGATGGAGGCGTTAGCTTGCATCAACACGTCTTGAATGATTGCAATTGCGCCTGACAGATCGTCTTTGAGGGTTTCGTCTTCCGTTTGGTTCCGGAGATCCTGAACAGTCAGTGACAACTCCACACATCGGGCCAGATAGAACACACCTTCAGCAATAAAGGATATTTGGTTAGTCGCTGGAACGGCTTCAGGAGGAAGCCATTAAGAATAGTGGGATTTGCCAGCATTTGCTGGGTCAGGGGTGTTTTGATGGATGCAACCATCTTATCCCATTCCTGCTGGCAGGTCGCTTCGCATCTCCTCTGGTTGGCAATAAAAGGCTCGTATTGTCTGAAGGGGTCCCCGTAGTGCACAAACAACTCGCCCCAGTTTTGTTGGTCTTCCGGTACCTCGTTCTGTTGCTCGACGCGAATCAAAAAACGCTGCGCAAAATCCAACAGGTTGTTTAGGTTCAAAAATATGTGGTGGACGGCGTCCCCGGTCAGCGCGCCAGACTCTTCCAGCTCTTTCTTCAAAAACTGCAAGTTCTGCAGATGATGGACGTATTGTCTTTCAGTCTCGACCAGCTCTCTCAAGATATATTGTCTTCTCGTTAGAGTCTTCGGCGGCTGATTCACACCATTGGACCCATTGTCCGTTCCTTCGCGAGAATCGTCGCTATCTGTGGATGGATGCAACTTCCCACTCAGTTTCAGTATATCGAGAACGCGATTGACCAACTTGGCCACTTTTACGAAGCCGGTAGTGTTATCGCTGTAAAGATCAGTGACAGTAAAGGTATCCGCGGCAGGGATGTTCATTTGTTGCATGCAGGACTTAATGAAGAGGAATGCTGCCTCCTTTCCTACCCTCTCTGGTTTGGTGGTGTCCACATGAAGATCGCCCTCTTCAGGATTGGAAGCATTGTATATGGTCAATAACGGTAACCCGCTTCTGAAGCATTGCCATAAAGACGACACGGGATCGGTCTCTCCGTCGGCTTCGCGTTCCTCCATTTCGTCGAGATAAGGTCTGAAACCTGGGACTCCCGACAAGCGACGACGCAGCTTGACACACAACTGGTAGAGCGATTCTCCATCTCTTACGTTTATAATATTGTTCTTGTCCAACATCGGGCCATGATCACCATTCATCGTGGGCGGCGCGGCCAGCATCCTGCTGGAGTGCTCCTACTCGGGTGTGTCCGTTGTATGTGAAGCCGGTGTGCGTGCAAGCGGAGGCGTTGTATCAGCGCATAGGTCTCGAGGGCAACTGGCTCCCTGAATTGTGGCGAAGCGATGCTTAATGCCGAGAATGCGAGTAAGGACTGGTCGGACCAAAGGCTTCGGTGAGGGCGTGAGGGTTAGAATGTCCAGTCGTGACGCGTACGGAGGCGGTATAAGGATTGTGTATTGCTCGCTGAACGTATGGGTATAGCAAAGAGCGGACCAGCGCAGGTAGCGAACAACGAGGGATGTTCGAGGCAAGATGTGTCTGATATAGAAGGAGAGCTGGAATCGTCGTGAGAGGTCTGTTCTGACAGAGAGGCGAGGAGGCAAAAGAATGGGGGGACGTACCACAGAGCAAAGCAGGGTTGACAGTTTCTTCCCCAGGTTTCACAGATAGGCGGCGGTGATAACGAAGGGGGCGGGATGGTACGAGGCTCCCAATCAGGCTCCGTTGCTATTGTTGGCCGTTCTATTTGACTCGAGAGACGCTCGCAGTCTGGTGGTCTACCAGAAGGGCGACCTGGTTGGGCGATGGGGTGCAAACAGAGCCAATCAATGGGTTGCTGCAAGGGACGCAGGCGCGAAGAGGACGAAAACGAGAGGACAAGGGCGAACGGATTCTCAAATCAATATAAGCCCGAGGTCGATCAAACCAATTGAATGGCTCAGATAGGGGCGGTCGTGTGGTGTTCTCGCTGCTCGCTGCGTGCAGATGTGTGCTGCAGTTGGGGGATGGAAGGTGTGTGCAAGTCGGTGTGTACGGAGTAGAAGATAGGGACGCAGTTTACACTGTACAGTGCATCGACGCGGCGCCCTCAAAGCACGGAAGACTGTGGTGGGTTCGTCCAAGGACCTGCAGGGTGCATGTGCAGGGGCAGATCAAGCCACAGCCGGGTGATGGCGAGGGGCGGCGGATGATGCTGGTGACGGTGTTGGTGATGGTGTTGGTGGTTTGACTTGCAAGTAGTGGTGGTGGCGGCGGTGGTGGTGTGCTTTGCTCCATCCTCAGTCCTGTTGTGTCTCCGAGCCTTTAGCCCCTTGTTTTTACGGTTGGGTGCACCTCCTAGCCACTACTCTATCTAATTAGTACCCAGTCTATCCAGTCTATCCCGTCGATTCCCTCGCCGTGGTAATATTTACCCACTCCCAGGTTATCTCTCCTTCCTCCTTACCCACAGTCCCTCGGGCGGAACGAGTGGAAAGGTCGGCGAAAACGCCCACGGTCATTCCCATCCGCTGCCGCGGGACGGCGGCTCATCGTTAATGTCGCAGCTTGACGCCAGTGGCCGCCAGAAAAGCACCAGAAGTTGGGAAGAGCCCCGTTGGAGCAGCGACCCTACCAGTCTAGGCATGACCAGATAGCTGCCAGACAGTCGACGAGACCCTAACACTTCCTTGAGCCACTCGAAATCCAGCAGGTGGTGTTTTAGCCCGTTAGTGCCCTCCCTTAATCCTCACCACCAATCTTCCCCGGGAGACTGATGTTCAGAGCCCCTAAGCCTTCCTGGCCTACTGGTTCGGTTCTAGTCACAACCTGCCAAACAATCGGCTGGCTTTCAATGCCACAAAAGATGTCAAAGCGCAGCCTGGCCCTCCTTTCGGTCCCTCTCGACTTCTCCTCCGGTCGACCTCCCGGGATCTTCTGCTTCACGGTACTCTAGATATGCGGATGATCCGCAACCCTGAAGATCGATACACTTTGAACGAGAACTTGGGAAAGAACAACTTCTCATCCGTGGACACACACAGGCCAAAGGTGCTGGAAATTTCGTCCACACTTTGGAAGCGCCAGGTAGGGGTGAGCAGCACGAGACAGCTCTGTCACTTATGTTTATTATGCAATCAAACCGAAGTTAAGGGCTTGCAAGGGTCTCGCCTCGAGCGCAGGAGTGCAACCCAATCAACATTCGTGCTGTCAGAATCCCAGTCCTCCAGCGAGCTCAACACGCTGCATGATTGATGTGAACTGTCCGACAGGCTGAATAATAATAGACTTGTCCTGTTTCGATCTCTTCCTGGGTGCTGCAAAAGGCCTGAGGTTGAGTGCCAGAACTACTAGCGTATTTTTCGATTAAATACTTCGAGATCTGCCATCTATGCTTCTAGCACGATCATGGCGCTGCAGTCACTGAATTACTGTCCGACACCCTACCTCCGGAGTCCGGGTGCTCCTGAAAGCCGGCAGTGTCGGCCAGTGGCACGACATGTTGGATTCGACATCGAAGTTGATGAAGGCCATAGGTCAACAACTACCACAGGTTGCGGGTAACTGGCCATGAGCCGATTGAGCCAGCCGAGGTCTCTCACCTCATCCAATCGTCTTTGCGGGGAAAATGTCGCTTTCTTGAAGGGACGACTGGATATATTATTAATATGCCTTCCTCAGACTCCCTCAGACTCCGAAGTGATATAAAAGCCACCAACCTTCATTGCTTATATTATCTTAACCACAGCGAGCATCGTTTAGACTGAGGAGCGCGATCACCTGCATCCCACCCGAAAATGTCTTATTTGGACAAGGAATCTATTCTTGCCCTAGGGCAGATCGACCCTGAATTCAAAGCGGTGTGTCCCTGACCGTCCTCCCCTACGCTTGTCTGACATTTGCCATGCAGTTCGTGGACTCTGCGAATCTCCCTCCCGTAAACTATGACGATATCGATGAATTCAAGGCAATTGTCACGAAGCGCAACGCGACTGCTATTGAAGCGCTGGGCCTCCCACCTCCCGAAATCAAACAGAGTGAACTTGAATATCCGACACGCGACGGCGCCCACCTCCGCGCAAAATTGTACCAACCAACGAACCCCCCGAAAGACGGGAGCCCATTGATTGTCCTATTCCACGGAGGTGGCTTCTGCTTCGGTGCCCCAGAAGGAGAGGAACAGACTGCCCGAAACTTCGTCCAGGCCTTTGGTGCAACTTGTATCTCTGCTTCCTACCGACTGGGGCCCGAGTTCAAATTCCCATACGCTGCGAAGGATGGGTGGGACTGTTTGAAATGGGCTGCTGCCAACGCAAAGTCTTGGGGAGCTGACCCTTATGTTGGCTTCGTAGTTGGAGGCACCTCGGCGGGTGGGAACATCTCTGCAGTTTTGGCGCACGTCGCCCGCGATGAAAAGTTATCGCCCCCTTTGACGGGACAGTACCTCGCCATTCCTGCTCTGTTGACGGAGAAGAAGGTGCCAGAGAAGTATCGTCCATATTATCTGTCCTATGAACAGAACAAAAACGCGCCTGTTCTTCCAGTCGCCGCGATCGACATGTTTATGAGAGGCTACCAACCTGACGAGGATGATGGCGTGTGGTACGTGCCCTTCAACCATCCAAAGGGCCACAAGGGCTTGCCGCCAGCGTTCTTCCAAATCGACGGCCTGGACCCGTTGCGAGATGACGCCATCATATATGAGCGTGTTCTTCGAGAGGAAAACGGGATCCAAACCAAATCGTTTATATATCCTGGGCTTCCCCATGGTCATTGGGCATTTTTCCCGTTCTTGAAGAGCAGTGAGAAGTTTCGAAAAGAGCAAGTCGAAGGCTTGGGCTGGCTTCTCGGAAGGAAACCCGACTTCAGTAAGGTCGTCCTCAAGGCTGCGGCTGGTGGGGCGTGATTGTGTTGAAAGGCAGGATTTACCATGTCATAGATAAAGAAGCCTTTGGCGTGCTGTGGCTTCGCCGTGGCCATCAAGAGCAATAGATACCGATGAATTGGTAGGATCGTATCTCATTCCGTCATTACGCTTTGGTTAATGGACATTTTCCGTCTTCTGGAACCATTCTACTTTTTTCTTTCCCGTATCTTGAATTTGACCCCGTTCTTGTTGACCCCTCCAACAGTCCTTGCCATCTTCGCCCGTTGCAATTCGAGTTGGTCAGCGGCTGCAAGGATCTCTTGTTGTCTCTTTTTCAGTGCTTCGAGTTTCGCAACGCGCATCCCTTGTAGTCGTATTCTCTTCTTCCGTTCCGCGCGTAGGCGGGCCGCTGCGCCCTGTTCAGCTGCCACTGCCTTTTTCGACCTGCGTTTAGACGCTGGAGGGTCTGAGATGACCTCGAGATCTGTGAGATCTGGTGTCTGGAAGTCTGGTGTCTGGAAGTCCGGTGTTTCCTCGATTCCCGGTGCAGGCTCGGAAGGATCTTGTCTCAACACCTCACCATTTGAGGTGCGTTTTTTCCCTCTGCTCAGCACCTCCTCGTCGTCGCTGAATATTTTCCGTCTCCCCACACTCGGGCCCACTGTCACAGCGTCCATGCCGACCTCCTCCTTCAATCTCTCGATTTCTTTCCTCCCTCTGGCTGCTACAGTTCTTAAATATCCTGCATCTTGAGTCTTTAAGAGTTTGACCGCATCATGGCTCAAGGGGGCGTTCTTGTCACCGGCAGCCTTGTGTTTTCCCAAGCCGGCCTTGCCCTGGCTCAGCATGCCAAAAGCGAATTCATCTGGGTTCTTCTCCCGGGCCTTTTGAGACAATTGCGCGAGTTTCTTCTTCTTGGTATTGTAGTCCTGCGCACGGAGCGAATAGTCCTTGTGTTTTTCCAGAAGACCCCATTTCTCTCGAGATTGGGGTTGCGAGCGCTCTTTGTGCGGGCGCCGGGCGACGGCGTTTCGAAGCGACGACATTGCGTCTACGTAGGATGCGTAGATCGAGGCTGAGGGGCTTTGCCGGCGAGAAAAAGATGCTGCGGTTGCAAAGAAGTACAATAAACAGAGAGACGCTGTTGATGTTTTGGGGGAAGGTCTTGGGGCGGCCGCAAAATTCCACGGGCCGCCAATTACTCCACCGACCATCGGGCATTGCGTGCAGATGCCCATCCAGGTCAGCTCGACGAGCTTCATTCTAAATAATGCTCAATCGTCAACTGCATCATGATATCCAGTCTTGCCCGAGTGCATACCTAGCATGGCCAGCGTCTGACTGTTCTTGCTATAGCTACATTATACTTCTGCTGCCATCTTCTTGACATAGATCAAGCAATGGAGATGGCTCCTTCTGTCGTTCCCGAGCCACAACCGCCCTCAACATCCAGACCACAGCAGAACCTCCGCAACCCTCTCCCGCTGTCGCCGGCCCAGGAAGCTGAGGTCCGCAAACTGTACTACGCTCGTGTCCGGTCAAGATGTGCCGATGAAATCAAAGGTCGGTTTGCACCGAGAGCCCCCAGCCTCCGTTCAATCACCAATGTCTCTGCATTCACAATTCTAACTCGTTCTTCCTGTAGAATTCGCCGACTGCGCCCGCGGCCGAACAGTCAGCGTAGCATGGCACTGCCGAGCTCAGCATCTCGCCATGAATGGCTGTATGATACAATTTGCTACCAAGGCGGAAGAAGATGCTGCTCGGGAAGAATGGTTTGCAGGTGTATTAGAGCGGCGGAAACAGAAGGAGGAAGAACTAGCCGCTGTAGAGAAAAGAAGAGTCGAAGTCATTGAGTTGACAAGAAAGCAGGAGGAGAAAGAACGGCTTGAGATGGAGAAGAAGCTGGCCGAAGAGAAACAAAATGAAGGGAAGAAGACCAGGGGTTCCTGGTGGCGGTGACTGACAACGTCAGCGTAACGGAATAATGGGAATGGGGAGGAGGCCTCAGTCTTCTGGCATCGAAAATCTGGATCGAGGTCCTCCCGATCAGGAGTTGAAGTCTAGCACGGCTGTGAGGGAGAGGAGAGGTCCCGATGAATTCTTCATTCAATCTCGCCCTGCTTCCTGACACCGTTTGATCAGCTCCTAGCATCTCCTCCTGCTCGACAACGGAAATTCTGGGTCAATCAATGAGCTCTGCTTTCGATGGACCTCACAACATTATTTCCTCGCTGCTCGGACCGAACCATAAAGGCATGAAGCCGGCCTCAAGACATCTCGGGCAGTGGACGCTTTTGAGACAACCGAGTGAAGTCACCATCTCTCTCTTCGGCATATCCCAGACGGAACGGTAGTTGATTCAGCTTCATCCCGAACCGGAGGAGCAATCTTGAAAGATCCGCCTCTCGCGTTGTCGAAAAGCACGTCTCTGGATCATGTCAGCCAACGACACTTATATATTTCACATCAAATCTCACCTCTGGTTTCGGGAAGGTCGCAGAGTCAAGCCATTCCACCACCAAATCTGGCTTTGAAGTGTTCCCATTCCCTGCTTGCTGGAAACACCTCGCCCTCGTTGTCGGGAAGCAGGCTCGGTTGTTCTCGTTGCTCATCCACCTGGAGACAAGATGTTCCTTGAGGCGGCGCCCGCGCCCGGGCCTTAGCTTGAAGATGTCGTCGCTCCTGAAATACGCGATAGAGGAAGTACGCGGCGACAAGCCATACCACGCAGTTGGCGAATGCGATGATCAGCTCGAAGGGCGAGACGTGTTTGGGATGATAGTTCATATTTTGGTTGCTCTCAGCGTCTGCTGTTGAACCTGACTCTGGGCTTTTAAAGGAGCAGCTTGTCAGATGTGAGAAAGCTGGGTGCGGGAGCAAAGGGCGATGGAAAAAGTGTCTGTTTCAACGGTCTGGATGCAGCGGGATCTGTACATATACCTATCCAGGCTATTGCACAGCCGTCTGTTCTTCAACAAACGATCGCAGAAGAAGTACGGTTTTACGGAATATCCAGAGGAGCGCAGCCCCTCGAATGGCGAAGGGCGAACAAAAGACCATTGTGACAAGCACATCTCTGGAAGAGTCTTACGTTCAACAAGAGGGACCCAGCTGTCTGTTTGCCATGTGTCATAGAGTACTTTGATACTGCACAGATCCTTGGACACGTAGCCTAGAAGACCGCATACACTCATCATTACCACAACGGATGCCTCCAGTACAACATCAGGCTTCTACAAGAGATTCACCTGCATGTCGTCAAGCCATTCATGTCCTCATGATTGTCATCTGTGGTCGCCCAAGGCCATTGTAGGGGCTCCTTCACCCTGACGCGTGGGCGGCCACGGTGATGGCACAACCACGCCGCCATAACCCAGTCCTCACCATATTAGAAACCGGTCATATTTGTCGCAAAACCCTTCAACCGCCTGTACAAACTGTGCAATGTGCTCCTCCGTGAGCACGATGTTCAAAGCAATAAATCCACGTGGGGCCAAGTAGACTCCGGACTCGAGCATGTGATGGAAGAACAAGCCCTGCAGCAAGTCCCTGTCCGGGCCGGCGAAGTGGATGGCCATCAAGCTGCCGACACCACTGACAAACATTTTGGGTGGGCAACGCGGGTGTTGGGGTGATTGCATGTCGTCTGTTACTGGGCCTGCAGGCAAAGTGCCTTGGATGGCTCTCGTGGACAAGACACGTTCGATCTGCTGGCGCATGGAGTCGCCCAAATGGTTCAAAGCGCCGAGTTTGTCGGCAGTCAGCAGGTCGCAGCCAGCAATGCCAGCGGCCATGGTGAAGACATTGTTATTGAACGTGCCTGGGTGCTGGAGACTGCCGGACCGAGGATCGTACAGAGCCATGATATCTCTCCGGCCGCCAAAGGCGCCGAAACTCATGCCGCCGCCGACCCATTTGCCCAGCGTCATCAGGTCGGGCGTGACGCCGGTCTGCGACCCTAAGCCGCGGTAGTGCAGACGACTAGTCATGACTTCGTCAAAGATCAGGAGGGCGTTGGCGTCCTCGGCCAGCTTGCGGAGACTGCCTAGGAACCGGGGCGTGCCTGCATAGCAGCCGCCGCTGCCGAGCATGGGCTCGACCAGGATCGCGGCCAATGTATCCTTGGCTGACGGCAGCAGAGAGCGTACTAGATCTTCAGTGCCCTCGACATCGTTATACGTGCCCACGACGAACTCGTGCGGCAGGTTGATGGCCGATGTGTTGCCCGAGATGGTGGAACCGTGGTAGCCTGAGACGGTAAATCAATCCTTGAACTGCTCGGGGTTTGGGGCCTGCTTTTCAGCTTGGGACTTTCGCATCGTACAAATAGTCTTACCCACAAATGCTGAACGATCAAAGGCTATGGTTCAACGTACCTTTATTGAACAACAGCACCTTCTTCTTCCCCGTGTACGCAACCGCCGTTGCAATCGCCATCATGTTCGCCTCGGTACCCGAGTTGACGAACCGCACGAGCTCCACGGCTGGAAACCGCTCACACACCCTCCTGGCCAGCTGCGGTTCGAGTGGGTTGTGGCCGCCGTAATTCCATCCACTTTCCAACGCCATCTGCACCGCGTCCTTGATGACCGGGTGGCTATGACCGTAGATGCCCGCGGTATATTCGCCCAGAAAGTCGACGTACCTGATTCCGTCGACGGTGGTGAGATGGCAGTCCCGCCCTAAGTCGATGGTCAAGGGGAACGGCGTGGTGTGTAGCACCGTCCGGGTGTTGCCGCCGGGCATGTATCTGCATGCTTCGACATGGTTCTCACGGGATTGTGGGTGTTTTTGGTTGTATTGTACGTGGGCCTTGTCAAGGTACGTTGAAAGAGAATGAGACGTGTTGGATGGCAGAGAACCCATCGAGATATGTGAGTCGGAGAAACTGGGAGTGGCTTGGAGGAGAAATTGAGTAGTAGAAAGAGAAATATAGGGAAAGTCTCTTTAGGTGGTCAAGATGGTGTTTGTGTTTGTAGCTGATGGTTCGAAATGAGTGTTATTTCTGGTTGGAGGGTACTGTACGCACAAGCTGTCAAGCACAGTACGCCCTGTGATGGCCTCGGCGAAATCTGGCTGCTCTTATCTCATCAGCACACTGGCAACCTGTGGTATTGTATCGTGATAGAACAATATCTTGCTGAGCTGATTTGTCTCACGCATTCAACTCAGTTCACTGCTTCACCCAAAACATCACCAAACGTACATACGAGTATCCTATAAATAAACTCCTGAGTCCCCAACAATTTTGCAGGAAGCGTCTAGGTCAGGCCTGATTGATGTCGGATTCAATTAGTACAACAACCGTCACCGCGTCTGGAATGAAGTATGACTGTGATGGGATTCGAATAGCTTCGATATTCACAGTGGCATGGCATCAAGTGAATTCTTTGAAGAGAACGAACGCGCTCAGTGATATTTCTCTGACCCGTCACTCATAGACCATCCACGTAGTAGAAGACAGTTTCAAGGTCCAGGGAATAGAGGAGAGGTGGAGCAAACATGCTGAAAGGTAGAGCAGTAACTAAGCAATTGGGATTTATTGGATTGAGCCTGAAACAAGGCTCCGGGCAATTTATCGCTCCGTACTCCGTACTCCGTATTCAGTGCCGGACTCCAAGTTGAATGACGGCAATTAGAATTAAGCTTAAGCTTAACTTGAAACTAAGCATGGAGAAAGCTTGGCACTCTGTAGATCCAAATCCTGCCTCTGCCTTCCAACTTCCAACTCGGTTCTCGTTCTCCGCACTTCCCCAGCCTGAGCCTCAGAGACTCGCATCTTGTCTTGACTGCCTACCTAGGTAATTACTACGAAGGACCTGGTAACAGTCGGCTCTGCACTGTACGGAGTACGGATACTGACCACCTGTGCCTACTGAATCTCATTCAGATCATGCCAAGTATCCGTACCAAGAATCCGCATGCACCTACCTGACGTTACTCCTACCCACCACGACTGAATACTACCGTTACGTCTTAGTCATGGCTTCTTCCTCAAAACGCGTGTCGACCTTGAGATCAGCCTTGCATGCTAGTGCAGATGGCCGTCGCTTCTCCCTGCATCCAGAGGATGAGCATTCTTCCAGTGCCCACCAGAACCTGAGATCCGACCCCGCGCACAGAGTTCATGCTGGTCTAGACACCTCTAGAGTTAGCACTGGTGTCATCTGGTATTCCGTCTTTTCAACTGTGCTTTAACGTGGTGCTGATCTTCTGCAGGGTTACAGAGCAAGCTGCTAAACATGGCTATGCCGACGAGCCTCAGAAATGGGCCAATCTGGGTCAAGGCGCCCCTGAAGTCGGAGATGACATTGAAGGATGCTTTCCCCGCCCTACCTCGATTCCTGTAACCCTTCAAGGTCAAGAGTATGGGCCTGTCGTGGGAATCAAACCCCTCAGGGCTGCTGTTGCCAAACTCTACAATGAGCACTACCGCCAGGGCAAGGAGTCTCAATACACGTGGGAGAATGTGTGCATCGTGCCGGGAGGAAGAGCAGGCCTGATCAGGATCGCTGCTGTGCTTGGCAACGCATATTTGGGATTCTTCATTCCTGACTATACTGCGTATAGTGAGGTGCGTATCATCAGGGCTAAAGGCGGTTGCCATATCTGCTGACTGTGGTCGTATAGATGTTGAGCCTGTTCCGAAACTTTGTGGCCATCCCTACCCCCTTGTCCTCCGCCGATGGGTACCACATTCATGCTGATAAGGTTGCGGATGAGCTTGCTCGGGGAACAACCGTTATCTTGACTTCGAACCCGCGCAATCCTACGGGCCATGCTTTGGATCCAGATGAATTGTCACTGATACAGGACATCTGCCGGGACAGGGCTACCTTGATCTTTGACGAGTTCTATGCTGGCTACAATTACAACTCGGGCTGTGACGGCAGCACGATTTCGGCCGCAAGCAATGTTATTGACGTTGATAAGGACGATGTCATCTTGGTCGACGGTCTGACGAAACGTTTCAGACTTCCTGGTTGGCGCGTTGCCTGGATCGTCGGTCCTAAACCATTCATCCAAGCCCTCGGATCGTCCGGGAGCTACCTTGATGGAGGAACCAACGTGCCATTCCAGGAGGCCGCAGTCGAAATGCTGGACCCGCCCAAAGTACGAGAGGAGATGAAGGCTCTCCAACGCCATTTCAAGATGAAGCGTGACTATGTTCTCAAACGACTGAGAGAGATTGGCTTTAATCAAGGCGACCAAGAAATCCCCGACAGCACGTTCTATATTTGGCTCGACCTTACAACGCTGGACCCGCCCTTGCCCAAGGATAGTGCCATTGATCTCTCCAACGGTCTCTCCTTCCTGGACGCGCTCTTGAAGGAGCGGACCATCGTCGTTCCGGGAATTTTCTTCGACCTGAACCCTTCAAAGAGACGAGACCTGTTCGATAGTCCTTGCCACCACTTCGTGAGGATAAGCTACGGACCCAAGATGTCTGTGCTCAAGATGGGGCTTGACGGTATTGAGCGAGCGGTCAAGCGCGCCAGAGGCGAAACTGTACAGGATGATCGTGCCACCCAAGAGGAATCCGAAGCACGAAGCCCCCAAAGTCCAATTCAATCAGAGAAAGGGGCGGGGCATGGCGAGCACTCTCACTGACAAAAAACACACACGACGATGACACGAAGGCACGAAGACACAGGAGCCATGGTCTGAGGAAGGTACATTATGTTTTACAAAACGATCATTCCCCGGCTCTGAGCTCTGCAACGCCTCGGGCCAGACCCATACCCAAGGAGCTTCGATACGAAGTAATATGCTGGTTCCTCCATCACAACATGGCTCAATTGATTCCTTTTCATCATAGCCCGGCTCGGGGCAGTTTCGGTAATTTCGGTAGCTTGGGAAGTTTGGGCAGTTTGACCTTGGGAAGGCCCAGATCAAGCCCTGAGGATCAATTACTATGGTTAGCGTTTAGACCAGTGCTGTGAATAAAGGGGATCAGTAGACTTACAGGAGTGCTAGCGTCAAGTCACCGTGTATGCTGGCCTTGAGTTCAATCTCAATATCCAGGTTCAGCTCTAAGCGCAGTTTCAATCCATCTTGATCCATCGGGTCCTTCCCGGTGCTGTCTTTTGCATCGTTGGGTTTTGCTGTGTCCAGGGGTTGTGTGGGCGGTGCGCCTCGCCATGGAATTTCACCTCGCAGCATTCGGGCGTATGTCACCGGGCCTACCATGGACTCGGAGGGTGGCTTTATTCTTTCAAACGGCTGTGCTTCTGTGATGTCACGGGGATCGGGGTTCGTCAACCATTGCTGCTGCGGCGGCTGCGGCTGTTGTTGTTGACTCTCTGGGCCTTCGTCGATCGAGGCCATGGATTGAGCAGAGGCATTTCCGGCCTGAGCCCCGCCCTGAGCCGTTTTCCTCTGTCGCTGATTCTGCCTTCTTCTCCGTCGTGATTGCGACCTGGACCGTGACTCGTAGCCTTGGTCGTCGCCAGACGTCGTCGAGACTTCGGAAATACTACGTTCGGGCGCCGCAGGTCGACTTGGTTTCTTGCCGGGCGTCTTCTCGGGCGTTGGGGTCTGCTGTGGCTCGGACATACTGACCACAGAGCTATGAGAGAGTGAAGAGAGATGGAAATAGTGGTGTCAGCGAGAAGGCAGATACTAGAGGTAGACTTAACAGCAACAAGAGATTGAACTTGGAGAAGGGTTATGATGAGCGATGGCACTGTCGAGGGGAAGGGAGACAAGACGGGAAAAGGAGACTTCAACAACGACATCATCGCGTCCGGTATCCATGTCGCTCCCCCGTCAACCTACCTCATGGCGGGATGTTCCTCTGTTTGAAGCAGCGGGATCCTCATGCAGATCGCAGACGTCGTTTTGGGGACGGACGGTGGCTATGAGCTCGGAACTTGGAATAATCCTGGTCGGCGGATGCAAGGCGGGGGCAACTGACAGCTCAAGTCTCACCGTTGATTTGGCAAGGGGCGTCTTGGTGCGGCTGGGACCCCAGGATCCTGTTGATGTGGCGCTGACGGCCAGGGTCTGTGGTGTAGTACGGATATGTGTGGCGCTGTTCCAACTGCCAGGGAGATGACGTGTGCGGGTGCAGCATGGCCCAATGATGGGGCTGCCACGCGAGGGGTAGCGGAGGGCCGAGGCGCCGATTCGCCTGTCTTCCCGAGTGCCGTCTGCGCCTGCGCTGCTCTACTCTCCAAGTCTTTGGTGCATACGTACTCCGTAGCTCTCGCGCCGTGAATCTCACAGACGCACTCACTGGGATGTATGGCACGGGGTGCCCCAGGTATCAGGGCGAAGACCAGGATGCACGGCTGTTTGAACTAACATCCACTGCAGGCACCTGGGATCCTCCCTCTCATGCGGCCGGCCACCTCGCACCAGCTGGACAGAATGGATGTGCCACGAATGCCACAACACCCACATGCGTCTCCACACAAAGAGGGATACGTCTCAGTACAACTGGCGCCTGGTCACTGGCTGGAGACTGATGACATCGACGGTAGGCGATCCCTGTCAGATCCTCCTCCCCATCCCATGGGCAACCCTCTTTTCTACTCTTGGATCCTGTCCGGATCCCTGTCGCCGACAGCCCCGGCGATCGATCCTGCAACATCCCTTGCGACAATTGGTCTTTCCGCTGTTGAAACCCCCCCGTTTGGCAAGCGTCTATGGCCATCGTAGTTCATCTGTGGCGCATCCATGCACGGGCTATAGCAGCATTCGACGTCACTGCTACGCGCTGTGTACACCAACACCGTGTAGGTCGTGCCCGACAATGTCTATCTTGTGACGTCGGTGTGGATTGATCCTACAATTCGTGCATGGTCCCTTCTTTGCCTTCCTTGCTCTGGCTGATAGACTTGGTAATCTTACGTCGAGTCCTCCCGTTGCATACCTCCTCATCTTCACCCTCCTCTACATCTTTCCTTCTTGACTTCCACCATGTCTGCTGAACAGGAAACCAAAAGCACCGAAGAAACTTCAATCGGCGGCAACCTCGACGCTGCTGGATCCGCCTCAGGCGCTGCCAATATTGGAGCATCAGGTTCCTCGAAGAAATCCGAAGAAAGACGAAAGCCCAAAAAGCTGGGCCAGAAGGCTCAATCGAACGGTACACCACAGAAAGAAGACGCCGAAGGTGAACAGGACGAACCGTCATCACCAACCCCGCAGCCACAGAAAATGGAGCAGCAATCTCGCTCGAAGTCGCGACAAGCAAGCCGAGGTCGTGGTCGACAGTCGAGTCTACCACCAAGCGACACCGACAGTGCATATCGAAGCGACGTATCGCAGAAGGGCGCACGAAGGACCAGAAACCGGAACCGCGGGAAAGCGCAAGCGCAAGCACAAACCCAGCAGCAGGGAGGAGGCGGCGGCCCCCTGGACGCCGTTGATGAGGTCGGCGAGACCGTTAATGGTGTCGTCGATGGTGCCAGCGGCGCTCTCGACAACACTGTTGGAAATGTTGGTAAAGCAGTGGGAAAGCCCCATGAGGCTCTTGGAGGTCTGCTCCATTCCAAGGGCGGCAACGAAGAGGGAGGAGAGAAAGATGAGGGTGGGACAGATGAGCAACTGAGATTACGACTCGACTTGAACCTAGACATTGAAGTCCAGCTCAAGGCAAAGATTCATGGCGACTTGACTCTTGGTTTATTGTGCGTATTACCTCAATCCACCCAGGTGATTGCTAACCATTTACAGGAACTAGTTCTTGATAATCCGCCCCCGCCTCCCGATCACCATTGTCATCTGTTCGGTCAGCAGAGACATCAGCATTCCGGTGCAGCGATCTTGGCCATCGAAGGTTGTGGTCAGGCCGATAGGACGTGTTCAGACCGCGGTCAAGGATGTTCATTTTGTGCGCTGTCAGTTTGTATTCTGGTTGGCGAATCCGGATGTCAATGCATGTAATAAAAACAGTCTTGATCAAAACCTTCCCCAGAGATCCAACGTCTTGCCATGTCCATTAAACGCAGCTGTACGGAGTACAAGTAGAGTCCAGCAGGTGCCGCCGTGTGCGGCACGGAGTGCTTAGTACTACGGAGTACGCCGTACGGAGTTAATTAGGAGGTACCGTACCTTATTATTAGGTAGGTAGGTATGTCTCAACTTGGTGCACGTGACTGGAATTTGAGATTGGAGACCGCAGATTGTTCTACACCACCCATTCCGCGACTTTTCCCTTCCCATCTCTCTTGCGAAATACCGTTCGGATGGTATGTCCCATCGCTGCTCGGTATTTGACACGTTATCAAGTTGCGAGGTACGCCAGATACGTCGCCACACGCTGCAATGTCGTTTCAACCCTCCCCACCAATACACTCCGTGTTACGGCGCCTCGGAAAATCCTACGCCCATATGCTTCCTCTACGATAGTTCAAGATCTGGAGGCATGGCGTTCTGATGCCGGCAGGCCCCCTGTGTCGGATACCATCTACGCTTTATCCACTGCTCCAGGACGAGCTGCAATAGCAGTAATCCGTATCTCCGGTCCAGCATGCCTCGGCGTGTATCGACGGCTCTGTCCCAATCGACCCGACCCTAAACCTCGCACTGCTGTCCTACGAAGGCTCTATGGCCCCGACGACTCCAGGTCTTTGCATGATCGAATCCTCGATAATGGCGCCCTCGTCCTATATTTCCCTGCGCCGAACACCGTGACGGGTGAAGATATTTTAGAATTGCATGTCCATGGTGGCCCGGCAATCGTTCGCTCAGTCTTAGAGGCAATATCTGCTTGCGCGCGGACGAGTGCAGAATCCAGGGCAGCAATCCGTCTTGCTGAACCAGGCGAGTTTACAAAAAGGGCATTCTACAACGGGAGACTAGATCTCACCCAAGCGGAAGCGCTCGGGGAAACTCTTGCCGCCGAGACTGAACAGCAACGCCGGCTCGCCGTCAGTGGCACAGATGGCGGTCTGGCCAAACGATACGAAGAGTGGAGAACAATGCTATTGTATGCTCGCGGGGAGCTCGAGGCCTTGATCGATTTCTCCGAGGACCAACACTTTGATGATTCGCCGATAGAGTTTATGGCGTCGATTTCTGCACAGGTCAAGGTGCTGAAGAGACAGATCGAACTCCACATTCAGAATGCAAACAAGGGAGAACTCTTGCGGAATGGAATCAGCATAGCCCTACTTGGGGCGCCAAATGCTGGCAAGAGCTCCTTGCTGAATCGCATTGTCGGTCGAGAAGCAGCCATTGTCAGCGCCGAAGCAGGTACAACAAGGGACATTGTCGATGTCACGGTGGACATTAACGGCTGGCTTTGCCGGTTAGGCGATATGGCAGGCTTGCGCAGCAATTCAGACGTTGGCCTCAGCCAAGAGTACGGCCACGGTCCTGTTGGCTTGGTTGAGCAGGAAGGCATCCGTCGAGCCCGCGAGCGAGCATTGCATTCTGATGTCGTTGTGGCACTACTAGCGGTCGAAAAGAAGGCAGACGGTTCGCTGGGCGTACATGTCAACGCGCAGGTCGTCAAAGCCGTTGAGGAGTGCGCCGCTGCTGGGAAGACGATTCTTGTCGTCCTGAACAAGATCGACCTCGTCGGACAGTTCGGCCATGACCCTGAAGCAATGACTGGCCTTAAAGCCTACATCAGTGAAATATTTCCCACGGTCCCAGCTGACCGAATTTGTCCAACCTCCTGCAGAGAAGCGGCATCTGTCCTCTGGGAGCCTGATCAATCCGACCCTGGCGGGATTCAGGCGGTCCTTACACAGTTGACCAGTGCGTTCAGAGCCTTGACAACTGCAGCCACAGGCGAGAAGACTGGTTCCTTGACCCCGGCTGAAGCACAATCCTACTGGGCCGCCTCCCTATCTGTGACGCATCGCCAAAGCACGTACTTGAGACAATGCTTGATTCATCTGAACGACTTTCTCGATCAGTCTGAACCACAACACGATCTGTTCGATCCTGATCTCGCTGGTCCACATGCAGCCCGTAATGACATCGACATTGTTACTGCAGCAGAGCATCTCCGGTTCGCGGCCGATTGCCTGGCCAAGATCACAGGCAAAGGTGAAGGCGGGGACGTGGAAGACGTACTCGGCGTTGTCTTTGAAAAGTAAGTCCCTGTTTTTCAATGTTACTGCCGATGTGCTTGTGAATTGAGCAAAAGAGGAAGGCCATTTATGTTGTTGGCAAAATTGTGACATTGCGGTCTTGTATGGTTCTGGGGTGTCTGTACCCACTGTCTGGAATGATTCGCTCTGATCTGTTCTGTTGATCCGCTGAAAGGCCCTGCATCTATCTATATTCCCTCCAAATGCAACAAGAATACGCCCGAAACGCCCCTGTCAGGGCTCGCGCCCTGGTCTTTTGTCCCGATTGTCTATACCCAAACCCCTGAAATGCCGATCTCTCGCCCCTCTGCGCCTCACTGGTCATCTCGCTTCCAGAGCGATGACTGAAACTGTTCCCCACAAGAAAGACAAACGCCTGAAAATGCCGCTGAATTGCGTTGATCGCTCAAAATAAAAATGAAAGAATAGCTGATCATGTACTTTTGCTGATCCAGGTTCTGTGTCGGAAAATGAAGCCCGCAGAAATTGCTCGTCAAGAGCCAAGAGAATGAAGGAATGTGGTGGTGATCGCAGACGGGATCACCCATGGGCTGTCTCAGAAATCGGCAAAAAGACACGAGAACGCTGTGCTGGCTTTTTTTCGTTTTTGGGAACTGCGACTGGGATTGGCGGAATCAGTTATATCCGCCACGACCTTGGGAAGCTTGTTGTCGGTTGTATCCCCCTCGGCCTTGAGTCATGGCGGTTCGGTTGTATCCGCCACGGCCTTGTCTGTTGTAGCCGCCTCGGCCTTTCTGGGGAGCAGTGCCCGCGGGAGTGTTGTATCCGCCTCGTCCGATAGCCATTTGAAGGGCGATGATTGGTATGAGAAAGAGAAAGAAAGCAATTGTGGGCCAAGTTGGACGCTAGGTTGGCGAGGCTCTGCAGAGAGTGATGTGGTCGCGGCGAGAGCGCAGACAGAAGATTGAGAGAGACAGACAAGGAAACAAGGAAACAAGGAAATAGACAGATGAGGGAAAGTCTTTGGTGGGTTGTTTTGTCGGGAGCTCGGTGTCGTAGTAGAAGAAATTGACAGAATAGAATCAAGGAAAGAGTCTGTACCTTAAGACTGGGGTTGTAGCTGCGAAGTGCAAGTCGAAACCTGGATTGGTGGTGGATAGAGTAAGCGAACAAAGGAAAGGATTAAGAAGATGTATCTGGTGAAGTGAAGGAGTGTGTTCTGGTTGAGGGAATGAATTCCTCCCAAGATTCTCGATGAACCTGGCCTTGATATATACATGTTCCCGACGGTTTTAGGTCCATTCTGTCTGATAAGCATGGTGGCCCGGAAGAGAGTCAGATTCACCCGCGATCCACCGGCCCAGGGTGCCGGTGCAATGCAGTATGCTGCGCTCAGGCCAGATATCGCAGGGCTACTCAATCGGTGCGTCCTCTGTGATGTGGATCTCCAATATGGATGCGGCCGTAGTCTTTGCGGGTTCTGGTGTGGAATGAGTAAATTTGGGGGCTGACGAGTTGCGCTAGAAGTTCCTATGGAAGGAAATGACTGGCCTGGATGGTTGGCCTGAGGTAGTAGGCGTCCCTGGGCCAAGCAGACCCAGCCCTGCTCGCTATGTGACAGGACACCGCAATAACGGTGTGGCCCTGGTCTCTTCGTAGGGCTGACGGCCAGGGCCCCGCAAGAGATGGGACTTTTGAATGCCTTTTGGTCTGGGTTTGGTTTTGGTGTGCCAGGAAGAGTCATGTCTAGTGAGCCTAATCTAGCATTGCCCCCCTGCTAGACCAAACCAAGTTTCTTGGAAACGTGAGATCGAGACCAGGGTCGACAAGCCATTCGATTCCAGCATCATGGTTGCTCGGAGGGGGTCCACCCTGTCGTTGCAACTGTCAGTGGGCAGTGGGCAGTGAACCCAAGTTTTGGTGTGCTAAATTCAACCGACGATCGAGTCATGGACGAGGACGAGGCGTGGGTTGCAGTAGCTGTGCATTAGGCCCCTGTAGCTGAAGAAGGAGATAGGACAACGACAATGTTAGTGCTGAGAGCCTGGGCCGAACAGCGTTCGTCAGGATAGGCTTCTTTAGGGTTGACGCAGAGACATTTATCATTGGCCGCACACCGGTTCCAAGACAACTCTAATCCGGTCTCAGTGGCACCCGAGCACCACAGGGCACAGGGGGCGCAGTCAGTGATTCATTCCTCAACCCAACTCTCAACTTGAGGAATGTGGCTGCTACGCTACGGCCTTCGACCAATCCCTCCCATGTCCCGTCCCTCATCCTCAATAAGCGCCTTGGTTACTGCTCTCCGTACGGAACACGATCGAGTTCGACCTGCTTTGGGGTCAGGAACGGGAACGGGACACTGCATCTGAATCATTGTCCGTTGGTTTCACCGGCCGGTAGTGCACGATCCGAGGCTACGATGCCACCGAGTCACAAACCCTTCCAATTCTTCTGTCCAGTCTATCGGATGATGGCAGCTCTGTAGTTGGAATGACTATCCGTGACACGGTGCACGTCAGACCCTTTCTGCCTACCTCCTCTTAGGAAGGCCCCTGAGACGGGCAACGCAAAAAGATTCTAAATACGTGGCAGGCATAGTTGGGAACGGTGTGTTATCGGACGGTCGCTTCACCAGACAGGCACATAAAGACGTCTACACCGAGGCACGAAGATGATGGCATAATATTGCATAGTACGGTGTGCGGTTGCGGCTGCGGCTACAGTACAGCTACGGCTGGATCCAATCGTTTCGGCGTCATTCTCTGCCTGCACCTACCTACGTACCTGCACACGCGCTCTCTTGTCTAGGACACATGTGACGGACAACATCTGTGCATGCTAGCGATAGTGGCTCGGGTGTTTTGGCGGTGCAGTACGCATGTTCTTCACCGATAACACTGCTGGAGAGCCAAGTACCATGTTGCCTTGCGTGCGGGCTTAGCCCCCGGAACTGGATTAGTTTATTCTCCGGTTGGTCCACCGGTTTTCAACAAGTCTTGAGAGCGCGCCCTCCGACAGGTCCAGGAGTCTCCCTGCTAGCCTCTAGGCCAATGCAAGGCAGACTCGAGAACAGTGTCGATGGCAGCCATGACAATTCTGAGGCCGGACAGGGCAGTGGTGGTTTGTTTCGATAATCATGAAACCTTTGGGACGCCAGTGTCCCGTGCCACTCCGCTGGAGCTCTGATCGACGGGCTTAGGAGGCTATCACGATCACGATCACCACTGATCGCCATCACCCGGGCACGTGGAAATGTCTGAAAATAGCAACGCCTTTGGCCGACTCACCCTCACTTGATCTCTGGCCGCTAACCCGGTTCAGGAATGGTCTCGTTTTCCAATTTGAGCCTCTGCTGACTGATGAGGTGAGTGAGTCTTCTTCCGTGCGTGCTCTTGGTTTCAAATCATCAATTACTGTCATTCACCAACCCTGGTTTACCGCATCACATTCGACGTCCTGCAACTGGAAGCATCTGGGGGTAATTGCCGCCACAGCCCTGGATAGCTTCCCTCGGCTTCTCCATACCGTAAGCTTATAGTGAGGCGAGCGATTCCCTACTACAGCAGACAGCAGTGCATACGCGTACTCGCGCGCACATGCTTCTACACCACTGCTCACTTCCCGCTCTATCTGCCTTACATAAGTGTTCGGAGCGCCCGGTGTGGCATGAGTCAGGAGTCGTTCCCACCCTGATGCGGGAGGCGTTTACCAGCTTCATTGCAGATGATCAACAACCGCCGATACGGATCTTACAGTCGATGCGGTCTGCGCCTATGCAGGCACTATCTCCTCTGTAGGTCGACGAGTCACATAGGGCCACAGGTTGGCTCCTTCTGCCGCAGAATTGGAGGTAGGCCTAATTCCACTGAAATGAGCAGTGATTTGTTGCGGAATGACAATTTCCTACATAGCACCCACGCCGCGCTGCAGGCACCATGAAATCATGTTTAGCTCTGCAGGACCAAAATGTGACCCGCTGTTGAGATAGCATAAGCAACAGTGATAGTTATGACTGAATCTGTTTATGTTCCCAGCATCACGCGGCCGATATTTCTTGGTGAGGGTTTATGTCAACGGGGACGCCGCGGCCTACCGACCATCCAATGTCAGATCAAGCTCTATCACATGGTGTGGCAACCCCTCGGAATGATTCATATCTGGCCTGAATGTATTCCCCTGACCGCTGTGAATCGAGGTTGTATTGGAGTTGACGAACTTCACGCTGCCGATCCTCGTGTTGTGGCAGTGTCCTCGAACAAGTATTGACATGACAATAGGCATCTATCTCGACCGGTTCGCACCACAGCCACGGACTCAGGCATGCCAGGGCTTGAGTCACCCTCAGAGCGTACTTCTGATGCCTTTTGAGGAGACGCAGCTCTTGTCGAGTCTATTTTTGGGGGGAGGCGTGCTTTTATCTCAGCTCGTCTCTGTGATTGAGGAGCGTCGATCGAACTTCAACGGTGCGGGTTGGCAGACCCATTTCGCGTCGACATCTGGCGTACGACAACGAAGGGCCATACCCGTCCGTCCGTCAACGCGAAGCTGTGTGCTTCCTAATGATTTTCCGGGTTGGGCAAGCGTTTGAAGTAGTCAGCTCAGGGAATGTCTAGGACTAATCAAATGATGGGTACAAGAGGCGTGTACATTGACACAGAATGCTCTTTGGGTAGACGTGCGGATAGGAAGATCGCATCCGCAAGTTCGTTGAAGCTACAAAGCCGTGGCGACGGCAAGGCTGACCAATTACAGATCCCATACACCAAGTCCTGTTGTGGCTGCTACTGTCTCGGATTACGGCGTCCTCTGAATGCAAATTTCCAGCCTGTCCTTGCAGTGAAGAGCGGAATGGGAATCTACGGGAGTCTGTGTCCTGACGACCACCAAGGGCGTGTTGACATTTCAGGAATGTACCCACGTCCGGTCTTAGACCATCGAGCACCCTACAAGTTCCAAGTCATTTTACAGCCCTCGCCAACTCTGAATTTCCCGCCATCTTCTCAACTCACCCAAGCCACTCGTTAGCTGTGTTTAGTGTCGTCTTCACCAAGTCATTCATTCAACATGTACCATCTCGGTCTTTTCATGTTTGCCCTTGGCACAGCCGCGCAGAGCATCAGTATCAGCTACAGCTATACTGCGACGGTGACGGCCACAGTCATTGAGACGATCATAACATGCCCCTGTCCGACACCGACGACGACAACCACGACGGCGGCCTCCTCGATACTGCTTCCGGATGGGACCATCACACCTTTTGTGACTTCGTCGAGTACAGCCGTTAGTAGCACAACAAGTCTGACTGGTGTTGTGCTTCCAGATAACACCATCACCCCGTCTATGACGACGAGGACAACGACGACGCCCATAGTAAGCAATGGCATTTCGTCAGCACCAGTCTCGAGCATTTCCACGCTTACCACCTCGACCACGTCGACCACCTCCAGCACCAGCAACGTGCCATCTGTAACGAACGATGCTTACATCAACGCCATCCTGATTCACCACAACATCCATCGGACCAATCACTCGGCCACGGCATTGACTTGGTCTCCGAGCCTGGCTGAGACGGCTCAGATGATTGCCCAGACATGTGTCTATGGGCACGTTACGTAAGATGACCCTATATGTTCTCGTTTACTCCTTGGTTTCCTATTCCTTGGTAAAGCCTGGGCCGCTCCGCCCAGTTGGTCTCGGTCCTTATGGCCGGTTCCTTCTTCCACCACACCGTTGAGGCCGAACCACTAGCACTGACTATCATGTCCTCACTAGAAACATCAACGGCGGAGGCTACGGCCAGAACATCGGTGCCGGGTACCCAGTCACACCGCTAGGTATGGGAAACTTTGTGACCGAAGGCCTGTACAACAGCGAAGTCAACAACTACGTCTATTACGGCGCGGAACCCGACATTACCACGCTCCAGCAGTGGGGACATTTCACCCAGATTGTGTGGAAGAGTACCACTTCGGTGGGCTGCTACACGGCCGACTGTACGGCGACAGGCCTAGGCAATGTGGGGGGTGGCGTGCCGCCGTATTTCACCGTGTGCAACTATGCGCCGCCTGGTATGTATTACGCGGATGATGGACATTCCGATCCCTTTTTCCTCTTCTCTCGTGTCTCAAGATCCAATCCAGTTGCTGACCGTTTGGTGTACTGTTACAATAGGCAACTACATCGGAGAATTTGCGCCTAACATTGGCGTGTCCATCGGCTTGGCAACCGTGCATGCGGACTATGGGCTTTCTTCTTGAGCGAGGGTCCCATCTGGTGGCAGGTTGCTTGGCCGCGCAAAAAGAGAGAGCCAGACAATGGCAGATGCGTAGATTGAGGGCAGCAAGCCGCGTGGGGGTGTGGGACGTGGCGATAGGAAGGAGAACAAGAGCGAGAGCGAGAGCGAGCACGAGCATGTTAGCTATGTGTATGGTACACGACAATTGCAGTTTCGTTTCAGTCGCTCCTTGCCTGACTCGCAATCGGATTCACGAAGAAAGAAGTGCTGCTCTGGTACTACTAACAACTCACTAGTATGGCCAGACAGACCATGTGGAACTCAGGCAAGCGCGGTTCATTTTGTTTTGCCACGGGAGTCGAGAGCTGGGAGTCGAAAATCGAAAGTTGAGAGTCGAGAGTCGAGACCTCCCCCGTCTGACGTGAAAGATAATGATGGCAATGGAGTAAGGCCAAGGCTTGAGTCGGAGCCTGAGCTTGTGGCCATACAATTCAAACCCAATCTCGTTCGTCCCGGGGAGCAAAGCAAATCCCCCTTTCCTTTGGCCCTTCTTCTCCCCATGGCCAAGGGTCACGGTGGAGTTCGCCAGGACAGATAACTTAGGAGCTTACAGGAGTATCCATACTCCATCCTGTAAATAGATATTATGTACGGATACAGATACCAATTGTGTATGCGTACTCTAGGCTCTGCACTCTGTACTCTTGGTGAGCATCCGTCCTCTATACTCTGCACTCTGTTCTCTGTCTATCCGTACCCATACAGACTACAAAAATCTGTGTCTAGGGACAAGTGTCTAGGATAACTCCGAGCCCCAGCCTGGAAGCCTGGAGGTTGCGATATCTCTCTTCGGCGGTCACGCGATTGTGGAGATGCAAGGTGTGATGGCCACGGTGGGACTTGACAAAAGTACATTGTTCAGGTCAAGGCCTCATTGGGCTGTTGTCAGTCACCAGGACTAGTAGTATCGGTAGTAGCAGTAGTTCCAGTAATGCCAGTAGTTCCAACTTCCAGTAGTCCCAGTAGTATCGGTAGTCCTAGTAGTACCAGTAGTGCGTGGGTCAGGAGTGAAACAGTCCCGACGAAGAGGACGGAGTATTGTACGGATACTCCATACTCCATACTCCATGCAGATATGCCACGTCGTGCCAGGGCAAAGCTATCCATCCATCCTGGGTATAGTAATAAGTACTACTACTACGACTACGACTACTAGGTAGGTACCCATTCCTGTACCCTGTCACTACTACGACTACTAGGTAAGTACTAAGTACCCATTCCTGTCCCCTGTACGGACATGTCTTGGTTTACATACTACACATACCAGTCCACTAAGTCTTGGTTTACTACACATACCAGTCCACTAAGCCAAGCCAGTTCGACTGACTATCCATATTGCGAATAGTCGCCCGGCCGGGTTCTTGGGAGGGATATCAGCAAGAGGGAAAAAAAATTCGAGCCGATCCTCTCCTCTCTCTTCTTCTTCTCTCTAATTGCCATGATGGCGTCTTTCGCCTCTACAATGAGACCATCTCTGCTGCTTGCCAATGGCGAGGTTGCCAGCCTGATTCGTGACTGAGACTGACTTATGTATATAAGATCAACCAACCCTAACCGCAACCCCGGGGCTAGGGCCCTACAGCATACAGAAGACTTACTACAGGAGCTGTGCTGTGAGACTTACTACATGAGCTGTGCGTGTCTGGCTCTGTCTGTCTGGCATTCGCTCTTCCATTCTTTCTGAATCTCTACCGCAGTCTAACCCTGCTGCTGTGTGCACAATCACAATCACACCAGAGGCTCTCCATTTCTCCCTCGGGAAGACCGTGGTCGACGTCAGAGTTGAGCCTGAACTGGAGTAGGGATCAGGATTAGGATCGGGATCGGGATCAATATTGGACCATCATGTCTGTTTCGCCTACATCTGATTCTGCTTCTGCACCTGCACTTGCACCGGAGAAAGCATCTCGGCGCTGGTATGACTGGTTTGCACCCGAGGACAGTCCCGAGGAGCGGAAGTTGATCCTGAAGCTGGATTTGTTGATCGTCCCGTTTGCCTTTATCGGATACTGGTTGAAATATGTCGACCAAGCCAATCTCAGTGAGTGAGCCAACACGATCTTCCATCCAATAAACACAAGCAGAAGCAGAAGCAGAAGCAGAAGCAGAAGCACAAACAGAAGCAGAGGCCAAGCAGAAGCAGAGGCACCAGCACCAGCACCAGCACCAGCACAAGCACAGGCACAAGCAAACAGGAAAACACCTACCTGGAGGGTGGCGTTGGTTTCTGCATCTGCATCTGCTTTGCCTCTATGTACCTCTCCTTCTACCTCTCCTTCTACCTCTGTTTCCGTCTCTGTTTCGTCCATGTACCTGTTTCTAGATGGGTACAAATCCTTTTTACTAATTTGTGCCCCCCTGGGTCGATTCAAAGATAACGCCTATGTCACCGGACTCAAGGAGGATCTCGGCTTCCACGGCAATGAGCTGGTGCACTGCCAGACCATCTTCACGGTCGGCTCGGTGATCGGACAGCTTCCTTTTGCGTATTTCTTCGCCAAAGTGCCTATGAATTGGCTGATTCCTAGCGGTGAGTGATGAGACTCTCTTCAGCCCTGACAACTAGCTACCCCTTGGTTTCAAATCTTCTTCTCCTGCTTCCCCTGACTTGCCTATCATGTCTATCATCTCTTTTGTCTTCTTTGATCGGGCTAGAGGCGATATAAAACCTCAGAATCGCAGGGCACGGCACATTCATCCATCCTGTAGACGTGGGATCTTGGCTTTGATTTTGCTTCTATGTCGAGTCGAATCGAACTCTTCTGACTCTAACGTCTCTTATTTGTTTAAGTGGAACTCGGCTGGGGCGTTTTCACCCTCCTACAATACCGCGTGAAATCATATGCGGAACTGATGGCCTATCGCTTCTTCGTCGGCCTCTTCGAGGCGCCCTACTTCCCCGGCGTCCACTTCGTTCTCGGGTCGTGGTACCGCGGTGACGAATACGGTCGACGCGGTGGCTTCTTCTACATCGGACTCACTCTGGGCACGTTGACTGCGAGTCTGATCCAGGCGGGCACGTCGGCTAGGCTGGATGGCGTCCATGGTCTTGCTGGCTGGAGATGGATGTATAGTAAGTTTCCTTCTTCTCTTCTCTCTCTCTCTTTCTCTTCCCTGTCTCTATCTATCTATCCATCCGTCTGGGTGTATTATACTAACTACCAACCCAGTCATCAACGCAGTCATCACCATCCCTCTCGCAATTGCCGGCCTCCTCATCTGGCCCGGCACACCGGACAAGCCGAACCGGCTCGTCCTCACGCCGGGCGACATCGCACTCGCCAAAGCGCGGCTCTGGCGCAACGGTCACGCGACGCCACAGCGGTTCTCGTGGACCACGGTCCGGCGCACCTTCACCAACTGGCGCTTCTACCTGTTCACCTGGTGGGGGATTGTGTTCTGGAACTCGACCAACGCGCCGTCAGCGGGGACATGGCTGCTATGGCTCAAGAGCCTGGACCGGTACAGCGCGACGCGGCTGAACAGTCTGGGCGCGCTGTCGCCGGGGCTGGGCATCTTCTACGTGCTCTTCATCTGCTTCTCGTCCGACCTGTACCTGGGCCGGGCGTGGGCCATCACGCTGGCCCAGACGCTCAACGCCGTGTCGGTCATCATCCTGACCGTGTGGGACGTGCCAGAGAACGCCAAATGGTTCGCCTATGCGCTGACCTTCACCTGCGTCGCCAACTCATCCGTGCTGTACGGCTGGATCAACGACGTGCTGAAGCACGACGCCGCTGAGCGTGCCTTCATCTTCACCCTGGCCAATGCCATCGCCCAGTCCACCACCGCCTGGACCCTGATCTTGACCTTCAAGACCGTCGAAGCCCCGAGGTTCCAGAAGGGCTTTCCTTTTGTCCTGAGTATGGCTTTGTTGACTATTATTACCGCTTGGGTTGTCAAGTATTTGCATCAGCGTCAGGAGTATGTATATCCAACACAATCCAATCCAGCCGAACCTCCCCCAAACAAAGCGGGCCGTGGCGCCTTCTCATTCTGTCCTATAGGAATTCACTAACACATTCCACTCTAGAGCACAATACGCCGCGGCCGGTCGTCTGGCCCAGGACCAGAGAGAAGCCCAAGAGATCATCGAGGAACACCAAAATGTCACCATTGATCCCGCCACTGCCGGCCAGAAGGAGCTGAGGGTCAAGACCCAAGACCGCGAACTAGGCCCTTAAAATTCTGGGTTGGTTCTGATTCAAGGTCAAAAAATAAAAGAGACCCGGCTGATGGTGTATGGTTGATGGTTGATGTTTATTATATTCAGTTGCACTGTCTTAGCTAGCCAACCTCCAACCATCCAACCATCCAACCATCCAACCATCCAACCATCCAACCATCCAACCTGGGGGCGAAAGACGAGAAGAAGGGAAAAAAGGAAGAAAGGAAGAAATTCCTATGCTCTCATCTCATGTTAACTACTAACTGGATGCATTTCATTCCACAGAACAATAGTATGTACGCGTTGTTTACTGGATGCATTTCATTCCAGAGAGCAATAGTCTGTATCCATTGTTTAACTACTGGATGTATTTCATTCCATAGAACAATAGTCTGTACACGTTGTTATATGTGTGTGTGTGTGTGCGTGTGTGTGCGTGTGTGTGCGTGTGTGAGCCCTCTCCTCCTTTTTAGATGCCTTCGGTGATGGCCGGCAGTAACTTCTCAGTAAACTCCCACAACTTGCTCGAATCCTGAGCGTGGAAAGCGGCGCCGGTCCAAAAGGTGTTCTTCCGGCCCTGCAGGGCGTAGAGATGGGTGTAGAAGCCGTCCTGGATGGCGGCGGCGGGCACGTTGAAGGCAAACGGGGCGTGGCTGTGGTATTCGACAAAGTGAGGGGTAGTGACGGCGGTGGTGTTGACGGAGCCGGCGGCTTTGACGCGGTTCAAGGCGGCGACAATCTCGGTCTTGACCTGGTCGTCGGAGATCTGGACGGGGCTGTTGTACTTGACGCTGAAGAGGCCGGCGGTGTTGGCGGCCTGGATGAAGTAGGGGCCAGGCAGGGCGGGGACATTCCAGGGCGAGTCGACGCCGAAGTTGCGCAGCTCGACCGCGTCCGGGATGCCGGTGTCGTTGATGATGGCAGCGTAGTAGCCGACGTTTTGGATCTGGCCGAACAGCGCGCGCTCGGTGGCGTCGAGGTCGAAGCCGGCCAGGTTGTCGAGCTTGGGCGGGATGGCCAGCAGCAGCTTCTTGGCCTTGATCAGCTTGACGCCGGTTGGCGTGTTGACCAGCACGGCGACGCCCGAGCCCGTGGCGTTCCGCTGCACCGCGAGCACCTGGCTGTTGACCAGGGCGTCGGCGCCCAGCTTGGCCTGGGCGGCCTCGTAGATCTCGTGGTTCTTCCCGCTGACCGCCGACTGGTAATTGCCCTCCTGCAGGGCCACGATGGCCTGCAAGCTGACCAGCTTGAACACGTACAGCGTCAGCTGGTCGAGGATCCTGCCGATCCCGTTGGCGAACACGGTGATGACCTGGATGGCACCGGCGATGTCGTATTTCTTGACGAACTCGCCGAACGGCAGTAGCAGGTCCGCCGGCACCGGGTACGTCAGGTTGAACCCGTCCTCGAGGTACGGGTACTTGGCCACCTGGGCCGCGTAGTTGAGCAGGCCTTGGGTCACGTTGCCCTCATAGATGCTCGTCACCAGTTCGCCCGTGCGGAAGTCCACAGGGATGGTGGTGAGCGTGGTGAATCCCGCCCGTTGCACGTCCGTTGTCTTCAGCCCGACGTTCAGGCTCGCAAAGAAGTTCTTCACCGTCGGCGTGTCGTACCACGCCACCACGCCCATCTCGGTGCTGTTGCCACTGACCGGATCCGTGTACGTCTCGGTATGGCCGCCCAACACTGGTTTGCGCTCCACCACTACAACGCTCTTGCCCAGTTGGCTGAGTCGGACTGCCCCGTACGCGCCGCTGGCGCCGCCGCCAATGACGGCCACGTCTCGATGAATCACGTCGCTGGCCGCGATCGCACTGATGTCGATGCCGGCCGTGATGCTCATCAAAGAGGCAATCACCGTGCCTGCCAGAGCCGCGCCGGCGAGCCTGTTGGTCTGGAACATCTTCATGCTGGACTGAGGGACGGGGACGGCCTTGGGATGTGGGATATTGGGTCAAGAAACCCAAATAAAACCAAATTGGAACAGAAAATAGACTACCTCTGGAAGGGAGGGACGAGCACTGGACCAGATGAGAGGGATTGATGCAAACGAGTGACTCGCAACCCACTTTGATCTGTGCAGCTCAGGCTGTTGAATATGTCTTTTCCCCTTACCTTTATAGCCATCACATCATTGTCCCTCTGGTGGCCTAATCCTCCACAGTCCCCAGTCCCGGAGGCTTTGCCTTCCCACGTCAAGAAAGAGTACTGGTGTTGATCACCCGGAGCACCTTGTGCGAGATTGCGCCGTCTCTGGCTGGCACTTTCCGACTGGGGGCTGGAGATTGGAGATTGCGAGCGGGAAAAAAATCACCTAAGATCGGGGGTTTGGAGGCTCTTGAACCCCCGAAGCGAGCACTGGGGAAGCTTCTTGTGGCATGAGGCAGTCGTCGTTGGCTCGTTTTCTGTGTCCTTTGTCTATCCCACAGGCCAAAAACCCGAACCCGGAAGCAAACAGCACCATTCGTCTCGGATTCCGGAGGCCGTCTCGATCCGAACCCACTTGAATTGTTGTCCATCTCTCTTCCGTGCGGGAGCTGCCCCGGACGCAGATCAGGTGCCACCAACGTCAATATATGGAGTACAGTAGTAGTAGTCAATAATGATAATGGCTGGACTCTTGTTTCTTTGTTGCTGTGCTGTTCGGGTTTGGGCAAGATGCATTTCTGTGCAGAATTGCATCATCGGTCTCCTTTCCGGGGTCGGGGCCGTGGGGGCAGAAGCTCACTCAGCATCATCCTCATATCTTTCTGTTTTTGTACGAGTAATACTGGTAGGACGGGCATGGCTCACAGTAGCCAGCTCATATTCGAAAGAAAGGATTGGGACTTGGCTGCGCCCAGCCAATCCTTGACAGGGGTTCCCCTGCCCAGTGCTTCGCCTCAATAACCTCGGATGCATCGTCACGAACACATTTTCGGCAACATTCCAATGCCTAATCATATATCGGCCAGGATTCCGCCAGTCGCTATGGGCTACGTCCACCGAGATGGCCAGCTTGTATCATCGAAGCTTGCTGGATTTAGAAGTCTTTTACTTCTGTAGATGATAGACGATGTTGTAGCTAGCAGCATTAGATGACCAGTATCCTCAGTTTGAGCTACACTCTGAACAACGCTCCTCTTGCTCTGGAGGGCCCGGCGAACCGTGTGAGCGAGGGTCCCGGAAGGACAGTGCTGAGGAAGAAGCGGACCGGGTTTCACCATCTGGTAATGCCACGGCTCTAACATGAAGCACTCATCTTATTCGATGGGCCTGTCTGATCATTGAACGCAAATACACAATAGTTTAAAGCGGCGCTGGCCGAGTCGGGGCACCCACGTGACTTGTCTGGAAGCCGCCAAGAAACTAATTACTAATTAGGGAAAGGCGCTGATGTATCCGTACATGGCATGTTGAACTTGTCGCATACTACTATACGAGACTGCGCCAGCCAGTTCTGTTGTCTTGACGCTTCACCCCATCGCTCAAAATTCCCTGGCGGTGCACGAATCAGTCCAGCCGCCGCATCGCTGCCTGCATTGCAGGATTGTTCAGGTAATCAAGACTCCTCCAACATGGCAGCTGCTGCGAAGCCAACCAAAAATCAACTTAGGCGGGCAAAGAAAAAGGCTCAAAAGCACCAAGTACGTTTCTTCCCTTCTTCACCTCTGCCAGAAACTCATATCGCGCAGCCACCGCCTGATCAACCCTCCGACCTCACAATCAAGGCCGAATCAGTAGAGCCCACATCGACTCCGACGCCGTTGCCGACAGTCCGGGATGAAAAGGTCAAATCAGAAGAAGACGGTCGCGATGGAGACCCTCTCACAGATCCTCTTATCGTGGACGAAGGAAATCCACTTTATGACCTCTACAGGGATATGTTGGAAAGATTCGGGGATAAAGAGGATTCCGCCCTAAAAGAACCCGATAAGCCTGAAGTGTACTTTGACGATGACGATGATATTCCCGACGAAGAAGAGGAGGAGGAGGGTGCGGCGCCCAAGATGTCCAAGAAGAAGCGAAAGGAGATGTCCAAGCTTTCGGTAGCAGAACTAAAAGCTCTCGTCAAGAGACCTGAGATGGTGGAATGGACCGACACCTCAGCACCTGACCCTAAGTTGGTGGTCCATTTAAAATCATACCACAACGCCGTTCCCGTACCTACCCACTGGTCACTGAAGAGAGAGTATCTATCCTCCAAGCGGGGGATCGAGAAGTCTCCCTTTGCGCTTCCCAAATTCATCCAAGAGACTGGTATTGCGGAGATGCGGGATGCGGCTTTGGAAAAACAGGACCAAGCTACCCTCAAGCAGAAACAGCGCGAACGTGTGCAGGGAAAGCTGGGCAAGCTCGACATCGACTATCAGAAACTTTACGAGGCCTTCTTTCGCTTCCAGACGAAACCGCAGTTGACCAGATACGGCGAGGTGTATTATGAGGGCAAGGAGTTCGAAACCAACTTGCGACATTTACGACCGGGCGAATTGTCGGACGAGCTAAAGGAAGCGCTCAACATGCCGCCTGGGGCTCCTCCGCCATGGCTCATTAACATGCAGAGATACGGCCCTCCACCGTCCTATCCGGCATTAAAAGTCCCTGGCGTCAACGCGCCTCCGCCACCCGGTGCCAGCTGGGGTTTCGCTCCTGGGCAATGGGGTAAGCCGCCTGTCGATGAGGCAACAAACAGACCTTTATATGGTGGCGACATCTTCGGTGTGCTTCAACCCCAACAAAACACGCAACAGGGCGAGCCTGTGGAGAAAGATCTATGGGGCGAACTACAACAACAAGACGAGTCGGAAGAAGAAGAAGAGGAAGATGAAGAAGAGGATGAAGAAGAGGATGACGAGGAAGGTGGCACTGGTATTGAGACGTCAGCTGGTTTGGAGACTCCCAGCGGCATGAGCTCTGCTGTACCGACCGAGATCGGAGGCACCGAAACAGTCTCAGAGTTTGATCTTCGGAAACGCCGCGGCACTGAGACAGAAGATTCGTCTCATCCGCGGTCCGCGTACCACGTCATCCCTGAACGGCAGACACGTGTGGAAGGATTCTTTGGCGGAGATCGCGTCTACGACCTGAAAGCCGGTCAACAAAACAATCTTCCTGTCCTGGGCCAGGACGACACCCGGAAACGGAAGAAGCCAGGTGATGTGGAGGTCTCGATTGATCCAGATGCCTTGGCCGCTCGGGACGGAATGGACAAGGAAGATGTGCGCCGTGCGTATGACCAGCAACGTAAGGCCGAGCAAAATCCCCAGTGGGACTTCCAGGAAGACCTGTCGGAAATGATTGCCTCGGAATCGAGGAAGAGGCAGAAACGCGACGAAGAGAGGAGGAGTAAGCGGTAATTGGACATGGCATGGGCAGGCACCAAAGCTCGATGTATGAGAATAATAAGAGGACATGCTGTGATACCCGACCAGCAACGGACAGCTCTGATGTAGGAGGCTGATTGGGCCATTCTGGGCGCCGCCCGAGTTCGCGTCGCCACGGCTCTACTATAAACAATTCAGACGTACGGGACAGCTCGTCTCCTCATCCTTATCTGGGTGGACTGCTTGGTCGATCACTCAGTCTTGCACGTCTGTCTCAATCCGATGTACTTGTACTTCCTATGTTCCCATGCAATGGCCACTGACGAAAATCAACACATCCATCCCAGCGACAGCGAACCTCTATGGTGATTAGCCTCAACTACATGTACCTAACCAAGGTTCTCAAACTGGAACAGTTACCGAGATATCTGAACAAAGCAGGAGTCCCCTTCGACATGTGCGCACTCATCAATCACCAAATGAGACTGCTCCTTTGTAGCAATGGTACCTGATTACATGTACCGAGTGCAGAGGACTTACCTAGGTAAGATCTTGAAGTGAAAATCATGCCAGCAGTAAGAGTTGAGCAGGCAAGCCTAATAATTACAGATGTGGTTGAAGGGTACATCAGGCTATCAGGTATACTGATACTTGTGGTGGTGGTAGTTGCCCCTATTAAAAGAGCGTGATGTGTACGGATAGGGCGGCGAAATTCCCATCCAGATCGGTGAGTCCCAAGCAGTTTTACGGTTAACCATTGTCCAGAACCTCGACTGCATGGAACTTCTTGAACTTCTTGAACTTCCTGAACTCTGTCGCACATCCAGGGCATCCATGTCCTTCTGTCCACCCTGCCGACGTCTTGCCTGTTGTGCCCGACAACCTAACGTCAAAGCGTCTGAGGAGGTGCATTCATTCTTATTGTAATTAGTCGATCTGAAAGTCGATCTGAAAGTCGATCTGAAAGTCGACAGTCTCCCTGATGGACCGCTACCGGGGGTACGTGTCTTCGCTCCCCTCATTTCTTCTAGACTGACATGCATCAGACGACGATCTCCTCCGCCTCGACCTCATCGCACTCGAGACGACCATCCAGACGTCGAGTATTTTGGTGACGGTGAAAGTTACAGACCTGGTGGCGCCGGCGAAGGCCCCTACAGACCCCCGAACAGAGAACGCCCTGCGGCAGATGGATGGTCGGCCGATAGGAGAGATGGACGACGGGATGAGAGAAGTCAGAGAGAGGAGATTGACTCGTATGTGCCAATGACCAGTGCTAGAGCACCTCGACCAAGAAGCAGGTCTCCTGGGTACCGCCGACGGTCACGAACACCACCAACAAACAGAGGTCGAGAAGATCTTTTTGCCGACAGAAGATCACCAGTGCGCCGCTATTCTCCACGAAGATCACCTCCTCCTAGAAGACGATCTAGATCAGCGTATGGCGCCAGGGCTCGCAGTCCGCCAGAGACCAAGCGGTACCGTGAGTTCTCTCCCGACCCTTCACGTCGCTCACCGAAACGAGAACGACGAATCTCTCCAGACCGCAGCCGATTTGATCGTGATCGCCCGCGGTCACCGTCTAGGCGTGGGCCTACCCCTGACAGAGATTTGGCAAGAGGAGGCGAAAGCTACAGACCAAGATCGAGAACACCTCCGCGACGCAGACCGGTTGACAATTGGAGACGCTCTCCTTCACCGAGGAATTTGAATTCCGGTGTCGCCTCAAACAACACATCACGAAGATCCTCCCCACCGATACATCCTGACAGACTGAGCTTGACCGGTTCTTTGCCTAGCAGATCGCCGGCATACCCTCCCCGCGGGCGTCCTGACTACGATGGACCCGGGTCAGCAGGCTACCGGGAAAGATCTCCTCCACCCACAGCACCCATGGATACCAATGACCGTACACGAATCCGAGACGTAAGCGCACCGCGCGACGATGTTCGAATGAATGGCGATCCCTCTCAGATCCAACCACCATCTGGTCCGAGTAGTTATCGAAATGGCAACTACAACTACGACCGCCCTCCCCCGACCGGACCCTCGCGCAGTTTCACCCAGCCAACCAAAGCTTCACCCCCTACAGGCCCTGCATCAACATCCGCGTCAGTGTCTGCCCATAACCGTGGCGGAGGAGGCGGCGCAGGTACGCTGGGGGCTCCCACCCGACCTCGCGGCGCGCCTGGCCCTGGTCGATACGACGGCCCTCCTCCCAGAGACTTCAGCAGCCCGCCTCTACGCGGAGGTCGAGGGAGTTTGGCGTACCGTGGACCTGGGCCATATGGGCCAAGAGGGGGAGGGCTTGGTGGCCGAGGTGAATATGGTGGCGGAAGCAGAGGAGACTTTGGAGGACGCAGTGACTATGGTGGGGGCGGCAGAGGAGACTTTGGAGGAGCCGGTGGACGAGGCGATTACGGAAATCACCGCGGAGGTGGTGGATTTGGCCGCGGCAGCAGCAGCAGTGGCGGCGGCGGCGGCGGCGGCGATCCACCGTCGTTCCCTTTCCGCAGCAACAACAACAGCTCAAGCACGACGTATCCACGAAGCCAACGATTCAACGGTACAGCGAATACGGTCCAACACCATCTCACCACCAATGAGAAGATAGTCCCGGGCGGCAAACTGCTCCCGTCTGGACTCCCGCCTGACCAAGAGAAACGCATCAAGGCACTCGAAGCTGAGGCCGAGCGCATGCGGACGGAAATTGCCGAGAAGCAGAGAACGAAGCGTGAGGTCTTGAATGAGTGGGAAGTCCGCGAACGTGAGAGCGAGAGGGAAACTCTACGTAGCGAGCTTGCCGATGCACATTTGCAGCAATTGATGGAGGGAGATGATGGGTTGGGGCGCGCGGCTTTCTAGTAGAGAGACTGGGCCGACTCGGCTCTTCTACTCGGATTCCGACACCGACTTTTCGTCGTCTCTTCTGCCTCTTTTGGGCTGCCCTTGTCTGAGTCTTGCCGTGCTGGACAAAATCGGTTCCAGGGAAAAGTCGAGCACAAAAAGGTGAAAAGGAATGGACAAAGCAGCGACGAAGAAAGGAGAAAATCGCCAACCCTAATTAGCCCTCTTGATACTGGCTAGTATTGGGATTGGGATTGATACTGGGATTGGGATTGGGACTGTGTCTGATGTTGAAAGCGACTCTTGCATAGCGAAGGAAAGCAACAGCAAGCAAACAATGTACGATGAATGTCTCTGCGCAGCTAAATTGGCTGACGGCAGGGAAATTAAATATCCAATGCCGTACAGAAAAAGGCTCTGGATTCACATCCCCATTCACTTGACTTTACATCGATCGCGTCGTGTCTTGTCGTGTCGTGTTGTAGCGCACCGTCCCGTCCCATATTGGTATTGGTATCAGTATTGGCACTGTGGCTGCTATTGTGCATGTGCATGTGCATAGGGCTGTGGTAGGCGAGTATCCTACAATCCAATACAGGCACACACACCCGTGGCAGTAATCAGGACTAGGCTGATGCTCAGGTTCAGGCCAAGACTCAGGACAAGGCTCAGGACCTGAACAGAACCCAGAACCCAGAACCTAGAACCCAGAACCATCGGGACTTGAATATGAATATGAATGTGTGTGACCGGACCGGACCAGTCCAAAACACTGGTAAAGGCGAAGGAAAGGAAGAAATTCAGCAAAGAAGGGTGAGACAATGTCCATATGGGTTCGGCGACATAAATGTCCACACCACACCACACATAGTCAGTTAGTCAGTCCCTTCCCTGCACGATTCGATTATTCCTAGACTTTCTCGTTTACTTTCTCATTTACTTTCACCTTCAGCAGTTTCAATTACAGTTTCGATTTCATTTTCAGGCCAGGCTTAACAACGCCATGCCTAATTTCTCTCTCACGCTGTCCGTCGGTACCATTCCACAATCCACGCAACGCAACAGCTCTTAGGTTCTTTCGTTCAGGATGGTAGATCCCTCTCTCCCCCACACTTCTCCGACTCGATAACCAGATCTCGGAACCGCGTCCGTATGTCGAGCCAAGGACACGGATACGGACACGGACAGGACCTTTCTCAAGCTTCCTTCCAGCTGACCACGACCACAACCACAACCACAACCACAACCACGTGCCATCATCATAATATCTTCATACACAGCCAAACATGTGCTCACAGCCATCATCATCTTCATACGCAGCAAACATGTACCACGCTCAAGCACCAACAGACCGGCCGCCATCGACCTCGAGATTGATGCCCGTGATGAACCTGCCTTCGTCACTGGCTAGATAGGCGGTAATGTTGGCGACGTCACTGGGGTCAGTGAGTCTCCCGAGCGGCACGTTGAACAGGAACTTTTGCACGTTTTCCTCGGTGAAGGGGACGCCGACGAACGACTCGAATAGACCTGTGCCGGAGAGGAGAGGGCACAAGGCATTGATGCGGATTTGGTCTTTGCCGAATTCGGCGGCTAGGCCTTTGGTTGCCTAGAGGGGGGAGAGGTTAGTGTATTTTTAACATGGTTGCTATTATGATTTCCCTTCAAGCAGGAGAAGGAAAAGTCGGGCAGATTTCCTTCAAGTAGCAGGAGTAGGAAAATTCGGGCAGATAGATGGTTGGCAGCCCGCTTACATTGGCAACAGCGGCCTTTGAAGCATTGTACCAAACCAACCCAGGTCGGGGTCGCATGGCACCGATGCTCGCAATGTTGATGATACTGCCACCGCCTCGTTTCTTCAACGCGGGCACGACGGTCCCAACGCTGTGGTAGATACTCTTGAGGTTGACGGCGATGACGCGGTCGAACTCGGCCTCGGTGACATCCAGAGTCGGCTTGTTCTTGTAGCTCGTGCCGGCGTTGTTGACCAGGACGTCTAACCCGCCGAACTTGGACTCGGCCGTCTCGACCAGCTTCTCCCAGTCGGCCGCCGACGTCACATTGGCTGCCACGGTGGCTACGTTGGTTGCGTAGGTGGAGGACGACGAGAACGCTTTCTCGAGACCTTCGGCGTTGATGTCGGAGGCGACGACTTTGGCGCCCTCAGCTACGAATTTCTGCGTCACTGCAAGACCGAATCCGGAGGCGGCACCTGCAGGATGAGTATGTTAGTTGAGGACCGAAGTAGTTGATGGAGTATGTTAGGTGAGGACCAAAGTGGTTGATTGGAGTATGTTGAGTGAGGACCAAAGTGGTTGATTGGAGTATGTCAGGTGAGGACTGAAGTCGTTGATGGGGTATGTTGTCGAGAACCGAAGCACTCGATTGCGTTGCTTTGTTCTTCGCCCGTGAGCGAGGCCCACCACCCAACACAGAATGTAATTGTGATTCAAAAAGTTGTCTAAAGACTCGAAGGAGGCTGACTACTTCTACCGTACCTGTAACAATGGCGACTTTCCCGGCCAGGCGGCCAGCACCTGTCTGTACTTCGTGGAGGCCTGACATTGTGTGGGAGAGACACTGGATTGGTCTGAAAAGGCGGGCTGATAGTAAGAGTGTGCTGGCTGGTCAGGAGGAAGGCCGCTGCTTCGTCAAAGTCAAGTCGTGTGTATAAGCCAGAAAGCGAAGTGTACGGACGAACTGGTCGAGGGGAAAGGTGTCTCTGGCACCCGAGAGAGAACAGGACAGTAGATATAGGTCAATTGACCAGGGACCGGCTCCTGTCTGCCCCGCATCAGTCCTGACCTGACCCACGCAGCTCATCCGAGAAACCGCAACGAAATCGCGTAAAGAAGATGGTCGGTGTTGCCATCTCGTAATTGTCGGGGTGATGCAATGAGCCACGAACGGACAAGGGCGGGGAAGTTCCTCGAAGTCGGCTCGGACTCGAGTTGCGGGGAACCTGCAGAATTCATCGGCTGCAATCTTCATGCGGAGAGGCCTAAGGTCAGTACTGGGCACTGGAGCGCCCAAGGTCCCAGGGGAGCGAATGGCGCTCGCCTCTGGCGACACAGGTAAGACATAGCTCAACAAGCCTGCACGGCTCCTCAGCCGATATCGCCGCCATAGTACTGGAGTCTTAGAGGGTCTCTACCCGAGATCAGCCGAGTCGACGATGCACCGAGGATGATAGAGGACAGCCAAGCCAGCGTTGCAAGAGCCGAGCGTACGGATAGTGGTGGCACGGGGAGTTGGTATCCAGTCATGTTGATTTCGAGAGCCGCCGGATCCTTGATGCTCTCGAGATGCGCTAGGCTGATTGACAGCGCTCTCGGAATCTCGTCTCATGTTCCACAGCACAGTCTGGACGTAATGGACATTAGGCGCATATGTGGACGAAAGCCTGAGGCCTCGAACCCCGAGGCTCTTGTCTCCTGCGTCGGGGTTTGAATCACCGGGTGGCCAGAGGCCATTCTTTGTCTCGGCCACAAATCACGTAGGTGAATACAGACGTTTTCACGAACAAAAATCGGGTTCCCATTATTGTATTCTGACGTCTTTATCCTGGGTATCCTCATCCTGATATACACAAATCGTCCTCGAAACTTCGCATCAGAACCAACCGAGGTCTACCTCTTGCCTTTCTTCCGAGTGTCTGGAGGTATAAATGTCAGTGACTTGTGCGTGACATGAGGTACTAGGTAGAGCCGAATGTCATCGTATGCATAATACGTACCCGAGGCCGTTCTCTTCTTCTTGGGAGCCCCTTTGCCTCTTAGTTTGGCAATCTGGATGCTTTCCAATCGTATCTCTTCGTCCTCGTTGAATCCGTCGAGATCGAATTTCTTGAATTCCGCCAGCACGTCTTCTACCGTGGCTGATCTTCTGGGATAATATGCGGCGAGGGCCGGGCCCTTTAATCTCTGGCGCAGGACTTTGTTCCCCAGCCGCTGCCGATTTGGGTTGAAGGTCGTGGAGAATATTGAGCATTGGAGCTGTTGCAGGAGAAAGATCACGGTGTTAGCAGAGATACCAGGGACATTCATGTTTGATGCGTGGGAAGAGAAGGACGAGAGCGGCATTGCGGGTGGCGGGATGCATTTCTCGTACCTTAGCAAGCTCAAGGAGCCGGCCTCGCGATGCAGAAGCCATGGCAATGCTCTGTAGTTGACCAGGATCGTGTTGAGGAACGCTGGATGATGAACAAAGAATTGTTTCATCGGCTTCAGACTGAGACGAGCCTGCGCCCGGCACAAGTTTCCCGATTGGGCGGCCACCCCGGCACACCACACTGCAATGTGTAGTGTGTGGACGTTCCACCATCACTACATTTGACGCCGAGTTCAGTTTCTTCCTCTCGTCGTACTAGTAGCACCGAGGAGACTTGTCATGGCACCGGCCTGCTCCTCTTCTTCATCCAGCTCTCGTCATGTCTCATATCAATAAGAAACGGAAGCATGAAGGAAGCCGCACTTCTCCCTCCCACAAATTTCGCGACGGTCCCAACTCCAACTCCAGGCAGTCTCCTGCCATTCCCACGCCGCTGGTCCAAGATGGACTGCTTCCGCCGCTACCCTCTATTGGGGATCAGTACAGAGGCGATGTCTTCACCCACCCCAGCTCGGCCGGCTCTAGCCACGCCAGCTACGACCGACTGGAGTTTCTGGGAGATGCATATCTCGAACTAATCGCTTCGCAACTGATCTTTGAGCGTCTGCCCGATCTTTCGGCAGGACGCATGTCACAAGTGCGAGAATCGATTGTCAAGAACGAAACCATCGGTCAATACTCGGTTCTCTATGGCCTGGACCGACAGCTCAAAGACTCCAATCGTCTCCGCAATGAGTCCCCTAATGCCTGGCTCAAGATCAAAGGAGACGTCTTCGAGGCCTACGTCGCAGCAGTAGTCCTGTCGCATGCAGATGGATTCTCCGTCGCCAAAAAGTGGCTGACCCAGCTGTGGGAGCCCAAACTCGAAGCGGTCTCGGCCAAACCAGCACCCTCGACCAAGAGTAAGGAGGAACTTGCCAGGAAGATTCTCGGAAAAGATGTCAAGGTCATCTATACTGACGAGCGAGAACCCGTCATTCATTACGGTCAAGGAACGGAGACCTACTCTATCGGGGTGTATCTGACGGGATGGGGCTGGGAGAATCAGTATCTGGGCAGTGGGAAAGGATTGAGCAGAGTCGCAGCAGGCCAAGCAGCAGCCGCGGCAGCGCTGGAGAACCACCCACTCATTGATGAAATAGTGGCCAAGAGAGCTGCCTTTTACGCAGCAAAGAAAAATCAAAATGGCGCTGCACAGGCCCAGCAAGACGCGGAGAAGTAAGTCGTGGTTGACACGTCTGCAACATACCAGTGGTCGAAAGTCGCCTTGCAAAAAATCCACAGGACGACGTGGTGGAATATCAGCCCTTTTCGCTCGTCTCAATATTCGTTGTGAGTGCTCTGTCAGCTTTCCTTGAGTTTTAGACCAACACCAACCCTTGCATCAAGCTCTAAAATACAACTGAGTAGCCTTCTTTCCAAGAAAGACCCGCTGTCCACCGCTCTATGCCACCGAAGTCATCCTATGCATTCACTGCACGGCAATGTTGACCTCAATTAGCATGTGCTGTACACACCATCAGCCCCGTCTGGACATTCTTACTCAACAAGAAGAGACACAACATGAGAGCTCTGAGCCACGCCTTGTGGCAATAGCTCAGGCCAAACCTTCGGACATACACACGGCTCAATACTTGTTCGTCAATCAGTCAAATATTTCCGAATCCGAATCACCATGACAATCCCATCCAGACGACATCTTTATGGCTCGCGGAGGGGTGAAGAATTCTTTGTTTAATTCTTCTTGTCCAGGGTCAGGGTCACAGTCGGCCTCCAATTCAATCTGCTCTTTAATTGGACTCTGGTAGGTAGCTTCAAGGAGTTGAGACTTTTGTGTCTGTGGTTCGAGATGTTCTTTGGCCTTTGCAACCTGGCCATCATACTGTCCCTCCGTCGCTTCTGTCTTGCGATGCCCGAGCCGCGAACCATCCCGGTCCATCTTTTGCACCGTTGGCAGACCTCTTCTGTTCTTTGTTCTGGAGATGACCTCACTGTCTATTTCGATACAATCTGTGGTTCTCTTTGTTGAAGAGGGGGATAATGACATTGTCAGATTCCGGTCTTTTCGGTCCGCATGCATTGATTCGCCTTCAGGAACGGTCAATACCATCTGCTGCCCGCGTATCCCTGTGCATGCTCTTCCCGCGACAGAATCGCTCGCGGTCGAGGACACGATGGACTCAACACTGTCCCGGGGCGTAATGTATTCAGGTTGACATGCGGGTTCGGGCCAAGCATAGCGATATTTGATCTGCTTGCCGTCTCGAACGATCTCGAAAATGCCCCCGCTCCGACCAGCCGCCCTCCGCCGCTGACGTCGAGCTTCCCTATTCTCGACATCCGATTTCTCCATGAGAAGGAATTCCTTCGAATGATAGAAACAGCCTTGTGCACGATGGAGGAGAGTTTTGACGACGGCTTTGAGTATTTGATAATCAAGTTGTCCAATACTCTTGATGTGACGACGATACTTTGAAATTGCGATGTCTGGTATCTGGAGAATCAGGGATATCGGAGCAAAGGGATCGATGATGATAGGTCGCGGACGAGGCAGCGACGAGGAAAGGCAACTTGCACAACGCTGTGGTTCCAAAATATTCTGGACTAAGTGGTATGAACACTTAAGACGCGTAATACGCGACAGTGACGGGATGTGAAGCATTGCTGCAAGTATGTGAAGCCTGCACATACACTTTGCTTCAAAAATGCCAAGGACCGGTCACTGGTCACCGGTCACCACGGGGGTTTGGAAACACGGGTTACTACGGATACGGTTGTACGGTGTTGTCACCATGATGTTCTGGTTCTGGCGAAGAAAGACACCAACCCATTCTATTCTGAACCTCTGCGGCTGCGCAACTTAGCGGCGGGTGCAACTCCGATCAGAGAGCTGAAGAAACATCACGGCATGCCTGGGGCCCGAGGCCAGAAGTCAACTCAGGGGCACGCGGGACGAGGTCGAGGTGCAGGTAGAGGTCGAGGTTCAGATGAGACTTGGCCTCGAGAAAAGACCTAGAGAGAGCAAGGGAGCAAGAGATTGTGCAACATACAATCCTGCCAATCACTTCATGAAGAGCCTGTATGATGCAGACAAGTCCTTCGAAACCCGTTCATCACAAACTTCGACATGATGCGGTCGCGATCTCGATCTCCACCGTCCCAGTTGTGGATATATTCATCTGCCACAGCCTTAGGCTCTTCTACACGTGTGAGATGGCCCTACGGATTGGATCCCTGCAGTGGCCAGGAATGCAGCAATGATGTCTCCTGGAAGGCAGGGCATTGGCCGCATCGGGGATCGCGCCGCTGCCCCTGGTCGCCAATCCCAACGTCACCCCGCTCTCACCTCTCACCCTGGTCTCGACACCGCCATGAGTCTGCCTTGCGCCCGCCTGCCGCCTGTCGGCCACCTATCGCAGAGGAAAACATTGTGGCCGTGGGGGCCGAGCACAGGTCGTGCCGGTCCGCGCCCATCACCAAGACTACCTGCGAAAAGACGAGCCGGGCCCGGTGCTGGGGTGCCTGGTCGCAGCCATCATCTTAAGCCACATGACGTGGCTCGGTTCGGTGCTCTGCGTTGACTCGTTATGTATAAGAGGCGCTGGCTGTACTTCTTTGTCTCTGGTATCCGTGTACGCCAAATTTCAATGTCGGCCAAGATGCACTGGAGAGCGCCAACGACTATGCTGGCCACGTTTGCCACTGGGGCTGCATTCGCCGTGGGCCACCATTTCTTCTACCAGTCACTCCATGGCACGCCTGTCGAGATGACCAATTTCGACCAGCAGATCAACTTTGGCATCGGCACATCCTTCACCTTTTTGGTTCGGTCTTTTCTGACCATGGCTGTCGGCACCGCGTTTGTCCAAGTTCTATGGCGGGAACTTCTCAGCGAGCAAATAGCGGTGTCGAGGATCGATTCGATGACCCAACTGTTGACATCAATATTTGATCTGCTGAATATGAAAACTCTTTGGCAACATCCCGTGCTCGCATATCTGGCCATCATTTCATGGACGATACCCATTGCGGCGGTTGTACCTCCAGCGTCCCTCTCCGTACGCCGCGTCACCGAACCTCGTGTCGAATACATAACGAACAATCTGCCCCTCCTGGACTTTACGAAACAAACATTTGCAGCAGTCGCCAATTATGTGTCGCCGGATATTGGTTTCAGCGTATGTTTTGAGGGTGGTTCGACCGGGCTGGACCAACTTGCCCAGGAGGGGGCAGTTCGGGGCCAGATATTGTCACGGACAGCGCCAGCTCCAAACTCTTCGTACTCATTGCAGTTCTTCGGGCCATCGATCCGTTGCCAACCGACCGCTGACACAGTCATGAGCTCTTTCGACGCTGTGTTCGGGTGCAACTTGACCGTAACCAACTACACTGATAATTTCTGTGGGTTCAACTACAGTTATCTGGCATGGACACCGGACCCTACCGTCCGAGTACCTTTCGATACCGGAAGCGTCACAAACGACAGCCTTGACTTCAGGCACGATCAATCAACGTGCACTGACCTGTCCAGCATCGGTGGCTTCGCTCAAGAGCCCGTCATGATCTATATCGGGACCTTTACAGACACGGGCAATTGGTCAGTGCTAAACTGTTCCCTCTACAACGCCTCGTATACCACCAAGGTCGACTACCAGGAGAGTGTTGAAACGATCTCGACCACCACTCAACCCCTGAACGGCCTCCCTCTCCTCCCAGTTGAACACCATGCAGAATCCTACTCAGACTTGACCGAAGCAGAGCGGGTTGGCATGAGCTACCAGGCGGTGATGGAGAGCTTTGGCAAAATCATGGTGGGTGGGATCTGGTATTCCGGGGACGCGCCTTGGGAGGTCGAGGTCGATGCCACATCGGTGCTGTTGACGAGCTTAAAAAACTGTATGGAGCTAGGCGGCAATGATTCGATGACATCTCTTGCCCAGGCGACCGAGCAGCTCTTTGAGAACATCACCATCAGCCTCTTTAGCAAGCCGGACTATGTGTCGACGAATGCTTCTGACTTCAAGCCCACCAATGTGACGCTCTTACCTTTCCCAACATCTACGTGTATAGTTGGGCCCGACTGGCGCTCGCTTATGGACTGGCCATCTTTTTCGCCGCGGTCGCCGTGCTGATTGGGGGATTGGCTCTTTTGGCCTCGAATCAGAGCTATCAATATACTTTCTCGACCGTGATGCGAGTGACCCGACAGAGAGCCATCGATGCCATGATCAGGCCCGAGGACATGAACGGCCAAGCTCCACTGCCGAAGCATATTGGACAAGCTCGTATCATGGCAGGGCACGAAAAGAGCGACGACCTTGGTATTGGTGTTGGTGTTGGTGTTGCGACTGTGGCTGTGGCTGAACCGTCCCAAGAGCCGCGGCAGACTATGCAGGAGACACAGCCCTTGGCCCGCCTGGATGAAAGCCGTCATGGGGGCGGTAGTATTGGTGACGGTGACGGTGATGGTGAACGGAAGGATAATGGTTATGACAGGCAAGACGTCGCTGAAGAGACCGAAACTGAGACTGGGACTGAGACTGATGAACATCGGCAATGATTATAGATGTCATTCGGTCACGGTCACGATCACGGTCACGGTCATGGTCACGGTCATGGTCACGGTCGCAGCCAGCCCTAGGTGACAGAGCATCCTCATCGGCATCCGTAGACTAGAACTGTATGTACAGTATAGTATGTACAATATGTAGAACAGACTCGGCACCCACTTGGCACATCCACATCCACATCCACATCCACATCCACATCCACATCCACATCCACATCCACATCACCATCACTATCATGGCAGGCACGAGTCTTTGGCCCCATCATCCCTGGATAGCTCATGAAGCTTGCTTGCCAGGTGATAGGATAGAGGGAATCAATGAAGTGATCTCGTCGGCGTCGGCGTCGGCGTCGGCGTCCGTGTCCGCGTCCGTGTCCGCATCCAAGACCAAGACTACTTCTCCCCTTTCCTCTTCGCCTGCTCCTGCTACTTGCTCTTCCCCTTTTTCCTCATTCGTGGTGATCATGGTGGTGGTCATGGTTGTGGTCGTCGTCGTCGTCGTCGTCATGGTGGCGGTGGCGGTTGCGGTGGTGGTCGTCATCATCGTCGTCTTCATGACAAATCAATCGGTGAAGATGTTGCTTTCTCGTCTCGGCCAACAGGGCCATGTTGACGTGGGGGCCTGTGAATCGAGCTCGGCGAGAGCACACCCAGCCCAGCCAGGTCAGGAAGAGCAGGGTGATGGCGACGACACTTGTATTGAAAGTCAGTTAGGTTTTCGTACATGACATGGTACAGGCAGTAAAGTAGATTCATCTTAGTAGAGATAGGAGATATTCATCTTTGCACAGATAGGAAAGGAGATCCCTATCTTAGTGGAGACAAGTAAATCCCCATCTATGCACAGACAGGAGATCCCCATCTATGCACAGACAGGAGATCCCCATCTATGCACAGACAGGAGATATTCATCTTTGCACAGACAGTAGATCCCATCTTTTCACAGATACAGATAGGAGATCCCCATCTTGGAAGAGACAGTAGATCCTATCTTTGCACAGACAAGTAAATCCCCGTCTTTGCACAGACAGTAGATCTCATCTTTGCACAGACCACAAATCCTTATATTATACGTATCATAGACGTACGCGACCGAAGGGAGACAGGGGCCCTTAGGCGATGAGGGACGGGCGACGAGACGACGCGATCTACTCCCCAAACCCTTCCCAAACAAAACCCACTCACCTATTATAGTTCATGTTCGCCACGGTAATAGGATATTCTGTCGGGATGCAGCAGGCGACGAGCAAGAAGGCCGTACAGACAGTCGACACGAGGTTGACGGGATAACCCCAGCGGCCGAGATCGAAGGCACGGGCCGGCAGGAGTTGAGCGCGGGATTTGGGTCGGAATAGGAGCATGGTCTGAGGAACGACGTAGGAGCCGACGATGAAGATGATGGATGCGCTGACCATGGAGGCGAAGGCGGTTGGGGAGCCGAAGAAGAGAAGGCCGTAGATCTGGATTCGGTTAGGGACAGGTACCGTAGACGATGTATTGTTGGCCATGTGTAGGCCATGTCTTGTAGACCATACTGTAGGCCATGTACAGTAGGCAATGTGTAGACCATGTACAGTAGACCATGTACAGTAGACCATGTACAGTAGACCATGTACAGTAGACCATGTACAGTAAGTAGACCATGTACAGTAGGCCATGTGGACTGTGGTGTACTATGGTGTACTATACTGTAGACCGTACTATACTGAGCTGGGCTGTGCTGGGCTGTGCTGTAAATCATACTATGCTGTCCTGTACTGTGCTGGCTGTGCTGGCTGTACTGGCTGTACTGCTGGCTGAAATCATAGGGATAGGGACAAATTCAAGATCAACAAGCAACAAAACTCACCGTGCCAAAACATCCCTGCAACAACACCGCATTCAGCGGCATCTGGTATGTCGGGTCGATCTTCTTCCACAGGTCGGAGCGCGGGAAACATTCGTCACGAGCGGCCGACCAGACCTGACGCGACGAGCCCGTCACGTTGGCCGCGGCACAGGCGAAGAAACAGACGGTGAAGGCGACCATCAGCGCCACGGTGCCGGCTTGGCTGTCGGTGGCTTGGTAGTACAGCTGGATCAGGGGCAGGCCGCTGGGCGAGTGTAGGACCTCGTCCATGTCTTTGACCACAAACATGCATACTGAGGCGAAGGGCAAGACAGTGGCTAGGCCGAGTATGATGGGATAGAGCTGGGAATATCCATACAATTAGAAAATATCCAATATAATCAGAAAAATATCCAATACAGTTAGACCAGATCAGAGGAGAACTATCCCATACAATCAGATCAAATTAGAGGAGAAAGGCCCCATAAATTAGACCAGATCAGATTTCAGGGTAAGGGGTCAGCCGAATACGATGGGATAGAGCTGGAGGGAAATATCCAATACAATCAGGTTAGATCAGAGGAGAAAACATCCAATACAATCAGACCAGATCAGATCAAAACTCAGGGTCAGGTGTCAAGCAACGGTCAAGCAACGGTCAAGCAAGGATCGAGGACTAAACAAGAATCGAGGGTCAAGGGCCAGGGTCAAGCAACAATCGAGGATCGAGGGTCAAGGGTCAGGGTCAAGCAAAGAACAGTTCAGTTCTTGCAACCCTAACCCTAACCCTGCAAATGCAACAACTACACTCACAATCACTTTGGGCCCGTTGACCGATGGATCAGGCATTTCCTCCACCATGTGCACTCCGGCATCGGTCCCGAGGAATCCGTACAGCGAATTGACGAAGCAGAGCGTCCACGCCAGCCCGCGGTTGTGCCAGCCGCTGTGCACCGTGTCGTCGGTGAAGACGTCGCGGGCGGATCGGTAGTGCGGATACGAGCAGGCGAGCATCACCGTCATGGTCACCATGAACGTGATCAAGGAGAAGTAGACTTGGGGGGAAACGTAATGGTTAGCTATAGCTGTAGTGGAAGGAGAAGTAGACTTGGAAGGGGAGAGGGTAATAGTCAGCTGTAGCTGTAGCTGTAGTAGTAGTGGTGGTGGTGGTGCTGTTGATGATGCTTGTGTTGGTGATGCTGGTGTTGATGACGAGGGTGTTGATGATGCTGGTGCTGACGGTGGTGCTGTTTTGATAGTGCTCATGCGCTGACGGTGTCCCAACTTACAGATAAACTTGTTCAAGGCCGGCAGGCCCTGTGATGCCAAGACATTGATTGCCACGGCGGCCCAAATCACCGTCACATAGACCACGTACTTGTGCCAGGCCTCGATCTGGAAGTCCGGCACCGTGAACTCGGCAATGGACAGAATCATGCCCGCTATGAAGTTGCACGTCGCCGCGCCTCCCAGCCAGCATCCAATCACGCTGATCATGGCCGTACTGTGTGTAGGTGCGTGATGGTCAGCAAAGGTGCGTTTGAAAGAACTTGTAGAGGAAGGGCTAAACGCCATCGGTGCCAGTATCATGATATGATGGTCAATCAATCGCAATCTCAATCGAAGAGTGCTGGATTCAACCTACAAATATGACGCGATGGGCGCCCATTTCGCCCGCGAGACCAAGTATGTCCAGTAATATTGCCCTCCCGCCACGGGGAAGGCTGATGTCAACTCGGCCATGCCCAGCGATACCACGCCGATGAAGAGCGCTGCCGGGAGGAGGGTGAAGATGCTGCCGGCCGACGAGGCTTGCTTGAGACTGGCGCCAAATGCACTGCGGGCAGGGACAGATGATTGCGGCGTCAGCTTATGTTCAAGTTCAAGTTTAGTTTTAGCTTCAGCTTCAACGCATTCGACTCAAGTATTGCCGAAACGAGGCGAAGCGTAGGATATGGGACATAGGATATAGGATATAGGGTACGAGATATGGGATATAGTAAATCATTGGGCCATCCGAGAACCGAAGAATACAAACAACAAACATACCTCCCAAACCCGTTCCACGTGCAGAGCAGCGCATACGCCATTGCCATCAGCGAAAGCATAGAGAACTGCCGCGGCAATTCCCTATGGTATCCCGACGCCTCCAACTCGGCATCATCCAGGTCGAGATTGAGACCAGCATGTCCCTGAGCCTGAGCCTGAGCCTCTTGGTCGTCGCGATCGACTGAGCGCGAGGCTGAATGGGCTGTCTTGATGGTGCCGTAGTCGACTCCGGCGTCGGCCAGGAGCTGGGGATGCATGCTGAGGCTGCGGACTTGAGCGGTTGTTGTTTTTGGTTGCTCAGTTTGAGCTTGGGGTTCGCGTGGCGGCGACGGCAGTGATGACAGTCAAAATCAAGAAAGAGAGTGTCTGTCTATCAAGGATACGAAACAACAAGATTCCAGAAGCGTCTTCTCGCAATACATTCTGTATGTGTGGTACAGAGAACAGTGCGATGCGATGCGATGCAGAGAAAGACTCGGTCGGAGCAGCGCGGCTGATATCGATATCGATGGTGGGTTTGTGTCGTCGATAAGGCTCACGGCAAAAGGGGTGGGGACATGTTCCATACAGTAACAGTATGTGTCATACAGCTCCGTACTCCGTACTCCGTACAATGAGGTGCGGGGTACTTTATTTAGGAGGTACCCTATACATTACTCCGTACATAGGTACATGATAATTCCATGCTACCTCAGTCAGGTAGGTACCTAGTACTGGGGTACTATGTATAGTAATTACATACAGACAGTACCTTATAAATGCTGCACTGCGTCTGGTCCAAGTACCTCAGGTAGTAATTAATCCAACATCAACATCAACTTCAACTTCAACTTCAACTTCAACTTCGATTCCATTTCTATTCCACTTCCACTTCCGGTATCGGTATCGCTATCGGTCCGCGGCTGTGCTGTATGCTACATAAAGTAAAGGTACATACAGTAAGCCACTATTACGAATTCTTGCTACAGGAGCCGCATTATACGTACATGTACGCACCTATATATCTCTATCCCTTCTTGTTCTTGCCATCGACGCCCTTATATAACTGAGGTGCACGAGTGACATACACCACATATAGTACCAGTACGCGAGATACCTACCTACCTTAGTCATCTCGACCGGTGCTAAGACTATAAACTTCAAAACATTTAGACCCATACCAGACTGAATATACCTACCTAGTACTTAGGACTTAGGTATTAGGGATATACTGTATCAGGGCGAGGAATAATAGTAATCATGATAGCAATAGCGATAATGGTAGCAATAGTGGTAGCAATAGTGGTAGCAATAGTGGTAGCAAAAGTAATAGTAATAGTAATCGTAATAGTGGTAGTAATAGTGGTAGTAATAATAATAGTTGTATTGGTATCGGTGTCGGTATCTGAGTTCAGCATATTATCGTCATCATCTCCTCCCTATTCCTCTCTCCGTCACGTAGTTCAAGATATAGCTGCCTAGTAGCCACACAACCCTGGCCATATACATCCACATCCATATCTCCTTCTACACCTCCTTCGTCGACCCCAACACGTCGGCGGTTTTGTGCTGCGTGGCCAGAGCCGCTGTCGCTGCCGCTGCCCCCTCCTCCACGTCTTCGCTGGTGTTCTTGGCTTCAATCACACTCACGCTCGGATCGCACTCGTCTTGACTGGTGGTCGGGAACGGGAACGCCCAGCAGAGGAGGTAGTATGTGAGTCTGGAATGGAAAAGGCGTCAGTATGGTTTGGTTTGCTTCAGTTCAGTTTGTACAGAGGTCATCATCCGCAACAATAACGATAGGAGAACGAGAATGGGGTTGTTTCTTTTAAACAACAAGTGGCCTTTTCGGCAAGAGGGGTGTTCCCAAAAAAACAAGTGGCCTTTTTGACAAGGGGAGTCTTTCTTTTAAACAACAACTGGCCTTCTTTTTGGCAAGAGGGTTTCTTTCGAGTAGGGGTGATGTTGCTTGGACAACAGGAGTGTTTCTTTCGAGTAGGGTACCATCGCTTTGACAACAGAAGTGTTCTTTCCGGAAATTCACTTACGCTGCAATGACCAGCCCATCCAGCCAGCCCAGAGTGTAGAACTCCAGAATACCGTGGTCCATCTTGATGTTGGAGTTGATGTTGTAGATCAGTCCCGGAAGCAGAGGGGTCACGCCCACCAGCCAGGCGGTCAGGGCGCGGACGTTGCATCCTTTCCAGTACCAGTACAGACCGTGGGATTTGTACAGCTGATACATGTTGAATGGTCGGGCTTTTCGGATGATGAGATAGTCGCAGAGCATGATGCCAACCAACGGTCCCAGGAAAATGGAATACCCTCCAACAAAATTGAAGAAGCGCGCCGCTCGGGCCTGGATCACCCAGGGGTTCATGGCAAAGCCCAAAATGGCACAGATGATTTGACCTCGACTGTGGCGCATTGTTAGTGACGAGGTTCCGTGGATTGCCTTGTAGTTCCACAGATTGCCCTGTAAGGACTCGACAGGAGAACGTGTCAGGGGGACACTGGTGCTGCTCTCGACAAGTGAAACCTATCAGGGGAACACTACTCACCGGACATTCATATATTTCGGGAAGATTCCTGTGATGTCGTGGGCAAATGGGATACTGTTACCAGTAACATCTGGGTCGATCAGTGCTCGCTCTTCGACCAAGAATGGACTTGTTTTAGAAACATACTGGTAGCAATGGTGGCGAATGCGAACAGAAACCCGGAGAAGAATTTCCCAGCCCGGTTGTCCCAGAGCATGATGATGGTCAAGGGGTTCCAGAGCACCTCACCATACACCACTTGGGCAGACGCTGCCATGAGTGCTGCAGGGGTTTAACATTAGAGACAATCACTATTTTCGAGCTCAACCTGAAGCTCTCGCTCACCTCCAAGAAGTTCGACTGAAGGAAAAGAGTTAGCAACATAGCCGAGGTCAACTGATCAGATCAATACGTACTCATTGTGATGCAGATCGGGAGAGCAAAGGCCTGAGCGATGGCCGAGCTTCGAGGGTTCTTTGCATAACGGGTAAGATCGGCCATGTTGACAGCAAATGCTACCACGGTGTCAGACGGGACGCTTTGGTTCGACAGTCAGACAAAAACACTTACTGGCGTTACCTCCGATGGTGGCGAGGATGGTAGAGCAAAACACATAGCCAACCGACCAGCCACTGGTGATGTTGTTCGGGATGGAAAACAGAGGCCCGACTCCGTGACTGACGGTGATGGCCCAGGTGAAGAGGGCGACGTAGAAAAGCGGCATGATGAAGATCTTGACGGCGAACAGCCACCTCAACGACGACAGAGGCACGAAGAGGACGGGGAAGGAGAACAGCCAGAAGAGCGCGAAGCAGAGCAGATCTGGGGCCGAGATGTCCGCGCTGGCAGGCAGACTGTGCAGATGCCAGTGGGCGAATGAAGGCCAGATGGCTTCGAGCATGCACCGCACCGCATTCCCGCCCAGAGTGCCCTGCACGCCATAGAGGATGACACAGAAGATTCCGCGGATGATCTGTCGAGGAGGAGTGTTAGCCGTGGTCCGCGACCTCGTCATGTCATCTCTTTTCTTCTCACTTACCATTGCCCAGTATGAGCCGATCATGCCATATGAACTAAGGTATGCGACCGTCAGCAATTGAACGCCTGGTGTTGGTCGGGTTCCCAGGGACATGCATACGCTCGAGCAATCACCGGAAACGAGATCGAGTACTACATATTTCTGATTAGCCTCCAATATTTGTGATTGTGATCGTGCATGTTCTCTTACCTTGCTTCCAATATATCCGACAATACAAACAGGGCCCGTGACGAGCAGGTTGCCGACCAGGCAGGCAACGAGAGCCAGGCCTGGATTCAGCCCGAGAGCGACGGCCGAGGAAGGCACCTGCATCTGGGCAGGGTTGAAGCCTTCAGCGATCCAGAAGCCTCCAACACTGGGGGTGGTCAGCCACCACACCATACAAAGACAGTATTCGCCAGAATGACAATATCCGCCAACGACAATATCTGCCAACGACAATATTCGCCAACGACAATATTCGCCAAAATGACAATACCGATGCTCGCTTGGTTGCAGGATGGTCCAAACTTACTGCCACCATTCCCACGTCTTTTTGTTCTGAGGCACCGGGTCCAAGTCGGTGTTGCTCCACCGCGCCGACTCGCCTTCGGCGGTGAAGGAGCCCGGAGAGGGATGAAGCACAAGGTGTTGGTCGTGGAACTGGCGCAGCTTGCCCATGGTTCCGTTTCCGGCGGACATGGTGTGTTTGGAACCCTAGAAAAGGTGAAGGTCGGCTTCGGGGCTGGGGCCGGGAGTGAGTGCCACTGCAGTTGGCAGTCAGGAGGCAATGCTCAATTCCAGGAGAGGGTCTTTGGTTGAATGCAATGCTCAGTTCCAGGGGTCTTTGGTTAAATGCAATGCTCAATTCCAGACTCAACCTTCCAAGCCTCTCCACGCTTTAACACATGGGAGTCCCGACAGTAGATATAGAGCCTGGTCCAACATGCTTCAAACCTTGTACCAAGGCTGTGAGCCTGGGCCCAAGTTTACGGATATCCGTATCCAAAGCATAGACACACGATTGCACCAGGTGGCGGATGGCGCAGAATTCGATAAGCCCGTGCGGCCGCGGGCTTCGAGGGCCCGCTCAGAGATATCGACCCGTCCTTATCGAGCCATCGTCACCCCAGTGGCGACCTCGCCCGATGCTGGATCCGTGCCCATACTGTAATTATCATTTTTATCACTGGGCGCATTACATAATTCCAGGTGGCTGCTGAGTGGTGCTGGTGCTGAGGTCTCTGGTCCCTGGGTCCTACTGCAAGTCTGAGGCATGAAGCCTGAAGCCTGGAGCGTTGGTCAATGCCCCGCGTAACCCTAACCCTAACCCTAACCCTACACATACACCCTGGCAATTATACACCAACATACTCCGTACACCCTGGTTATACACCACCATGTACAATGTGCTGGTAGTCAATCCGAACGGGTCGACGGCCATCACAGACACAATAAAGGCCGGGATTGATCGCTACGCGCCACCACATGTAAGCTGAGCTGTCTGCATGGCTATTGCCCCAATCGACCTGAATTTAGCTGTGCATGGCCCCAGACGACCTCGACTTACATACATATGCATCTGTCCTGTCCATTGCCTCGACCCCAACTTACATATGCATCTGTCCTGTCTATGGCCCCGACTTACATCTGTCTATTATTCTAGGTATCAATCTCATATTGGACCTGCATCGGCGGCCCGCCAGTTCTACAAAGCCAGGCCGACATCGACGCAAGCACGACGACATGCCTGGAAAAACTGGTCCCTCTCTGTCCTGAATACGACGGCTTCCTGGTCGCCTGCTACGCCGACCATTCGCTGGTGAAGGCTCTACAGGCCCACGTCGGCGCCAAACCCGTCACAGGGATCTTTGAGGCGAGCATCGCCGCTGCCTTGGATTTGGGGCTTCCGCCACCCAGACATTTCCGGTTCGCCATCTTGACCACGGGGAAACCCTACGAGAAACAGCTGGAGCAAGGCGTGATGAAAATCCTCCAACAGCTAGAGCAAGGCGTAATGGCAGTCCTCCAAGACGCAGACGCAGACGGAGATGGAAATGGAGACGATGCAAGGTTCGCGGGCGTGGTGGCGACCGGCATCGGACTGGCTGACTACGAGCAACCGTCGCGGACAGCCGCCAGGGCGAAGATGACCGAGGGCGTGCGTCGCGTGTTGCAGCTGGGCAATATCGGCGCCATATGTATTGGGGGCGTCATCCTACATGGCACGGAACACTGGGTACGCGAGATTTGCGAAGCGGAACTGGGAGCCGCTGAGGCTGCCCAGGTGGTGGTCGTCGACCAGTTTCAGGCGGGGATCCAAAGTCTCCACAGACGGCTGTGCTGCGCTGATGGTAATGCTTGAATTTTTAAAAAGAGAACTGCTATATGCGAGCATACACCACACTATCTGCCCTCTGCTGTTGGTGAAGGGGCTGGCCCTCACCCCCTTCCTCGTCTACGGCCTCGACCTCGGTCTCGACCTCGGTGCTCGTGCGGTAGGGGAAATTGGCCCTCCAATGCGATGCAATCTCTCTCCGGGTCGTAATCCACACGTCTGGACGCTGTTGTATATATTTGACAAAAGCCTCGATCGCTGCAAACCGTCCAGGCTTGCCACTGATGCGACAATGTAGCCCAATGGACATCATCTTCGGCCGGCCTTCGACTCCTTCGGCATAGAGCACATCAAATGCGCTTTTCAGATATTCCAAGAAGCTGTTGGGTGAACTGAATGTGCCAGGCGCGATTTGATATTTGAGGTCGTTGTTGTCGTAGCTGTAGGGCATCATCAGCATGCCCTTGGGGTTGGGCACGTCCTTCTCCGCCGGCACGTCGCTCCAATACGGCAAATCATCTGCAAAACAGTCGGCTTCATAGAGCAGAGGAGCGCCAATCTCTTCGTGCACTTCGTGGATGAGAGCTTTGGAATGAGGCGAGCACCGACCCACAAACCAACCGACAGGGTACGATCCGGTGGTGGCCTTCAAGGATTGCATCTGGCGATGCATGTACAGCTTCTCCTCCTCCGGGGACATGTTGTGATAGGGGATCCAACGATATCCATGACTGGCGACTTCGTGGCCTCCAGCGACAAATGCTTTGGCCACGGGCGGATTCTTTTCCAGCGCCTGACCCACCGCATTGATCGTTGTTCGGATGTTGGACTTTTCGAACATATTCAGGAGGCGCCACACGCCAACGCGAGAACCATAGTCGTAGTCGCTTTCAATTTTGGGGTCTCTTGACCCAATCCGCTCGGGTACATGAGCTTGCTCCCAAAGGACACTTTCGGTTTGACCGTCTCCGTTCAGTAAAGAACGCTCCGCACCCTCTTCGTAGTTGATGACAAACGCAACGGCAATCTTGGCACCTCCAGGCCATTTGGGGTCGATGGAGTCCCTTCCATAGCCGACGAGGTCTCGTTCGAAGTCGTACTTGGTCCCTTGTAGTGGATCCATGTTTGGTGCGTCCAGGCTGGCGGCAACATGATCGATGTCTTGCAAAGCCATGATGAAGTTTGACGCGGAAGAGAGAACCCTGGAGCTGGAATGAAGCAAGGCGCTCAATCGATCTTCGGAAAGCCTTTTCGCTATATTAGGAGAAGTGATGATAAAAGTGGCCGCGAGACGCTCGAACTGGGTGGTGCGAGGGTGGTCACGTGACACGGGCTCTGGGCGGCCCGTCGGGCATTTGGGGGCAGCCCGCGGGCCCGCGGGCACAAGGCCCAGAAAGAACCGGCGCCATGGCATGGATAAGGCTGCCCTTGACTGCCCTGGGCTGCCCTTATCGCCAAAAGTCGATCGACTCCGCTCCGATACGATACTCTTAGTATTAGCACCTGATCGAGCGTCGGGTGATGCGCAACAGGTGAGATCTGGCGTTCTAGCCGCCACTCCCGTTCCCAAACTGTTCAAAGTCGTAGTCACAGTCAAGAAGCCAATCTTGGTCCAGTCCCACGACCGCATGGAGGTCTTGCTCAGTGCTTTGGAAGGGGTCTAGACCAGCGGACTGGTCGCGGCGTTCGATCGGGTGTAAACCTTTGCCTTGCTGCAGTGCTTGCGGCCTTTCGCTCGAAGCCACCATACCCAGCGGGCGGAACTTGGCGAGAAAACTGCTGTTGACTTTGAACAGATCGACGGCAAGCTTCATGAAATCAGCACTTGGACTATTGATGTTGAGCAGCCAGCGGAAGTCAGCAATCTGTGACCACAGATTGGTGGCCTCGACAGGATCATGGCTGGTGGCCAGCAAGCCAAGCGAGAAAGCGCTGATGATGGCCAGGCAAGGCTCTGACGCAAAATGCCAAAACCCCTGCACGTGTTCGGGCTTGAGGCGTTTCATAAAGTCGATGACCGAAGTGAATCTCATGATTGCGGCTCCACGGGTTATCTCACGAAGGCGGGTCTCGAGCCCGTAGCGAGTTTCCGACTGAACAATGGCCCGGTGGAGCGTCACTTCAGCGGCCAGGTATGCGAGATATAGATGACCTGATGGCTAGGCTTAGCGTTGTGTACAATAGAGACACGCCGTGGACCGGGCAACTTACCAGTCGCAGACAATTTCCTGGGTTGAGTGGCATCAAATGCCAAACATGATGGTAGCTGGGCATACCAGCTTTTCAACCGAAGCTGGAGGGGTTTGACGGTTTGTAGCACTTCCACCGTGCTATTCCACCGTTTCATGGCGTCTACGGTGAATAGCCTGTCAATTATGTCGGATAAAATCTGGCTCAGCGAACATAGTTGCATGAAAATCAGAATTCCCTTCTCGACCTCTGAGCTTCCTTCTTCCACGTGGTCTTCTTCGATGTTCTCGGGAAAATCCTCAAATGCGAGCGGAAGTACCTCCCAATTCTCGGCTTTGATGTGAGATGGACGTCCATGCACAAGAGCGCCCCATTTGTCTTGGATGAAGAGTGCCCATGCCGTCCGTTTCCGCGCGCCTTTCTCCCAGTTGGGGATGTGCCACTCTCCGCAGTCCCGATGCAGGCCGACGTCTTCGGCCATTGCCACAAGCTGAGTTGTCAATCTCCAAGAGTCGGACCTCGGACGTTGCAGAAGGAGTAGCCCTGCTTGAATATCGGAGATCTTGGACAGCCTGTTGAAACTCAGAAGAGAGGGCACGAGCTTTTCCATCTGGGCGACATCCGGTTTCGTCAGATGACCCAAATCCCCGCTGTAGTGCCACCAATTCAAAGCCAGCACGTAGACAGCGGCGAGACATGCTGGTGTCAGCTCCCGGTATGAACGGCCATGTTTCTCTAGGAAAACATCCTTGTGCAAGACGGGATAGCTGGGATGGACAATGCGGAAATACAGGTCAACCAGCGCGGGTCCATGCGGCGCGACAACAGCTTCAATCCTGTCAAGAACTTCCACCTGCTGCCCGATGGTTGTTTGGTCTTCCTCCAGCATACAGAAATAGGCGTCGGGAGCTACGATCCGGATTTCGTCGGATGGGACAGCCGGACGATATTTGCCTTCTTCAAGACAGTCTGAGAGGTCCAGCAGCAGCCTGTCCGAATAGGAAGTGGAACCCAGATATGAGATGGTACGGAAATGCTGGTGACCCAAAGTCTGCCGGAGTAGAGAAGTCTCTGGAACACTGGAATAATCATGTGGCGAATGCTGTGGAAGTCGGTCTGAGGTGGTAGGAGAGATGGCATTTGTCAATGAATCAGTTGGACTGACGGCATCCAAGGGCTGCTTTCGCCTCTTCTTTGGAGGTGGCCGTTCTAGATAGGTACATGCCTGGGCGTGGGCGCGACACAGGACGCAGTCACCGCCCACCTCGGAGACAATGCATCTTATCTTTCGTTTGCGACAGGCATCACAAGGTCGGGTAGGTTTGGACAGAGAGCTCATCGAGATCATTGAGGTCCCGCTGGTCATGGGCGAGCAGGATCATCATGATCTTAACGGTGCTGAAGACTCATGAGCAGACCTTCAGGGTAGTTGCTTGGGCAGAATCTTGGTGTGGTGTTCGTGCTCGTTGTTGATGGAGCGACGGTGCGAGCAGCAGTGCCAGTGTGCAGTGGGTGCAAGATACCGGCAAACTTGCCTGAAATGGGGGGAGTGGCTTGACGAGAGGACCACGTGATTTGAAGGCTTACTAAGTAGTGCTAAACACGTGACTCGACTTGGTGACGTGGGGTAATAGTACGAGGTAGGCGGTGACAAACACACGGAAAGCGGAGCGAGCAACTTCCGGGCGATGAGATCATGGATTGCGATGGTGCCTGTTCGGCGGGGGCTCTAGGGGCTCCATGTAGGTGCCATCTTCTTTCATAGCATCATAGACCATCGACATTTATCAGTATCAAATGTCAGATGCTACAGCACATACCGTACCCCCTGCCTCGGGCCATGACTGCCATGACTGCTCTGACTGCCCTATTCTTTCGCCGGGACCGTGCCCCTGGTCTGGATTGACGTATTTACACTTTGCACTTTGCTTGGCAGCCTGCAGGTAGTACTCCTCTGTACTAGGTACTCTTGCACGTCCCATTCCTTTGTTCGTATTACCCTCTCGTCCGGTAAGAGGCCATCAATCACCATCCATTACACGCGGTGCTCTATTGTCGCCGTCATGTCTTCTAGTTTCTGTATGAATTCCTAGGGCGGTCGCCTCGCTACTATTCGTTTCCTCCATATTGCTCTCTGTATCCTCCGCAGCCGCAGTTTATTCCATTTGACCCTCGTCCATCGTTATGGACGATCGACCGACTCCTGCGGACACGGATGTCCCGGGCGGATTCCCAGTCACGCCCTCAGCGCGACGAGTCGATCAGAGAGCCCTGTCCTATTCTAGAACAGCCCCGGTGGCAGCAGAAGGGATGCCACACATAGAAGATACCACAAATATACCCACGCCTACTCAATCGCAAATTCACCCTCAGTCATACTTTACCTCGACCCCGAATGGGTCCTCTGCCCATCGGGATACCCGCCTGTCTGATGACACGGTCATAAATACAGAGCCCGTAGATCACAACCATGGCAATGAGCACAGTCAGGGAGTGGACGCACTCTCTCGCCGCCAGAGCAAGGGCTCTATTTCTTCCGGTAAAGACACCACTGAAGACTCCCACTCAGAGCGATCTGCTGTGAGATACATGCCCCTCAGAGTAGCACCCACCGCCGAAGACAGGCGACCAGTGCTGGAAAAGCGCAGAAGTATTCAAACAGAGGAAGACCTATTCAAAGTATTGTCTCAGCGCCGAACCAATGCATCCACCGATTCCTATGAAGAAGACGACCAAATTCAACGGTTAATGTCTCGCATGTTTGGCAAAGCCCGGCAGGAGCAGAGTGAAGACGAGAAGACCCGTCACAGTGGTGTGATCTTCCGTGACTTGACCGTCAAAGGCGTTGGTCTTGGTGCAAGTCTACAGCCTACCGTGGGGGACATCTTTCTGAGTCTCCCACGTACGCTAAAGACCTTCTTCACTCGAGGCGCCAAGGCTGCTGCAGGCAAGCCACCCGTACGAGAACTTCTCAGCCATTTCGACGGCTGTGTCCGGCCTGGAGAAATGCTGCTGGTGCTCGGAAGACCAGGCGCTGGCTGCTCGACATTCCTCAAGGTCTTCTGCAATCAACGAGACGGCTTTGAGGGTGTTGAAGGAGACGTTACCTATGGTGGCACGGATGCAAAGACGATGAAAAAGGACTTCCGTGGAGAGGTCATTTACAATCCCGAAGATGACTTGCATTATGCCACCTTGACTGTCAAGCGGACTTTGACCTTTGCTCTGCAGACTCGAACACCTGGCAAAGAATCAAGATTGGACGGAGAATCCCGGGAAGACTACGTAAGGGAGTTCTTGCGGGTTGTTACCAAGCTCTTTTGGATTGAGCACACCTTAAATACAAAAGTTGGTAATGAGTACGTGCGAGGTGTGTCAGGTGGTGAGAGAAAACGCGTCAGCATAGCGGAAGGTAGGCACTCTCAACCACTCCTAATCAGCAACGCTAACAGCGCATGCAGCCATGATTACCAGAGCATCTGTTCAAGGATGGGATAACTCTAGTCGAGGTCTTGACGCCAGCACTGCGCTGGAGTATGTCCAGTCCATCCGAGCTCTCACAAACATGGCCGAGACGTCCACGGCGGTCTCCTTGTATCAAGCGGGGGAGTCACTGTACGATCTTGTCGACAAGGTACTTCTTATAGATGAGGGCAAGTGTCTGTACTTTGGTCCTTCTGATGCTGCAAAACAATATTTCATCGACCTAGGTTTCGAATGCCCGGAGCGATGGACAACAGCGGACTTCCTCACCTCAGTCACAGACAAGCACGAACGATCCATTAGAAAAGGCTGGGAAGATCGGATTCCCCGTAATGCTGATGATTTCGCTGCCTTGTATCGAAATAGCGAGGCCTATCAACGCAACCTGGAAGATATCAGAGACTTTGAGGGTCAGTTGGAAGGGCACCGAAGAGCACGCCTGGAAAATACCTCGAAGAGAACCAAAAGAAAGAACTACTCCGTCCCGTTTCACAAACAAGTCATCGCGTGCACAAAACGCCAGTTCTTGGTCATGGTAGGCGATCGAGCCTCGCTAATCGGCAAGTGGGGAGGGATTGTGTTTCAGGTGAGCAAATTCGAGGGGCATGGACATGGTTGATCTCTAACCTCAAACAGGGCTTGATCGTGGGGAGTTTATTCTTTCAGATGCCCAAAACGGCTCTGGGGGCTTTCCCTCGTGGCGGTACCATGTTTTTCGTCCTGCTCTTCAATGCCTTGTTGGCGCTGGCTGAGATGACCGCCGCTTTCTCCTCGAAGCCAATTCTCTTGAAGCATAAATCATTCTCCTTCTACCGCCCGGCAGCCTACGCAATTGCCCAGACCGTCGTCGACGTGCCCTTGGTGTTCATACAGGTGGTCTTGTTCAACGTCATCATATACTGGATGAGCGGTGTAAGTTGCCTGCCGTTTGAATTCACAATTGACTGGCTAACATCTATCTTAGCTTGGAGCGACCGCCTCCCAGTTCTTTATCTCATGTCTGATCATTTTTTCATCCACCATGACCACCTATGCATTTTTCAGATCCATTTCGGCCCTCTGCAAGACACTGGATGATGCCACTCGGTTTACTGGGGTGTCAATTCAAATTTTGGTTGTCTACACTGGCTATCTCATACGTAGGCCGCTCCTTTGCCCCTCATACCCAGCTAGCTAACCATACATCAGCTGTCAGCCAGATGAAGCCATGGTTTTCCTGGCTCCGACGAATAAACTGGCTACAGTACGCCTTTGAAGGTCTGATGTCTAACGAATTCGCCGGATTGACCTTGGATTGCGTACCGCCCTACTTGGTTCCCCAAGGACCAGATGCCAGGCCTCAGTATCAGTCGTGCGCATTAGCTGGAAATCAACCAGGTCAGACGTCAGTGGACGGTTCAAGGTACATCCAGGCATCCTTTGGTTATTCCCGCTCCCATCTGTGGCGAAATTTCGGCATCATATGGGCCTTTTTTGCCTTCTTCCTGGCTGTGACCGCCGTTGGAATGGAAATAATGAAACCAAATGCCGGCGGGGGATCCATAACTACATTTAAACGTGGTCAGGTACCCAAGAAACTCGAAGAGTCAATCGACACGGGCGGTCGAGAGAAGAACCCAAGCGGCGACGAGGAATCGGGTACAGCCGGAAAGGAGGTGGATGGCAGCGTGGAAAAGACTGCAACTCAGAACAATGGAAGCAGTGACTCGACGAGCACGAAACGAGACGAGTCTCCCATGGATCAGGTGGCCAAAAACGAAACGGTGTACACCTTTCGCAACGTCGACTATGTGATTCCCTACGAAAAAGGCGAACGCAAGCTCCTGCAGAATGTTCAGGGATATGTCCGTCCAGGGAAGCTCACTGCTTTGATGGGCGCCAGCGGCGCAGGCAAGACGACGTTACTGAATGCACTGGCCCAGCGTCTCAACTTTGGCACCGTAACGGGTGAATTTCTTGTCGATGGCCGCCCACTCCCCAAATCATTCCAACGCGCCACAGGTTTTGCTGAACAGATGGACGTGCACGAGCCTACGGCCACGGTGCGAGAAGCATTGCAGTTCTCGGCACTTCTCCGACAGCCTCGGGAGGTCTCGGTGGAGCAGAAGTATGCATACTGTGAAACGATCATTGATCTGCTTGAGATGCGGGATATCGCTGGCGCGACGATCGGGAAGATCGGCGAAGGTTTGAACCAAGAGCAGCGAAAGAGACTGACCATAGGAGTTGAGCTGGCAAGCAAGCCTGAGTTGCTGATGTTTCTGGACGAACCCACGTCCGGCCTCGACTCGGCAGCCGCCTTTAATATCGTCAGATTCTTGCGCAAACTAGCCGATGCAGGACAAGCGATTCTTTGCACAATCCACCAGCCTTCGGCTGTCTTGTTTGAGCACTTTGACGAGCTTTTGTTGCTCAAAGCCGGCGGTCGAGTTGTATACCATGGCCCTCTTGGTCATGATTCACAAGATCTCATTCAATACTTCCAAGAGAACGACGCACGGAAATGTCCTCCGGATGCGAATCCGGCAGAATACATGCTCGAAGTGATCGGAGCAGGCGACCCCAATTACAAGGGTAAAGACTGGGCAGATGTCTGGGAACAAAGCAAGAACTACAAAGCTCGATCCGACGAGATCGCAGAAATGATCGAACGAAGGAAGAACGTCGAACACAGCAAAAACATAACTGACGACCGAGAATATGCCATGCCTGTTACTACGCAAACGATGGCTGTGGTTAGGAGATCATTCGTCGCTTTCTGGGTGAGTGCAGACTCTTCTCTACGGGAGGCCTTTCTTTACTACCGCTAACAATTTCCAGCGTACACCGGACTACGTGGTCGGCAAATTCATGCTTCATATCATGACCGGCCTCTTCTCATGCTTTACATTCTACCACCTTGGTTACGCAAGCATTGACTTCCAATCTCGTCTCTTTGCCGTCTTCATGACGCTCACAATCAGCCCTCCACTCATTCAGCAACTTCAACCGGTCTTTCTCAACTCCCGCAATATCTTCGAGTCTCGGGAGAACAATGCCAAAATCTACAGCTGGTTCGCATGGACGACAGGGGCCGTGCTCGTCGAAATCCCCTACTCACTTGTCGCCGGGGGCGTTTACTATTGTTGCTGGTGGTGGGGTATCATCGGGTACCGAGATTCGACGTCAAGCTTCACCTCCGGCTTCATCTTTCTGTGCATCTGTCTCTTTGAGCTGTACTATATCAGCTTTGGGCAAGCGATTGCCTCGTTCGCACCCAACGAACTGTTGGCCAGCCTGCTGGTGCCGCTGTTCTTCTTGTTTGTGGTCAGCTTTTGCGGCGTCGTTGTGCCTCCTCAACAACTGCCGACTTTCTGGCGCTCGTGGATGTACTGGTTGACCCCCTTCCACTACATTGTTGAAGCTATGCTAGGGGTACGGATTCCTCCTGTTTATTTGAACCCACAAACAAAAGCTGGTATGCTAACGAGTTTTCTTCCACAGGCTATTGTCCACGGTCAACCTGTGAAGTGCAACAAGGGGGAGTTTGCCCGCTTTGTAAGTATCTATGTGCCGCACTTTAAGACAGTTTGTAACACAAGGCTAATTCGTTCTACTTCAGAGTGCACCGCCGGGCCAAACTTGCCAGTCATACACCGACCCCTATATCCGCCAGGCTGGCGGGTACGTCCAGGTCGGAGCCGACGGGCTCTGCGAGTTCTGCCAGTACGCGACCGGCGACGAGTTTTCCAAAGGCTTCAGTGTGTACTATAGTAATATCTGGCGCGACTTCGGCATTTTCTGCGGCTTTGTGCTTTTCAACTTTGCTGTGGTCTACTTCGCGACGTATTTGAGGTTCAAAGGCAAGAACCCAGCCAAAGCGATCTTGTTGAAGCGGAAGCAGAAGATGGCCTCATAACCAGGTCCGGTGGAAGGGGCAGCCTGGCTTCACAGAGCTATGGATTGTGACGGTTGACGAGATCCGCAACGGCCTCATTGATATCGATTGATCGCTGGATGTGATACCTGGGTGTTATCTTGAAGGGAAGATAGACTGGAATGCGTGGGTGAGGGTGTGCCGAGGTCAGCTGCCCTCCATAAGGGGCGGCGACTATATTACTTAATTGAACAGGTCTTCCACTCATAGATTCTAACGTCCTGTTATAAGCTATCGACTTGAACATACGTGTCCCCCTAGTCATCTTCACAAACATGGCTTTATTCATCAAGTCATCATTAGGATATGAGTTATGTATACTACATAGCGATTCCTGCTCATCCTTTGGCCTTAGCAACCGGCTTCTTGGCAAAGAAGTCGCTCATCTTCTTCATGCCCGACACATTCACCTTCTTCAGGTCCCGCACTCCTCGCGATTCACCCAGCTTCTTCTTCTTGTCCTCCTCCTCCTGTCTCCGCTTCTTCTCGGCCCTCGACTCGGCGACTTCATCGTCTTCCAGGCCTCGCTTTCTGCTGAAATCACCAATTGACCGTGACGCCAATACTTCTGCTCTCATCGCAGCCAGAGATTGGAGATGTTTCTCTAAAGGCGAAAAGTCGACGGGGGAGTCTTTCTCGCCCAGCCGGCCGCGCAGACGATCAGCTAGCGAAGCGGGCAAATATGAGGCTAATATAAAGTCAACAACGGTCCGGCGCTTCTGTAGATCGCACAGCTCTTGTGGGATGGAGGTGTCGGGGACAACAGTGCTGGCTGAGCTGGCGGTGGAAACGTCCGAAAACACCATGGACGGTGCGGAACTGGCTGAAGTAGACTGTGAATCGAGGCCTTCGGATTGCGATTCATTGTCGTCTGATGTGGCTTGCGCGGAGTTGGTGGAAATGGTGGAAATGCTGGTCTCTTCTCGCTTGACACTCAGCACAGGCGCCTCCAAGGCTCTGGTCACAAACTTCTCTTCCAGACTGGCCGGTAGACCTCCTCTCATGGCATTGTCGACTTTCTGCATCACCATCCGTAAAGCCTTGTCTTCACTGGGCCTGTACATCTGTTCATCCCCGGCCTCGATTGTATCACAGAACCTTGACATGGCGTCCTCTAGCATAGTTCGTCCGTGGTCGTAAATATAGCGCAAATGCTTATCTTCCTGGATGTGTTGCTCCAAAATGTCATCGATGGGTTGGAAGAGCATTTTGCCCGAGGGCGCCTTCGCGGGCAGCACAAGAGGGAGAAGGATAAAGGCTAGGTCGAACGGGGTTGCTACAAATATCTCCGCGCTTTTGCTTATATATCCTCTGCTCAAGGCCTGTTCGGTTTCGCTGTCCTTTCCCAGTGTCTCCGGGCTGTCCTTCTCTCCATCTGGATCGGCTCTCGCAAACAAAAGACTTCGAGGATCTGTCGACGGTGTTTGGACTTTGGTAAACTGAAACAACCCGGTTTCAGGGCAGAATAGAAATCTTTGGAGAGTGCAATCTCGAGGATGTCGCAGCAGTAGGAATCGCGATCGATCACACGTATCTCTCGGAAGGATGAAAGGTCTCAGAGGCTCTCTCTGCGCATTGGACTTGGACTCGGACTTGGTCGCACATGTCTCTTTCGCATGTTTCTTGACCGGGCTGGTTGTGCTTGAGCGAGTTCCGACCGCCATATTGGACAATGAAGCTCAACAAATAATGTGATCAGGCAAGCATCCAGCTGCGCACTCGTGATTACATTGATAGTTGAATACGGAGTACGGATACATGTGCCTAGTAATTAATGCGAGTCGAGACTCGATGCCAAGCCAGTTCCGACGCGTCTGGGGAAATGTCTGGAACGCGTCTCTGCCAACCAATCGGAGAGCCCAGAAGTCTCGGCCACGGCACTGTCCAGCCTGAAGCCATTGACACTCGGATCTCTTGTTCAATGCTGCTGACGTGAACATAGAGGTGTGGATATGGTGTACTTCGTATGGCTTCAATGATATGACGACGTGACGAATGTTTTCTGGAAGAACCGCATGGATTACTTGGGGCTGGCCCAAATCATCATAAACAAACAACAGCAGCACCAGCAGGGATCCCCAGTCCAGGGTCTGACTCTATCACGACGTGGTCTCTACCTTCAAACGTTACAGCAATAAAGCAACAGACATGTCTGACGATGTCCCGTGGCCACCTTCATCACCTCGGGCTGCCCTGCTCAGCTCGCCTAGCGGTCGCAGAAAATACGAAGCCTATCAGAACTCCTATTCTCCGGTGAAAAGATCCGCAACGACCCCAAACCTCCTCGATCGGCTTCGGGCCGCCCGCAAAGACAAAGAATACCCGTCTCCAGACCAGAGCATGGAGGAAGATGTTGAAGAAGATGAAGAGACGCTCCAGCTTAAACTGGCCGCCATCGAGGCGAGGTTGAAGCTGAAGAAATTGCAACAGAACAAAGCTAGGGCAGCCACCCCAGGGAAGGAATCCTCGCGGCCCAGCTCAGCCCACGGCCCGGCTTCGGGAGTGTCCAAACCGTCCTCCAGGTTGCGAGAGCCTCTACTTGAACCTGCAAAAGTGGAGGTTGCAGTGTCGCCGACAAGACGACCACCGCCGGCTGTGCAACAGAGGTCTCCCCGGCGCGTTCTACTTGGAATCGACAAGGGGGTACGAGGTGGTGATGTGTCCCTACGCAGAGCCAACACTATAGCCGGTGTTACTCGACCGAGAGCCGAATTGGGAGGTACTAGCAGCAGTCGACCTTCATCACGGTCGTCAGCGTTTGGTTCTGCCCGAGCCGCCGCCACTTTGAAATCGACCTTTAGCGAAGACAGCAAGAGAAAGACGTTCGGCGAGAGAATGGGAGACGCGCGAGAGCGCATAAAGACCCTCGAGCAACGACGCGAGACTAGCAGTCGGAGCCGCAGCAAAGGATTCGGCCTAGATCAAGCGGAACTTGATAAGTACAGGTTAGAAGCCGAAGAATCTCGCAGTCGCGAGCCCCCGAGATCCCCGCCCGGGATGCATCAGCATCAAGCATATAGTCGAGACGACATCGTCAGCACAGCGAGGGAAGCCATCTCTGGGACCCGGTTGCCCAAGATGAAACAGGCAAAGCCCGGTGTACAAGCATCGTCGTCATCTCAAGATTCCGACACGGTCGTTTTCCCTCAGGCAGACTCCTCACTCTTCGAAGGCTTCTCCCAACTACACCTCTCGTCCCGCATTTTACCACACTCGTTCCTCAAACGGACCTTGCCAACCGACAAATTCACCATCTACCGCATCCCCGATCTTCTGAGACAGGTCAAATCGCCTGATTTCGAACTGCCAGACTCGGTATGTGACTATGTGATTTGCGGCGTGATCGCGTCCAAATCCTCGCCCATGGATCACAAGGCACCGGCGCCCGATTCCTCGACGGTCGGCACCAAAGACTGGGAACGGCAGTGGGAGGACGGGTCCAACAACCAGCGGCGGTTTATGGTTCTGACCCTGACAGATCTGAAGTGGACAGTTGACCTGTACTTATTTGGAACCGCGCTACCGCGCTACCATCGGCTGACTCCGGGAACGGTGGTTGCCATTCTGAATCCGGGAATCATGCCGCCGAAGCATGGGAAGACAGATACAGGCGCGTTCAGCTTGACAATGCACAATGGTGACGATACAATCCTGGAGATCGGAACGGCCAGGGACCTCGGACACTGCAAGACGGTGAAGAAGGACGGCAAAGAGTGCGGCAGCTGGGTAAACTCGTCCAAGACCGAGATCTGCGAGTGGCATTTGAACGCGCAACTCAACAAAACCCGTGCCTCACGCATGGGCGTCAACACCGGCACCAACGGCTTCGGCGGCACAGGTGCGAACAGTCGTCGGTTTTTCGACAAGACTGCCTCGAACCGCGGCAACAACGGTCTCCTACCACGCGACGGGCACAGATACGACCGCGACACAGGGAGTCATTTCTACATCTCCCGCTCCAACACTGGCTCGCTACCTGGTGAGCGTCGGACTGGCGCCGGCGGTGGTGGTATAGGCCTAGGTCTTGACGACGATGATCCGTTCATTCCCGAAGGGCAGCTTTCGCGCGACCGCGACGCCCGGCTCCGAAAACACTTCGCCACGCAGGAGAAGGAGCGCGAAATCGCCGAGAAACTGGGTTCAGGCCGCTACGCCGGCTTTGGCGGCGCGGGCGCCGAGTATCTGAGGCAGAAAACCCAATCTCAACCTCAGTCTCGCGCAGTTTCTGCTGGAGGAGGTGTCTCGAGCAAAAATCCTGCTGGAGGTGCCCATCCGCGCAGACCTCTTCAGGAAGAGGAAAAGGCACTTCGGCCCAGCGCGGGCGGCGCCGACAAGGTCAAGTCGTCGTCTCAGCGCGGCGCCATGCTCTCTGCTGAAGTAATGGACCCCCTGGCCCGCGGTGGCTTGTCGCGGAAACGCACCGCCACTGACGTGCGCCTGTCGCCGGTCAAGAAGAAGACTCGCTTCGTCACCCCCAGAGGCATCAGGGAGGCTGGGCGGGAGAGTCTAGGTGTGCCGGTCAGTGGGGGTGGTTTAGCGACTGTTTCGGCACAGCCTGATGGAAGTGGAAGCGGTAGTGACGATGAATTGGAAATCGTCTGACCTTCAACCTAAGGCAGGCCCTGTGTGCCCTTTTGCACCATACATAAACTCCTGATGATAGTGATAGCGGTAGTAACGATGACTTGGAAATCGTCTGATCTGACCTTAGGTGGCACCTATGGTGGTGACCCTTAGTAAGGCTTAGGACCCCTAGATGTGTGACCTTTTGCACCATGCACAATCGTCTGACGATATGGTTGTGTTTGTGGTTGTGTTTGTGGTTGTGTTTGTGGTTGTGGTTGGGGTTGGGGTTGGGACATGATTGGGTACACACCAACAGAGCACGGATACTTCGTAAGTAGGACTCCGTACGGATACTCTGTATAATACTAGTTTGAGCTGATGATGATGATCACAATCACAATCACAATCACAATCAGGAAGATGAAGATGAAGACGAAGACGAAGACGAACAAAGAAGATGAAGACCAAGATCAAGGAGACCAAGTCTCTGCAAACTTGCCCACCCGGCTCCTAAACCCAAAGTCCGTGTGTGCCGTCGAGACGTCCTGTTGATACTACGATACTACGATGCTACGATGCTACGATACTACCAAACTCAATGTATCTGCAGAGCTACGTGACGTGGTCTGTAGTCTGTAGTCTGTAGTTTGTATTTGGCAATTATGATCCGAAATCAGACTCTGAACCTGAGTTGACCTGAAGGAAGTAAAGCAAAGCCTACCACATGTATAGTACTGGCATATAAAGTATCTCCGTGAAGCAAAACCTACCACATAGTATAGTACTGGCATATACGGTATCTCCGTGATGAATGGCATTCTAGCCTTAGCCTTAGCTTGAGCAGGCTTATAGCTGACAAGTAGAGTATGGAGTACGGAGTACGGAGTACGGACTGTAACGACCGATTGGCATCGCTGTCTCTCCCCCCTAGCCAAACAGCCTCGTTGGCAGAAGACTCTCACTGTCTCTTCTCACTAGCTAGTCAAATACCTAGCCTCGTTGGCATAAGACTCTCCAGCCTAGCCAACTACATACATACATAGCCTCGTGCTTCTTTCCTTGTTTCACGTGCCGTTGATGTGCCTTGCCTATTCTACAAGCGAGTCCATTCTACTAGAGACCTAGACCCAGAGACCTAGAGACCTAGACTTCATCGAATGCATTCTACGAGAGACACTACACTTCATTGAATCCATTCCATGAGAAACTCTAAACTTGATTGAATCTGAATCCATTCTATGAAAGACCCAGAGACCTAGACTGCATTGAATCCATTCTACCAAAGACCTAGACCTAGAGACCTAGACTTGATTGAATCCTTTCTATGAGAAACCCTACACTATGCACACTTCATTGATTGAAATTCATTCTATGAGAGACGCTACACTTCATTGATTGAATCCTTTCTATAATAAACCCTAAATTTGATTGATTAAATCCATTCTACCAAGCCATGCATCCATTCTGCCAAGCCATGTATCCATTCTACCAAGCTATGCATCCATTCTACCAAGCCATGCATCCACTCTATCCGGATTCGACCCTTACCCCTTACTCAGAACACATAGTAAAGTCATACTCGGTTGCTCATACACCTGACTTCCAACTTTCAATGGGGATCTCGACTGCAGGAGCAGTAACAGTAGTATGTGAAGCATGTTTCGCGCTGGACCTGCATGTGTGGCCAGACCAGCCTGGGCTGCACCCTGAAGCTCACTCTTCGTCGGACTGGTCTTCTTTGATGTCCTGGGCGGCAGCGGGGGCGGCAGTAGTAATAGTCGTAGTAGTTGTATTAGAAGAAGAAGGTATGCTGTCTGCTGAAATGGTCAGTCAACGGCAGTCCATTTGCGCCTCATGTGGATGGAGGGAATGTCAAGGGAGAACGTCTAAAGAGAGAGCATCTGAAGGGAGAACATCTGAAGGGAGAGCATCTGAAGGCAGAGCTTCTGGAGGCAGAGCTTCTGGAGGCAGAGCTTCTGGAGGCAGAGCATGGGATGGAGAACATCTGAGGGAGGACATCTGAGGGAGAACATCTGAGGGAGAACATCGGAGGGAGAACATCGGAGGGA